AGTGCGACCCACAACTAGCTTGCTAATCATGTAGTGAACGTAAGAGAATCCCATAGAACCATCTCTTAGGTTCCTAGCCTATAGGAAGTGAAAAGGAGGTCCAAGGTCAGAGTACCTATAGATAAATTATGTCATAACTTAACCAATCTTGTGGGTAACTAAGGAGCGATGACGTGTAATGAATCATAGAGGGTTGTAGAAGCTTCTAGAGCTATTGTTCATGTTCCTAGGCCTCTAGTTGGTAGAGATATGCCATGTGGTAGTATTGGCCCACCCCCTTAAGGAGGAGATTTTCTTAATAACTTGTTCAGTGAGTGTCCAAATGATATGCCGTGATGTATGTAGCATAAACAGATGTAGTAGAAGAGTTTGCAGCAATCGTTGAGTAGTATTGCTTCTGTTGTTGGTGTGATAAGCCAAGATATGTATGGTGACTTGTAGGTTTGAGGAGGAGATTTCTAAGTTTGCTCTTGAGTTTGATAGCAAACTGAGTGCAACGAATGTCAATATGACAAGATGCCTCAGATTTTTCCATTTCTGGAATCTTATACCAAGCTCCAAAAGACAAACAAGAAGAGCTACAGCCTGTGGCATTTTACTCAAGAAAGCTATCAGCAGCTGAACAAAACTATCCCATTACAGACAAGGAACTGCTTGCCATAGTATGTTCTCTAAAGCATTGGAGATGCTACCTTGAAGGGGCAAACTATCCTATCACTATTTACAGTGACCATTCAAATCTCTTGACCTTTACAACCACTAAACAGCTCAATCGACGACAAGCAAGGTGGTCTAAACAACTAGGAGGTTTTGACTTTGTTATAAAACATGTCTCAGGGGCCAAGAATCAAAGAGCAGATCTCCTCTCAAGAAGACATGACTACCAAGATTCTGCTAAAATAAGCAATACAAAGGCCCTGCTAGACTCTACAAAGCTTATAGCAGCATCTTTAAGCAACCCTCACATTACAGAGGACTTAGAGGGAAACTTATCCCCTCAAGACCAAGTTGCCCCCATTACCTCTTCTCAAAAACCAGAGAGCTTTAAAGACTATACACCCTCAGCAACACTTCTTAAAGCATTCAAAGATGCTTACAACCACGATCCCTTTGCCAAAAGAACTTTGGAATACCTCCAGAAGAAAGGCTCCTCTCTTGAGAAAGTTGGACTACAAAATTTCTCAAAAAATCAGCAAGGACTTCTCTTATTCAAGAGCTATATCTATGTCCCAAGGGATAAACGATTACAGCTACACCTCCTATAGCAGTTCCATGATGCTCCAGCTGCAGGGCACTTTGGCTTTGCAAAAACTTATGAACCTCTAACAAGAAAGTTCTACTGGCCTAGTCTAAGGACTACTCTTCAAGACTATATATCTTCTTGCACTACTTGCAACTTGAACAAACCTACACGGCAAAAGCCCTATGGCCTCTTGCATATACCAGAACACCCATGGGACTCCATATCCATTGACTTTATAGTCAAGTTGCCTCCTTCTATCCCAAAAGGGGGTGCTACCCCTTATGACTCTATCCTTGTGGTGGTAGAAAGGCTCACAAAAATGGCACACTTTGAGCCTTGCAATGAGACTATCACAGCTTCTGAACTTGCGTGGCTATTCCTCAAGGTGGTCTTTAAATATCATGGAATTCCTGGACACTGGATCTCAGATAGGGGAGCAGTTTTCACTTCAAACTTTTTTAAGGAGTTCTCTAAACTCTTAAACATGGAACAACGCTTTTCTACAGCTTATCACCCTCAAACAGATGGCCAGACAGAGAGAGTCAACTCTGTACTTGAACAATATCTAAGAATTTATACAAACTATGCTCAAGACATTGCCAATAGTCCTTGTGATCTTAAAGGGTTCAAGTCTTTTAGTATCAAGTTTGTCTGATGGTCTAGTAGTTGTGATATGTCTTCTAGACAAAAAGACTTGATCACCAACTTTGAATTGTGGTGCAACCACCCCCCTGTTAAAGGCCTGAGCCTGCTCGTCTTGTGCACGCTGTATTTGGACCTTGAGATAGTCCTGGAGGCCCTTAAGGTAGATGATCTTTCAGTAGCAGAAGGGTTTTTGAGATTTTCAGGACAATTAAGTTCTGCCACATCAAACCTAGGGTGATAACCATAGTTTGCATAGAAAGGTGTCTCTTTTGTGGTGTTAGAGACCGTGTTGTTGTAAGCAAATTCTGCAAGATGGAGAAGATCTGCCCAAGAATGCTTTCGAGCTTGCATTACCACCTACTTGGACTATCCATAATGTCTTCCATGCATCTCTCTTGTCTAAGGCACAAGAAAGTTCCTTAAGACCACTTCAGTCTCCTCCACCTCCTGTTCTGATTTTGGATCAACCAGAATATGAAGTAGAGTCTATCCTTGACAAAAAGACACTTAGAGGTCAGGACTACTTCCTCGTTAAGTGGAAAGGCTATCCTACAAGTGACAACACTTGGGAACCTAAGAGAAATCTAAAAAAGCATCCAAGCTGATTCTAGAATTTCTTTCTAAGAAAGCCACCTGGCTAAAGGGCAAGCACACAGCTAACAAACGTCCTTAAGAGGGGTATCATGTCATACTGACATTCGTTGCACTCAGTTTGCTATCAAACTCAAGAGCAAACTTGGAAATCTCCTCAGACCTACAAGTCACTATACATATTTTGGCTTATCACACCAACAACAAGAGCAATACTACTCAACGATTGCTACAACCATCTATGATTCATTACACGTCATTGCTCCTTAGTTACTGGGCCGATATTACCACATAGCATATCTCTACAATCCTCTATGATTCATTACATGACATCACTCATACTACCACATGACATATCTCTACCAACTAGAGGCCTAGGAGCATGAACGATAGCTCTAAAAGCTCCTACGAACCTCTATGATTCATTACACGTCATCGCTCTTTAGTTACCCACAAGATTGGTTAAGTTATGACATAATTTGTCTATGACATAATTTGTCTATGACATAATTTGCTTATAGGGGTACTCTGACCTTGGACCTCCTTTTACTTCCTATAGGCTACGAACCTAAGAGATGGTTCTATGGGATTCTCTTACGTCGACTACAGTTACCAAGCCTGGTAAGTCATGTAAAGTCTTGGAAAATGAGAGAACTACACTCCTTTAGCATAAATAGGATTGCCCTTTCCTTAAGAAAGGGCAAGCAGACAATACAGTAAATCGACTATCACATACTTCCACGTCTTTTCCAAGCTTCCAAGCATTCATCTTGTTACTCCTTGTTTCTGAAAAGTCAGTGAGGTGTTAACCTCTGACTTACCCCTGAGTTCCCAGACTCAACATTTGTTGCAACTTGTCTGAACCACTTCACTACATCACACACCTGATTGCTGCGTTGTGGAATAGTCTAAGCTACAACCCTTTGGCTCTGTTTCCTAAGACAGTGTGTTGTCTTAGTAAATTCATCCCTTCCTTGGGTGGCTAGATTCTCACATCTGGTGCACCCACCATTACAGTCTGGCAAACCTCACATAGATTACATAGATGGTAAATATCCTACACTTCAGCCGGTCAAACTGGCTAAAGTTAAAGATACACATGTAAGGGGATCATGTTTTAGGCAGATGAGGCCCTAGCCGTATAATAATCATATTATTAGTGGCCTTCTTATATTTTAAGCCGCCTTAGTGATCGGAGAAATCTAGTTCCACCAAAAGCGAAAATTACTGGTGAGAATTGAGACCTTAGGCCAACATTATACCATCAAGTGAGAAAAACTGAAATCCGCTTACTAAAATACAGCAGTGTTTCCTTTCCCCCCCAAGTAACATGAAATCTAATGACAGCCGCGCTCGTCTTCTATTTGAGGGTGTATGAATTTATCATTCATATCTACCACGTGATTGGAAACATAATTGGAGCTGATTCGTGGATCCGGAGATTTACACCCAAAATCGTATGGGATTCTCCGGCCACCGTAATCACTCTTCTTGGCAGTGGTTGACAGAACAGAGATATCTCAGAGCAGAATACAGTATATAGCAATATAATAGAGTCAATTGAATTATCTAAATATCTCACCGTTCTACGTAGCTTATATAGGTGATTCCTGGGGAGTAGCCGAAACCCTGAGCTTTGGCTTACCTCCCACGGAGTTGGTCATAGAGATAACTGCGGCCAAGCAGGCCAATGGGATACCCTTGGGAAACGCTCCCAAGGCTAATTCCTTGGCAAATCCCAGGATTTCCCCGAATCTCCAACAAACATCACGCTCTGGCGGCGAGTACTTTACTTCATTTAGCGGAACTGCCAGCTTTAAATTTGGGAGCCTCTGGAACAAAGTAGCTGTAACTATTTGTTAGCCGTGAAAGTTAGAATGCAGGAGCAAAAGTGCTTACAGAAGACAAATTACAGCTCGGTGCGGGCAAGCCACTCCGCAACGCAGCGATGCTCTCCATATCCGTAACCGAAAGCTGATTCGTCCCCGCGCTTCCTATACATGTCAAATGTATCGGGGTTATGGAAGACGTCGCATCACGGTTTCCGGATTGTGTGGCTGCAATTATCCCTTCGCCGGCTTTAATTACCTGCGGGGTTTACGAGTCAGTAAACAGACGCAAAACTGTGAAAAGTGAGCATTACCTTGCCCCCTAGGGTGATGTCAACTTTGGCCACACGGCGGGTTGCTAGGGCAGAGCCTCAACGATGGGGCTTTCTTCAGGTCGGCAAGCTGGGAAGGATTTTCGAACAAGGTAGCTATTCCCTACAAGACAAACACATCGAATATGTTAGTTAATTCACTAAACAGTTTGTGGAATGACCATCCAGATTAATCATGTTGACCATTGTAGCGTTCCCTGCAACGAGCATTAAGAACGCCATCTGTCTCGCTGGATGTGGCCCGTCACGAGCTAGCAGAAGAATATTTGTTAGGATTATCTGGTAAATAGACAGTAGGAGTTTCACTGACCCGTTCTGTTACAATTTTGCTGATGAGATCGCCATTCGGCTCAGAAACTCTCATATCAACCAATTTTCCGATATAGTCGAGGAGGTCTCTAAATAGTTCGTTAGAAACCAAGACCAATAAGAAGATACATGAAACCCACTGATTTGCTTGGGATGCGGCTGTTGCGGTAGCGCTCCCATTACTACGGATGGCGGCTTGCTGTGTGAGAAACTTGAGGTCTTCGAATGGTGCACCGAGGATTCCATAAATAGTCTAATGAAGCAATCAAACATGTCAGCAGTCGGTTTATTTGGAGCACGTAAGATGCAACCGGGAGAGCCAACTTCTCCACGACATCAACCGGATTCCTACAGCCATCCTTTATCAAGTCGTCAAGAAGAGTATCAACAGTATTTTGGATGCTGGGACGCATTCTCTCAATAGCTTCGCGCGAGAATATGTCTTCGATCATGCCCCTGTGGGTTCAAAACACATTAGCCTAGCTCTACAATTGGATTATCAGATTTATAACCTTTGCTTCATGTGGTCCGGCTTGTCCATATCAACAAATGTCGGCTTTCGCTTCGCTGCCTCCTTTCCACCCTGGTCGAGTTCCGGGAAGTCAGGACGATTGCGCTGCTTCGAGAGGCGCTGGTCAGTGAGGACACTGCAGATATCTTTGTGTTTAACAACGAGCCATGCGTGGCTTCCATCCAAGAGCTCGACCTTGGATACGGGCTCGTTGGCGCGGAGGATAGCATATTCTTCTGCTGGCTCTGCTCCGCGGGGCCGAGAGAAAGGAAACTTCGGCGTGCCTATCAACACACAATTATTATAAGAGTGACGCAGTTGGGTAGTCTTTTTTCTTAATGAGTCAATATCAAATGCACAACACAAGTTACGAGAACGACCGGAAGATGACATCGTCATAGAGTTAGTGTCGCAGAAACCCGTTGAGGTTTCAGCGGCTCCCGCGGAGCCTCCTGCCGCCAACGCGGAGATGCATTTCTCACCAGGGTAAAACCAAACACGGACGGCATTATATGCACCTCCAAATCAAAACGTGGCGATTACTAAGATATGGATTCCTTTATTCCCCGCACACAGGATTTAGGCCAGCTCCATACGCGATGACAATATTATATAACTTCCGATCCCGGAAAATATTCTAGCCGCTATATGTAATATGTACCCTGCCCGGTCACTATTATCAATTATGATCCATTTATTATATACATTTCGAGATCATGACAACCTGAACCCTCCGCTGGTTCTGGTCTGGAAGAATCCCTCGGGGTCAACTGCGTGTCTAACCACGCGGGCCTTCTCAGCTGTGCGCAGTCTGCCCCAGTAATCCTCTCTGAAATACGCATCGTTCATGAACAATGGCCGGTAAATATCAGGAAGACGTCCGTTCTCCACGTGCTGGTCGACGATGTTGCGCATGCCGTTGTACAAGTTCTGGGTCGCGGCATCAACTGCAGTGTCGGAGCTTGCGAAGAGGTAAGAGAAATCAAGTTCCATAACGATGTAGTCGTGGGTTGTCTCAAAGTCCATCAAGTCCTGTAAGACACGGTTAGACAGCATATCTTTATTTATTTTGAGGTTGTACTTACTCCTCCAAGTGCCTTGGCCTTGCTCGTAATTGAACGCGGCATTGGCTGAAAAGCGATCGAACTCAGCAGGCCTGGCTCCAGAATGATTGACTTCGTAACATCGGTCCAGTGGTCATATATCGATCTCATGACTACGGCACCCTCAGTCTTGTTCGGGAGAGGGGTCGTTTCTGTGGCAATAACGTATCGCTGGCCCTTCAGGATAAATTGGTCGTTAAACTTTACGAGCTCCAGATAACTCCTTGTCTTGGTTGTCTTGAGGATGGGTCCAATGTGCGTGAAGTTATCGAAAACTCCTGCCGGAGGCTCAAGGCCATCGTAGAACAGAAACAAGATCCAGGTGTTGAGGAGGGTACTACGTTCCGAAGTCGCGATGATTGCGGCTTTATCATCCAGATTGTACTCGGTAAAGTCACGGATTGCGGCGAGGACCTGGTCCGTCTTGCGAGCGTCGATGATGTAGTTTCCGCCCCAGATTTTGTGTGCCTGTGGATGCGTCTTGATTGTGAAAGCTGTTACTATTCCGAAGTTGTTACCACCACCCTTGAGAGATGCGAAGAGATCTAAAGTCTGTTAGCTAGTTTTGACAGTTTGCGATCATATACTGACCTTGGTTTGACGTCGCATTGGCATTGACGATGGTGGCGTTTGCAAGGACAATCTCATAATTGACAACGTTGTTAGCTCCCCATCCGTACTGTGCGCTGAGGAAGCTGAGACCTCCTACGTAAAAGTTAGAAGGAGCGAAATGAGAAGATGATGCAATATAACTCGCCTCCAAGAAGATATCCTCCAACTCCAACGGCGCCAATCCGTCCACCGACAACAGTGCGGCCGGTCTCCTCAATGCCCTTTACGATCTCCTCCCATTTGAGACCAGGGCCAACAACAACGTTTCTAGTATCAGGGTCGTAGACGACCTGGTCGAGATTTCGGGTAGAGATCAGAATCCCATTGGCAATACTGGCAAAACCATTGTTAGGCATATGGCCTCCTGACTTGACAGCGAATTGGTCATTGGTCTTATGTAGCGCTGCAACAATGTCGGCCACCTCCTGGGTACTGTTCGGAGAGAGCATGCATCTCGGCCGAAGGCTTGCACACGCTGTTGACCAGTAATTCTTTTGTTCGGTCTCGTATGCTAGAGTGAAAGGCTTGTCCACATTTCGGCCGGAAGCCTGTAGTGTTTGACAAATGTCTGCAAGCGCTGGCGCTGCTGCAAGAATCCCAATCGCAGCAGCGAAGCTGGTAGAGGATCTCATAGCTTAAGTGATTGAGAGAAAATATACGAGATTCAACGCCACAAATGCTTGCCTGTCACCTACTCAGCGGGGGGCGCCCTCGATATAAAGCCCCCTAATATAGGGGAACGTTCATCTTGGATACATCTGCATGGCACGATCACAAGCAGCCTTTCCGGAATGTACGGTATATTCCGGAAAAGAGTCCCTTGCTCGGACGACCATCCTGAATAGGCCCTAATGTTCATGATAACGGCTCCATGGTCATGATCATCACAGCTGAGGAAGCGAGGGGTCCCACTTTGGTAGCCTTTCCGTAAATATAAGGGCCTCCCAAAATAGGGGATTGCCTATCTTGGATAGGCCCTTATGGTCGGGCGCGAAGCGAAGTTAAAGAGGTAGAAGCTCCACCTCGAGAACCTTTCCAACCGATTGAAGGTGAAATGTCAGATATCAGAGACGCCTTGCGAGCTATCGCTTTCGCGTGCCTGAACTATCAAATCCATCACGGTTGCGGCAGGTAACGGAATCAGGTCCCAGTAAACAAATTGTACAAAAAACCAAATTTAGCTTCGGCCGTCAGCGTCCGACAGGGCTATCCCGGGCCTACCTAGTATAGCAGGTCCGGCATAACAAACTAAAGCTTTCGTACTCGTATGCCGCCACTAAATACGAAGGTAGCGTTCAAAAGTTTTTCCTGCCAAGAATGCCAAGGTATTATGCATAACTTCCCCTCACTTGCGACCGACGAACTGACTGACAATCGACAGTAAGGTCGGTCAGGCTGCTAAAGCCATCGGACCTTCGGCTTGACCATTACCTCATGTGGTAATTGCCAAGCTGCCGCGTTACAGCCCAGGCTCAGCTGGCTGGCTATAGCGCTCGTAGACCCTAGTAGATAGTTTTAATTAGGCCTAATGTGGTAATATAAGATTTCCATACTGCCCCTGAGTGCTGATTTTGCCTTTTGGTGATGGTATTGATCGTACGGAGTGGATATGTAGAAAATGTATGAGATTCGGTATATAGCTTGGTTTGACCATACTAGTACTTACCCCTAATGCCTTGGCCATATAAATTTTGCGTGTGGAGTCATTGTGGACAAGTACCGTTTTGATCAGATTTTGTCAAGCCATGTGGTACTTACCCCTGATGCCTTGCCTATATAAATTTTGCGTGTAGAGTCATTGTGGACAAGTACCTTTTGGTCATGACAGCGGTGGAAAAAATCATCACATTATCACAGCCTCAATTCCAGCGTTAGAATGCCAATTCGGAGGCAGCAATTGCTGGTGGCAACGATAGCTACCAGTATACTACTTCTACGACTACGTCGTCGTCGCCAGCGGCTTCATATTGAGGCCTTACAGCGTCGATACCGGGCGCCGTTTGAGTATGAGTCTATGTCATGGACTCTCGAAGCGTGGGGGCAAGACTCCCCAGTCAAAGTGAAGCATTATTTACGGTAAGTCAGCTCTTATTTGATTATATATTATACTAAATACTATCTAGCTTCTCAATTGAAGAGATCCGGCGTCTCTTACCCCTTCTTCGGCTCGAAGATCTTGTATATCGTCACCGGGTTGTTGCTGACCCCGAGGCTGCTTTATGTGTCGTACTCGTCCGCCTGGCATATCCAAGCCGGTGGAGCACTTGCATTGGGATCTTTGGAAGATCTAGCACCTGGTTAAGTATCATATTCAATGATACCTGTCAGTATTTGATTGGCCGGTTTGCTTCAACTTTAGCGTGGGCCTCGCATCTAACATATGATAAGATGCAAGAGTTCTCTATAGCTATAGAAGCTATTGGCCAATGCCCTCGTATATGGGGCTTCGTAGACGGCACGTTTCGAGGATTCTCACGTCCGTCAGGTCCTGATGAAGCCTAGCGTGTAGTATATAACGGCCATAAGCGTCAGCATGGCCAGCAATGCAAGCTGTTGTAACACCAGATGGTCTGGCGTCGTCGGTCTGTGGCCCCTTTCTTGGAACGGCAAATGATTGGATGATGTGGCAAGAGTCTGGCTGCGAAGCCAAACTCGAGCAGATTATGGAAGGCAAAGAAGATTCTGAATGGCTCTTCCTATATGGTGATCCAGCGAATCGGTGCACGACTGGTATCATGAGCCCATTTACTCATATAAGGGGGCGGCGTCATTTATCACCTGAAGAGAAGGCGTTTAACCACTCACTCTCATCAGTACGGATTGCAGTTGAGAATTGCTTCGGTCGAATCCAACAGCTATTTACATATACTGCCTTTAATAAGGGGTTAAAGTCAGGAAGCCAACCGGTAGCAGCTTACTTTGCGGTTGCTATTCTCCTGACGAATTGCCATACTTGTATGGCTGGTAATCAGATATCACATCGATTCAAAGTCAGTCCGCCATCAATTGAAGAGTATTTGTATATATTAGAATAGCTAGCTACATAGTAATCAATCCTGTTGTCCCATGCCCATCCGCTCTATCATCGAAGAGAACGAAGAGAACATCTGCTGCTGTTCTCTTCGAATATCTTCAAACTGAGTGGCGAACACAGCTTGAAGCTACTCCTCTTGAGCCTTCAAGTGGAATTCGAAGTTCCCATCTAGTGCCTCTGGATGTAGAGGCGGTGGTAAAGAAAGCATCTTCACTAGATCTTCTACCATAGAGAAGAGGCGCTCTTCTTTGTCGTTATCCAGGATGGCGGCGTTATGCATCTGAGAACGCTGAGAAGCAACAGATGGATGCGGCAAAGGAGAAGGCTGGTAAGAACGGTCAAGTGGTGATGGAGAAGATTGAATATCATCGTCATCAATGATAACGACTTCTTCATCTCCACTACCACTTACCAATTGCTGTGCCTGGCGTGCTGGAAGAGGATTCCAAGGCGAAGGCACTGGCGGGTTGATAGACCGCTTCTCCTTCATTGTAAGAAGCATTGCCGCACGGGCGAGGAAAGAAGCTTCGCTCTTGGCACCAATATTGCCTCGGTGCTCTCTTCGCTAGCGGATAACAGTGGCATCAGCATTGAGGACAGCTATCCAGTTGTCCTCGTATAACTCCCGTTCCGTTCGGCCGTCTTGCTCGCCAGTACCAAGATCCTCAAGGTATTTCTGCCGTGCAGCAATACCTCTCCTAAGCACTCGACGAAGAGTTCTGTGCTCTTTGCCAGTCTCTTTCGTCCAATCGGCAGCTACATTCTTGAAGAATGTAGCTGCTTCTCGTTATCATTGATGACGATGATATTCAATCTTCTCCATCACCACTTGACCGTTCTTACCAGCCTTCTCCTTTGCCGCATCCATCTGTTGCTTCTCAGCGTTCTCAGATGCATAACGCCGCCATCCTGGATAACGACAAAGAAGAGCGCCTCTTCTCTATGGTAGAAGATCTAGTGAAGATGCTTTCTTTACCACCGCCTCTACATCCAGAGGCACTAGATGGGAACTTCGAATTCCACTTGAAGGCTCAAGAGGAGTAGCTTCAAGCTGTGTTCGCCACTCAGTTTGAAGATATTCGAAGAGAACAGCAGCAGATGTTCTCTTCGTTCTCTTCGATGATAGAGCGGATGGGCATGGGACAACAGGATTGATTACTATGTAGCTAGCTATTCTAATATATACAAATACTCTTCAATTGATGGCGGACTGACTTTGAATCGATGTGATATCTGATTACCAGCCATACAAGTATGGCAATTCGTCAGGAGAATAGCAACCGCAAAGTAAGCTGCTACCGGTTGGCTTCCTGACTTTAACCCCTTATTAAAGGCAGTATATGTAAATAGCTGTTGGATTCGACCGAAGCAATTCTCAACTGCAATCCGTACTGATGAGAGTGAGTGGTTAAACGCCTTCTCTTCAGGTGATAAATGACGCCGCCCCCTTATATGAGTAAATGGGCTCATGATACCAGTCGTGCACCGATTCGCTGGATCACCATATAGGAAGAGCCATTCTGACTACAGTTACCAAGCCTGGTTAGTTATGGAAAGTCTTGGAAAATGAGAGAACTACACTCCTTTAGCATAAATAGGCTTGCCCTTTCCTTAAGAAAGGGCAAGCAGACAATACAGTAAATTGACTATCACATACTTCTATGTCTTTTCCAAGCTTTCAAGCATTGATCTTGTTACTCCTTGTTTCTGAAAAGTCAGTGAGGTGCTAACCTCTGACTTATCCCTGAGTTCTCAGACTCAACATTTGTTACAACTTGTCTAAACCACTCCACTACATCATACACCTAATTGATGCATTGTGGAATAGTCTAAGCTACAACCCTTTGGCTCTGTTTCCTAAGACAGTGTGCTATCTTAGTAAAATCATCCCTTTCCTTGGGTGGCTAGATTTTCACATCTGGTGCAGCCACCATTATACCTGTTAGTAGTTGACATAACTCTAACGTGGTTTACCACCAAACGGAACATCCCACCAAATGAAACACTTTCCGATAGCATCGCAACCTCAAACCCAATTACTCCACCCTAACACATTAAAATTAACTACACTCAATTGAATTCTCTTCTCCTAATATCTCTTCAACCTCTTGACAGGTTCATACATTATGCCCAGTCTTGCCGCACCTCCCACAGCGCCGCGAAGTCGATGGACCAGCCTCTACAGCACCCTCCTCATTTGACCTTTTCTGTCGTTTCAACCCTTTATCCTCTTTTTCAGCGATCAGTTTTTGAGCATCTTCTATAGTAAGTGACCCTCCATCTTGGACACGTGTACGCTTGGCTTTCCGACGCTTTGAAAGTGCTGTGTTGGCCTTTCGAAGGGTACGGACCTCCTCTTGTATAAGGGTCATTTGGTGCGCAATGCGGTCTGTACCCTTCTCCAGCTGCTTTACAGCTGAAAAAATCGTTGTTGGGGAGCTTCCTTGATGAATTCCAATTCTATTCTGTACAAACTTAGACTGCAAAATTGCATCAGCTGGGGTTTGTGGCGTTTGAGGGACCCAAGGGTCAGCCTCTAGTAGGGGGGATCCAGTTGGTGTTGGCGTCCGTAACTTGATATCAAGCTTTGAGAGAACTGCTTCTGGGTTGTACGGGACTAGGCCAGTACCTCGAAAGCCAGCTAGGATATTTTCAGTTGTCATTGTATGGTCGTGGGCAGCCTTGAATGCAATAAAGAACTCAATCTTAGTGATATGGGTAATAGAGGCCTTAATGAAGACCTCAAGTTCTTGACCATACATTCGCTTTAGTACACTAAAACACCCAACATCAAGAGGCTGGGTAAGATGTGAGGAGTGCGCAGGGAGACAGAGCGTAATAATGTTGTTCTCCTTGCAGTACATATCAAACTGGGCAGATAGGTGGCTCTCATGGCCATCTAGGACAATCATCCGCCAGACCCCTTGTGTTCGTACACGTGTATGCTGATTAAAGTGTTTTATCCAGTCTAGACCTGTATCATTGTCGGTCCAGCCATTTGGTGAGGTCTTGATGGCCCAAGTAGGTGGAAGGCCGCACTCTGTGTACCAAGGCACAAGGTGATGCTTGCCTTGTACAATCAAGTATGCAGGCACTACAAAGCTGTCTGCACTCACACATTCAATCGCTGTTGCCCATTCCCGATTACCAGACTGAAGCTGCTTTGCTCGGCCTTTTCGATCTGAGCTCGTAACAACCATATTCCCACAGATAACACCCATCATAAAGCCCGTCTCATCAAAGTTGTAGAAGTCAGCATCCTGGATGCTGTACTTCGCCTGCATGTTCTTTACCAGCTCAAACCACTTTCTTATACAATCAGGATCTTCGCAGAGGGCTCGCTGGAGGTCGTACGCACGAGAGAGATGCGTCTTAAGCTTTGGTTCATTGTGTACAAAGCGGTAGGGCCAGTTTTTTCCAACTGGGGGTTCGCGATGCGTCGCACGGAGGAGATTCGCTATATCTCGTACATCCTCAATTCGAGGTGGAAATCCTCGCGAATCTAGGTCAAGTACGTATCGTATGAGCTCCTCTTCCTCAATTGGGGTCAATGGACGTTGTTTGTCGCATCTACCAGCTCGTGGTTGGCTTCCGTGTATGCGACGGGTAAGTGTTACATGTGGGACCTCATATAGCTGCGCAGCACGTCGGATGGACAGTTTGTGGGGTGATTTGGTAGCTTGAATGGCTAGTAAAACTCGGCCTTCATTAGCTTTCTGAGGCATCTTTTTGTTGTGGTGTGGTGGAGCAATTGGGTTTGAGGTTGCGATGCTATCGGAAAGTGTTTCATTTGGTGGGATGTTCCGTTTGGTGGTAAACCACGTTATAGGTATTGTTTAAGGGTTTGATTTAGTCTTTCTGTTTTATCGTCTATTTAGGGATGGAAAGCTGTCGAAAGCTTATGATTTGTTCCTAAAAACGCTATTAAAGATTTCCAAAATTTCGAAGTGAAAAGCTTGTCTCTGTCTAAGATGATTTCTTCTAGTAATCCATAATTAGCTAATATGACTCGAAGGAAGGTGTATGCAAGTGCTTTAGCACCGCTAGCTTCTAGATATAGCACAAATGTTCTATATTTCGTAAGTCTTTCTGTAATAACTAGGATAGCGTCAAATACTACTCCTATTAACGGGTCCCAAGAGGGTGGTAGCTTGATGATGAAGTCTAAAGCTATAGATTTCCATGCTCCTGTTAGTACTAGAGTTGACTTCAGCTGTCCATATGGCAAGTGCCTATTAGATTTTGATTTTCTGCAAATGTCGCACTCTCTTACCACTGTTTTCACCTGCTTCCTCATACCGCCGCCCTCTGTGTACCAATTGCTAAGGTGATAAGCCCTCTTTACGATGAGAAATGGTAGAAGGCACTAGCCTTTAGCATTAATGCACTTGATTGGCTATAGCCCATTCCCAATTGCTAGGCTGGACTTGCTTGCCTCGTCTGACCCGATTAGCACGTGTAACAACCATTGATCCATGTATTATACCCATCACAAAGCCCGTCTTGTCAAAGTTGTAGAAGTCGTCATCTAAGATGCCGTATTTAGCCCTCATGTTTCGTACGAGGTCGAACCAGTTGCCGATAAGCTCAGGATCCTCGTAGAGGGCTCTCTAGAAGTCATATCCACGAGAAAAATGCATCTTAAGGGCTAGTTGGCATCGTACGAATCGATGCGCCTAGAGCTTCCTAACGCGTCGCCTACCACGCGACTCGAGGATGAGATTGGTCATATCTTCCACACTAGCTAATCGCGGCGGAAACCCTCGCGCATCTAGGTCAAGTATGTGTTGTACGAGCACCTGCTCTTCTATGGGCTCTAATTTAGTTATTGCTAGTGGCGTTTAGGGAGTGGGAGTCGGCCATTCATTCTGTTACGGAGGGATGTTTTAGGGACGTTGTAGATCTTAGCAGCTTGTCTGCGACTAAGTTTTTTGGTCGTACGAATAGCTTCGATGGCAAGGATAATTCGTGCTTCTTTAGTTTGGACAGACATTGTGTTGTTGTGTTGTGGTTGTACAATTGAATGTTGTGGTCGCGAGGTCATGGAAAAGTGCGCCAGGTACTGACATGCGCCAGGTACTGATAAACCACGTTATTCAAGAATACGTTGAAGCACATATCAATGCTACCCACAATATATTTTTGACTCAATAATGGGTTGACTTCTCTCTTATTCTTGCCCACAGGATAGTGATTGGGTTATATAGATGGTTGCTGTGATGAAAGAGACTTGCCACCATCACGAATATTTATCAAATTTCGCAGAATACTCACTATGAACATTTAATTACAGAACAGTCACTCACAAAGCAAAAACGGGACACGTTATCAGAATGTATTTTTGAAGGCACCACACAAAGTAACTGGCCCTTAAAAACATCAAATAAAAATAAAATCCCCGAAGCCGCAACGCCGCCACCGAGCTCTCGAGTTTCCACCCCATCTTCCCTCTCAAATCGGTGTCTGAACTATCGGCGGTCATCAAAATCGACTCTACCGCGGCCGCGGCCTCGACCGATAATCACGGTAGGGGCGGTTCCCCTCACGATTGTAACCACGGAATCCGGCGTTATGGCGGCGGGCTGCAGTTTCGCGTGCTTCGCGGGCATCTTCACGCTCCAGGAAGGACCTAAGACTGGGCGACATATTGCGACGGTCTTCGTAGCTGCGACGCTCACGGGAACGGCCACGGTGTTCGTGGCGGTCGTGGAAGAGCTCCTTTCCCGAGTTGCCGGGGCTTGATCTCTGTACATCAGAGGCGTGGTAGCGGCGGCTGTTGGGCCTCACAGGGAGGTGGTTGGCGCTAGAGAAGGTGGAGAAGGAGCGCTTCCTGGGGTTGACTGAGGCTGGGGTTGGCTTTGTAGCTTGGTCGAGAGAGCTCACAGAGCCTTTATAGGAACCCCCTCTCGCAGTTGATCTCGTCTTGGAGTGTCCAGGAAACCTGCCGCCAAATCCATCTTCGTCGTCTGTCGTTTGAGCCTCTAGCTTGGCCTTCTCCTTGTCTAAAGCTTCGATCTTGGCAGCACTCTCGAGGAGATGCGCCTTTTCCGTGGCCTTTTCCGTGTCGATGGCGGTGATGGCGCGGTGGCGCCCGAGGGCGCTTCTGCGGTGAGCGAGATCGTCCCACTTGGTCAGCTTGAGCCAGTCGCGGAGTTCGTCGTTGCTCAGGAGAACTTTCTCCAGTGGTGAATGTTTGTCTTCTTTCGGGCTAGGTATAGTGTTGGTGCTATTCTTTGCATTTGAGTTATCTTTGTCTTTGTCGCAGCTGTAAAGTCTCGGTTTGTCAATAGTATTGGCGCTTGACCCGCGCTGCTCAATATATTCATGTCTTGGTGCAGGCTTCTTGTCCCGCGTAATTGTGCTGCTTTGAAACCTAATGAGACCTTGCCTTTCCACAACACTTGGTGTAGATGGCGATTTCTCCTTTCCCACAGCCTCTTGAACCAGCTCCTCCGTCTGAACTTTCTCTTGCTGTTCGTTGGGTACAGTTCTTTTCTGCTCAATATCCTGAAAAGCTCTGGCTTGAGTTGAGGCTGGTTTTGAATGCATCAAATTAAGCTGTGTCTGGGACCCCTTCGATTGTACATTGTTTTGTACAACTCTAGCAGCATCTGGTGATGGCCCAATACTTGAAGCAGGCAATGCGTTAGAACTCAGATGCTTCTTATAGTTATCTTCAGCAGCAACTCTGCCAGCCTCAATGAGTTTTGTAACCTCATTATCGTCAGCCTTGGGTCTTCCTAGTATCTCACAGGCCGAAGTTTTCCGTGCCAGCCTAGGTCCAGTATTGCCTGGAATAATTCCCCTTGCAATATTCTTTGGTGAAGTAGAGGACACGATAGAGCCACTCATAGGACCCTTCGACTGATTTCTGGGCATAGTAGGAGAGCCTCGAAGCAAACTCGCCATCTCCTGCGATGTTGGATCGAGAGCGCCGGTGACAGCCTCATCGGCTTTCAGTGCATTTTTGGCCTTGGCACGTTCCTCCTTGCTCTTTATGAGCTGGGACTTTAGCTCCTCGGCTCTAGAGTTCAGAGCCATGTTAGCAACAGGTTTGCGTAATGCAGCAGGTTCAGTTGGTGTGTCAGGCCGAGCTGATTTGATGGGCCGAGTTGCTGGAACAGACTGAGTTGATACACCGGGATGGGCCAGCGCAACAGGCTCCATGGCCTGGGCTTGCTCCTGTCGGGTGTTAGTTCAGACAGGTCTAGCTCGGATAAAGATGGAATGATTTGAAGGTATTTCGAGAATAGTGAAGATAGATCAGAACTTGGATTTGTAATTCTTCTCTAGGGAAGAGCAAAACTTCATGCTTAACTCACCGGATTGGCTGGATTGGTGAAATAGGCTTGTATAAACTCGTTGTTCCCGAATCCAGGCATTGGATGGAACACGTTTGGCATGTAATTCCCGATATAGTTTGAATTTGGCGGCGGGTAATATTCAAACGGAAACAGTGGATACACTGGGAAGCCAGCAGTATGATGAGGGTAGTTAACAAAGTTTCCGCCGCCCTGGTTGATATCACTTCCCTGGTAGTTCTCCTCGTTGGTGTTGCTTTGATCGTTGTTGTTGTTGTTGTCCTGAGCCCCGTTGTGGGTGGGCGCGCTGTTGCTTCCAAAGTTGTTGTTGGACCACATCTCTGGGCGTGAAATAAGTGGTACTTTCAATCTAGACTGCTCTTTGAGAGAATGCCTTCAGTGCTACCTTTCGATAGAAAGTTTCGTAGAAGACGCCCAAGTGTGAAATCCCAGGGCGTCAAAATATTGGTGGCCGATCCGGTTGAAGAAGTGCAAGCGAGGCGAGCATGAGATTAGTACTGTAAACTAGCAATTCCTGAAAGGTAGGCTCCTCTTATGTTGTTTCGGGGCTACCTGCATATTGAACAAAGAAAGTAGCTTGAGGCAGGCAAGCGCGCGGAAACAGTTTGACTTGTAGAAGCGAAGCAGACACAGGCGTGTTTGATAAAGGTGTGAAGAGTTATGGTGTTTGTTGTCGTTGGTTGAACTGGGCTGAGCACAGAAAGCGAGTTTATCGAAAGATTTCCCTACCATCCACTCATAAAATGAGTAAAACAAGCATCCGACAGCCTAAATAAATCATAAATAGAAACAGGGACTGATAAACACTATTTATATTTGATAGTACAAAAGTAGAAGGCACTCACGGAGCCGTTAACCTAAATACGCTATGCAGGCGGAAGGAACGATGCAAACAGAACCGCCTGGATAAGTCCATACATAACCATGTACATAACCACACCTCCTTCCCAACCGCTCCACCTACTTCTTACTTTCGTCTTCCCATCAGCCTGTCCGGCGTCTAGTAAGCTATATGCTAGCCACAAATACCACACCGGCGACGCAGATGCTAGGCGCGTAATAATCTGGACATGGTAATTGGTGATCGCGAGAACTGCGAGAACAATCTGCGGATACGCCAGGCTCCTGAGCAGGCGGATCGTGCGTTGTGAGAGGGCGCGTTCAGCGGGAGTCACTTTGTAGTGGTCAACCTTGTGTGAGGGCCTGGTCGTTTCCCTTGATGTGAGGTCTACGGTGCGGAGACCGGAGGACAAAAGAATCACAAGGGCCGGTGCCGCAAGAAGAAAGAGTGGAATGTTGGATACTTTCCAGTAGCGGAGGAAGCCCACGTCCCTACCATTCGTGTTAGCACCTGGATACGGAGGAGACAATTAAGGGACATACCAGTAGTGTTCCTGCACAAAAGTGTAAATACTAGGAGCCAACCTCGCGCACCACGGCCGAGGTGAGGTGGAAGAGCAGTACTCTTGATAGGCAATGTACTGTGGCAGCAAGAAGCCGACAGCGATGCAACACCCACCAACTCCTACAGCAGCCAATCGTCTGATTTTCTGGACCGACAACCCCTTTCTAACACTCCACGCAACCAGCACCGCCTCCTCCGCGAACACAATGCCGTTTAGCAGCGCATTACTCCTCACTGTGGTTGCCAACCCCAGCGTCAAGCCCGCAAGCACCATGAACCCATCCTGCTTCAGCGATGAGACAGCACCAACAGGCACACCCCAGGCAAAAAACAGAACCCCGGCAAAGGTTAAAAATGCAGCAGTGCTCTCCCCGCATGGAGCGGTGAGAAAGATCCCGGCGGGCGAGAGGATGTGCAGGCATCCAGCGATAAAAGCTAGCTGTGGCCCAGATGGGCCAGGGAAGATGGCGCAGGCAAGGTGGTAGAGCGCAAAGACTGAGAGACCATGGGAGGCGTGGGCGATGGTGGCACCTACAAGGCTTTCAAGTGGGAGGTAGGCGAGGGAGGTCTGACCGAGGTCTGCGGGGTATTAGTTCCCGAATGGGGATAGACAGAGAGTGGCCTACCGGAGGAGAAAAATGAGATCAGGTGCGTCCAGCCCCATGCAAATGCCCATTCCTGCTCATAGAGATAGCCGCGTCTCGCGACTGTGGTGAAGTAGATGGCATCCCAGGATGTCAGTTTCTCAGCGAGGAGCTCGAAAAACATGGTCAGGGATGAGCCATCGTTGACAGGGAGGGTGAGAATGCTGGCAGATGTATCGTAACCGGGGCCAGGGCTGAAGAGGGCGATTAAGAGGACTAGGGACTTATATGCTATGAAGAAGAAGAGGAGGGACTGGTGGGGGGAGTCCAAAGGCCGCGTGAGGAAAAGGGGCTTTGGCATTGCGGCGGTTGTGGCTGGTTGGCCGGTGTCTGTGATGGCGGATACCCCGAAGTGGTCCAGCGGTTCAAGGTAATTTATATATATCACGTGACATCGAGACGTGAAGGTTGATTTCTACAAATGTACGGCTTGCTGGCCAAAGAACTGTATTAGGAAGATGCAGCTATCCTTGCAGCTGTCCTTCTTGTATTATCCTGAGTCTGGGGCTTTAATGGCTGATCAAGTAGTTTCTTAGGATTGCCAGGGAGTATGGCTTGCGACATGCTAGACACACTCACGGTTGTCTCCCTGTCAATCACTTCATAACTCTAATGCAATAGTTGCTTCTTGTCTTGTATTTGTCTTGCTTGATTTTCCTTCATTTGCTCTGGTATACATATGCAGTCTTCCCAAATCCCAATACGCCGCCAATGCACTCATGCCGTATCCTACAACAGTGGCTCCCAATGTACAAGTATTTCCTTCCGTAGGCTCTTTCGAAATCGTGCTTGCACTCTTCCGGCTCTCCTCATCCTGATATACAGTAACTTCACATCTTCCGTCGCGTCCTGCGCTCCCTTCACTTCCTCTTCCTCGGTCCGACAATCTGCGGGTACATTCTCGACAAATGGTAGTTGATGGTGTTCTTCTTCACATCCTTCGGTCTCTGTAGTCGCAGTATTCATTAGCAATCCGTCCCATCTCGGCGCAACCTATCCTGCGAATTCTGGAGTAACTTACCGGTTTGTCCATGCATGCGCGCAGTGATGTCTCTAAAGCGCTGCAGCCCGCCACGCTATACCCGGAAGAAGCCCAGCAAGCTATTGTAGATTTCCGTTAGCAATTTGCTCGGTTTGCCCTTAGTTATAAGTGTGTCTAGCTTGGGGGAGACCTACTGAGAACAGAAGTCATGAGTCCCAAGCACGGGTTGTTATTGTTCTGATTCGGCCTCTTGACACGAAGGTTTGGCAGAGGTGGTAGACGGGCCGTTAGCGCTTTCGGTACAGCTACTTTCTTTGGCGGCATCTTGGAAAACCCTCAGACAAACTGTTTCTCTTGAGGGCGAATGCTGAGAGATCTTGAACTGTCGTGAGGGATGTCGTCCCAATTGGTCCCTCAAAAACTTTCGAGATCAATCAGGCACAAACTCAGGCACAAACTCAGGCACAAACAACTCGGTGACGCTAGTGCGTACTTGGGATAGCGGTTGGCCGGTGCGCTAACGAAAGAAGTGATAGATGTAAACAAACGAAGAAACTCCCAGTCGATAACAGACAGAGTATTGTTCTCAACAGGACTTATCCATTTACGACTTTGATGCGATTTTGACGCGTGTACTTTGAGGGCACGAAGGATTTAATTATATTCCTTCTATATTTGCGAACTTTTGCACCCCCGATTTTATGTTCTAAACTATCAGTTTTGACGAGCAGAATAGCAGCGACAATGGCTGCGTCGGAGGGTCCTAACCTGCAAGACTGGTATGTACTACTACGTCTCCATAACCACAATTATTACTTATAATGAATTAGGAACATCAGCAAGTCTGCGTTTCTACCTCCTGCGAACCGCGGATCGATTCGTGCCTGGGACCGTGCGAAGGTTCCCTCACGTGCCCCTCGACTACACGGCAAGAAGGTCTGGAAGAAGGTTGCTCGAGCCTTTGAGAAAGACCCAAATAATGAGGAGGCACAGCTGGAGTTGCAGAAGGAGGGCATGGGGTCGAGGAAGAAGATGAGAGCTATCAGCGCGAAACAGAACATAAGGGATGCGGAGTGGGATGGCACAGAGTGGGAGGGTTTCCCAGACGAGATCAGCACTGCTGCTGAAGGCGCGGTACACGCTGGGGATGACGAAAGCTTCATGCAAGACGACCTCAAGTTTGTGCCGAGGAAAAGGAGGAATAACAACAAGGTCGTCTCGCCGAAGAAGTCTCTCCGCCAAACCACACTCAACATACAAGCACAACCCGACGCGATGCAAATATCCCACGAAGGCGCCATTAAGAGAGCTACGCGGCCGCGGAAATCTGTACGAAAGAGCCTGAGGAGATCGATGCTTGTCGACACCGAATCTGTTACAATCCCTCCTCAGACCGAATCTCCAAAAATCGTCCCGGATTTCAACCTAGCGAACGAAGCCTCAATGCTGGAAGTCTTTTCACCAGTGATTCGGTCACCTTTAAAACCTCCCGGAAAGAAACAGAGGGTGCGCGCCGCGAAAGAACAGAGGTCAAGCGCTGGAGGGGACCTTAGGCTCTCTGGAGCTTTCTTCGCTGGTACTGATAATGAAGGCTCAGCACCCAGTGGTCCCAGTACAGAAAATGCAGGGATCGCGGGAACCCCTGTTCGTGCCGCAAAGGCGACAGCAGTTCCAGCGACTGCCCCTCCAAAGGTCCATCTCAGCAGGAACGAACTCGAGAAGCAGATGGTGAACTTCTTCACCCCTATCGCGAAGATGAAGAAGGTGAAGAGGCGGTCATCTCCTATCAAAAGCTATCTGCAGGAGCTTCTGGCAAAGAAATCGCTACCTCTGGAGCCTTTAGAGAAGGAAACGGAAGAGCGTTTGGCATTGGCTGACGAGCGTATTTCTATTGGGGCTGTTGATATAGAACAGGACCAAAAACAAGACGACGAAGCTTCTACAGAGCCTGCCTCTTCTGACACTGACGCCCCAAGCACTGATGATGTTCAAGAAACACCGAGTCCTACAGACACTACATCAGAAGAACAGGAAACAACGGATGCTGAGGCTAATGATGCCTCCGAAAACCCAGAGCCAGCAGAAGCTGACCACACCCCTCCCACCCAGCCCGAGCAACCCGTCTTCGAGCACACCGAGGACGCCACGCACTCGGACAGCCCATCCGAATCAAGCGAGTCCGCAGACTCCCACGAGAGCGCTGAGTCCGCCGAGTCCGCCTCCTTCACACCCCCGGGAGTAGACTACGACCACGACGACACCGATATGCTCCGCTCCTTCCTCACCCGCGTGCAAGCCTCAAAAGCTTCCAAATCCTCGCCGAAGCGCAAGCGCTCCCCGCACTCCCCGCTGCGCATCCCGCTGGGGGATATGGATAGCAACCTCTCCCCTTCCCCCGTGAAGACTGCCTCTATAGAGCCCGTCGACCCGACGTCCAGCTCGCCTGTTAAGCGCTCCAAGCGACTTAACTCGTCGGGGATTGCTGATGAGCCGACGGAGCCACAGAGCTGTCGGCGCAGCGGCCGCACAAGGCTCCCTGTTAAATCAGCGGCGCCGGGCGCACCTAGTTTTATCCCAATGAGGAGGCTTGGGGGAGAGGATACGACACTCACGCTTGGGGGGAAGAATGAGGTGAAGGAACTCGCCGCGCTAACGCGAGTGAATACACGGAAGAATAAGGCGGGTGCATTAGGCGCCATGGAGTTGCTAGCGAAGAAGGCAGAGGAGAAGGATGACCCCGTGTTGAGGCAGAGATTGCTGAAGGAGATGTTTGACGAGAAGGAGAAGAAAGGAAAGGGTGGGAAGGCGAAGAAGGGAGTGGTGTGGGCGGAGGAGTTGACATGTGTGAGGGAATTTGACGAGAAGAAGATTATTTCGAAGGGTATTGCTGGGCCGAAGGGGGCGAATAAGAAGAAGACGGTAGTTGTGGAGGAAGATAAGGAGGAGAAGGCGACCAAGGTTAGGGTCGGGATGGCGAGTTCGAGGGAGACCAAGATCGCGCTCGGGATGGGTGTTAATGGGACGCCGGCGCCGAAGAGGCGTATCCGGGAGCCGAGGGTGAAGGTGTGAAAGGGGGCCATATACGCGGACATGTGAATACGGGAGAGGAGTTTGATTCAAGGCGTTTAGTTTAGTTTCCCGCGAAGTATAGGCGTTTCATGGCTAGGACAGATGGGCTGGATCGGTGGAAGGGAAATGATGAAGATGTTCAAACCACCAGCTTGGCGTGTTACGAGTACTACAGTATGTCGCAGCAGCCTGCGAACCTGGGGAAGCTGAGATGTCGCAACTGTTCCTCCTTTCGTCCCTCCAGAGTCGTTGCCACCATGCGTCGCCCTCACCGACCTCGCATCGCCTTCACAAGTACAGTACACTGCTCTGAATCAACGCGTCTCCCACTTCGCCCCAGCCCGTATAGCCCCCTTGTAAACCCTCATTCCCCTGATCTCCCAGTATGCACTGCAACCTCACAACCATCCACCCAATCTGCCGGCCGCGGAGTCACAGCCGTTATCGCATTCCCCGGCACGCCCGGATGAGTGTAATTACCAGCTGGAGAAAAAGGTACTGTACTGGAGGGAGGTGTGAGGGGAGATCACCAGCATCGCCGCATGCCAGGAACAGACGCGAGACGAAGCGGATGGTGACAGTGCCGGCTGCCGTGTTGAGGCGTATTTTGGACGCCTGTGAGGCTGAAGACGGGAAGAGGCGTTTCGACGGTGAGGGGGGGGGAAGGCGAGGCCGAGGATGGGACGGTGGGATTGTTGTGGGGGAGAGGGGTGGTGGTGGGTACGGGGGATTGGGGGGGTGGTTACCTAACCACCCCCCCAATCAGTAGGTACTGATTGCTGTGATGTGCTGGATGGATGTACTGTACCTTACGAGTCGTGGGGAGATAGTGGAGTTATGTTTGATATCCCTCACAGCGATAGATCGTCCTGTTGGTACTGTTGTTGTCGTAGTTGTTTACTTTGCAGAAAAATTGGACGAGACATCGTTCGTGCTCCATCTGGCTTTCCTTGCTTTTATTCAGCACAGGTAACCCGTTGTAGTGCTGGACAGGACAAGAGACAGGACAAGAGACAGGACAACTTTCTGTCCCGTCTAGTCGACAGTATTGTCTCTCTCCCGAGACATGCAGCCGCCACTACTTCTGAAGCACCCGTCCCAGTCCCGGTAGGCTAAACCCCTAGCTCCGCCCATCGACAGGTGCGCACCAACCCGCCCGAGTCAGTGGTGGACAGTAAGTAGGTCCTCTGTAGCTCTGTGGCAGCCGAAAGAGGTAAGTAAGCAGGTTCGATGCATGCAACGGCGGGGGATCGGCCGGGTCCCCGCGTAGTGCCTAGGCGCTGCCGTCGTCTGGGAATGGGAAGGGCGGGTTCCCGATGCGTCGGCGTGCGTGGGAGGCGACGGGCAGTGCTACTGGTGTGTGGTAGCGGACGAATGAGGGGGGGCGCCGTGTCTTGGTTGCGGGATGGGCGGGTGAGGGGAGATGGGATGGAGGGGGATGGCGACCGCCGTTCGATTGCAACATCACCAGACACAGCGACGGCGATAACAGGAGCATCGCAGCGTAGCACCCTTTTACAACATCGACCAAGATTACACGTGGAACACCTGCGCACAGTACCATATCGATGGAATCTGTGTTGTGCCCAAAGCGAGACAAAGATGTCTCATCCGACCTTTCCCTCCCCACAAACTATTGTCTTCCCTATCCCATCGTAGTGAGTCCTGCATGAAGCCGTCGTCGAGACGGCGACCCAGATAAGCCAGACTCTGTAGCAGCGGCTGTACCGTCGTGGGGACGTTGCGGCTCCTTTGGGAGACAGGTCGGCGTGCCATATGCACACGCGATCGAAAGCGTGTGAGGCGCCGAGACGGTGAGTAAAGGTGAACTGATCAGTGGGTAGGATCCAAGACATGCGGCGCTGGTGTGTCGCTGTGGGGGCACGAAGTGTCATAGCCTCTGGACTGCTGGTGTTCCCCTGCTGGAGAGTGGCTTCTGCAGCAGCACAGGGCGGGCGTAGGTCTTAGGACGGGTGTGCGCGCTGTGATGCTTGTTGCTGCTTGTTGCTTGTTGCTTGCTGCATGAGGTGAGGTCGCAGAGACAGGGGATGGTCTGGCGCTGGCGATCGATGCAGGTCGGCGCAGAAGCAGGACGATGGCGATGGCGATGAGATGAGATGAGATGAGATGAGATGAGATGAGATGAGATGAGATGAGATGAGATGAGTAGAGTACGATACTTGCTGTATAATTGTCAAACCCTAACTTACCATTCGCTTCCCCCACAATTACTCGTTACCCATTACCAAAGTCGGTATTCCCAAATATACTAACCCTGTTCTTCCCCCGTCCTGTACCCTCCGTTCCTGTAGGACAAGATTTACAGCGCTAGGTACCAGAAAACCAGCTACAATTCCCGGCAGTTCCCCACCGTTTCCACTCCTCTTCAGAGCACTGACTACCGCTGTATACCCACCCCCACCCCCCGCCCTGGGACTCGTCAGATGTCGGAAATGCCCTCCAAGATAACGCCACTCGCTGCAGCCGAGGTGCGTCGACCCATGTCCAGTACTCTACATCTGGGAGCGTACCTACCGCACGGCACAGCGGTGCAGGATGGGGATCAGGGGTCTCAAGGCCCAACAGACCGGGCGTGTGGATGTACAGTACTACTGGCTGGGCGATCGGGGCGGGCTGGATGGGAGCGGGCGAGGAGGGATGGGATGGGATAGACAGCGACGAGACAGCCCCGAGTGGAGGAGGGGGATGATGTGCTGATGCGTAGAGGGTGGCCCTGGGGTGGATATGAATAGAGGGGGGTTCGCCCACTTCTTGAGGAAGGGAGTTGAGATAACGAAAGAACGAATATACTGATTACAGTGACGACGCCTTTGGGGATATATATTGCTGTCGACTTGTCTTTACTGGTTCGACGACGAGGGATAGTGACCACACAACGGAAATTCGAACCCACACTGGCGCTTCTTTCTTGCTGGGATAGCCAGACTTGATTTGGCGCATAGAGACGCAAGACAGGAGGAGGAAGATATTATCAACGAGATGTGTCCGTTTACACAGGTCCGCTACAAATGCGGGCATCGTGTCTTCACGGTGCGGGCGTGGTGCGAGACGTATGAAAAAACGCATGTCCGGTGCAAGGTGTATGTTGTTGCGTATGAGAAACGGTATGTTTGTGTGTTTATTCGCAGTTCTCCACTAACACCCCCTCAGCAGCTACGCCTGCGGTCCCTGTCGACCTGCTGTCAAAGCGCCCTGGATGGAAGCCCTCAAGATCCCCATCCTCACCCAACGCCGTCTCAGCCGTGTATGGCGCCAACAGCCCCCACCGCGTCCCGTCTGGAAGAGCCCATCATCCATCAAATGCCCCCCATCAAAATGGGCAGACCACCGGCGGACCATCCTCGCACCACTTCACCAACACTCACATCACCGGCATCACTCGCCGGCACTGGTAGCATAGGACATATACGACATACATAAGATTACACATACGATACAATGATACATATACGACAAAACGGGCGGCTAGATTTGGCTCCATATCCCCATACCTATACCCATTCACATACGCAAAACAACACACCATCATCAAACAGGAGCAACACGGCGAACAGGCGAACAACACAGGGGACAACATCAGCAGCGGCTGTACTCATGCAACATTTCCCCCGCACCAATATTTCTTCCTCGTAACCTTGGGAGTCAAAGCAATTTTTTTCTCTTTCAAATTTTACTTTCTCCTCGGAAACTAGCTGAGGGGAAACTGGGGCGCAACCGCCGACAGGGCCACGGGCACTGGGTGGGGGGATGGTATTGGAGTATGACAGGGGCTGTCGGGACCGGGCGTGGGGGGATTACTATTTACTACACGGTGTACTGGGAGGGACGGGGCGGTGTATATTTGCGGTTTCGTTAATATATATTCACGTTTGTTTTTCCGCAACCTGGATTCATTGACTTGGGTGATTCTTGTTCAAGCGACTCGTTGGGGCAGTGACACCATGCTGTTATCTCGTCCCATCGCACACTCCCACCTATCCCTCCCCTGTCCGAGACCGAGTCTGGAGATGCGTGGAGAATAACATCACCCCCACTAGGAGTCAGACCCCTATAGACAGACTATGGTTCTGACAAAGCCACCCCAGCGTAATGTGCTCAACTTACCTCCTACCAAAGGGAGTAAGTAAGTTGGGCAACTCACAACACCACCACGTCGTCTTCCACGCGTAGCCCATCATGGAGCCGATGCGACGTCAGGTAGGAACCTCATATCTCCGCAGCCATCATCGCTACCATAATCATCACTGCCACCAGCAAATCCCGATCCAAACCCCCCTCTAACACCACTAATCGACATGTCACATTCCAAACCAACAGCCCCCGCTTCACCCCTCCATCAAGGCTGTTGTCACCTCCACATCACTGCCTAATGCAGCTTGGAATCGCGAGGGCCTCGACCCGTGGGTGTGGTTCGGCCGTGCGATGGACATGCTGCGATGTGATGCGAGATGAGATGCGCCGGTAAGAGGGGCGGCGGGAAGGAGATGATGTACGGAGGCGTGTACCAAAAGTCCTTGCCGGGCTGACAGTGCCAAGGAATGTGGCGTTCGGGGCTGAAGATAGGGGTAAAGTCTGTAAATAGTCATCGTCAATTCGTATTTTGTACTCCGTAGAGTAGAAGATAGTACAGATATTAAATATGCCTTCATACTCTCTTGCAACGCGAGCTCAAATTTTTGTATCCTCTTTAATTTGCTGGTATGTAGCTCCATAAGCTCGGAGTCTCATTGATGCCCCTCGAACAGGACGCCCTCGGAAACTAAGTGCAAATAGTTATAATTGATTCCCATTTTATGAAGCTACAGGTGTGAGTATCGTGAACGCTCATTTTGACAGGGGGTAGGCACCCCTGCCCGGCAAGGACTTTTGGTACATGCCTCCCCTCCGTAGGTCAATTAGTCAATAGGCCAATTTAGAAGCTGCTTTGCTTCGTTTTGTAGCAGCAAGGGACCCCTGTATAATGTAGTATATATGTAGTTAGTATAATAGCTTGGCATTCAATCTAACTAAATATAGTAATATAAAAATTGATTCTTACCGTATGGTTTGAAGCCTAGAACTGGTGATTTGGTGATTTGACTATTGTATGGATGGATTTCGGCTGGATTTCAGTGTATTCTAGCTAAAATTATCACTTTTGGTATAAATGACTAACAACTAACAACTAACTCCCCTTTTCCAAACTAGGATACTCTGCTAACTCACTAGCTTTCGCTCTCATTATGGCATCGGATATACCTGTTGCAAAGAATCACTATTGTTATGATACTTATACTTACTATAGTGGCAAGTATGGACAAAGAATAGTAGATATGCTTGCGGTATCACTAGAAAGTAGCTTAGAGAGCTTAGAATCATCAAGAACAGTGACAGATGTGCTGTGACAGCCAAGGGCGTCTTAAAAGCTTGACTAATGCTTAAGCTCTTAAAGCTTTCTAGTTCTCTACAAGGATATTCGCTAGCTTACCCCTCTCCTCCACCTCTATAATGTCTCTTAGTTAAGAGGCATTCGGCTAACCCCTAAGTTAGCCTTGCATATCATTTATACACAGCTAACCATCCCTAGGAGATGGTCGACTCTCAAGATCTTTAGTTGGTTAAGGCCTTAGTTAAGTATTAATAGGACAAGAGGAATAGCTTCTTGTCTTTTCTAGCCATAAGCACCTTCATGTGTAAACTATTAAGTAATAGTTATGCTAGACAGTATTATGTTGTTAGTAACAGGACCTTAGCCTAGTCTAGTTAATGACTAGACTATGTAGCACTACCATTCTATAGAGTAGCACTTACAAGAGGTATGCCCCCTTTTGTGCCTTTTCTTAATTATACTAACTATTTATGCTATCTAGGTTATGAATGGTTATAAGACCATCCTTTAAGTTTATAGCAACCCAGTATATAGAACTGCCTTTAGCACAGCTTACCTGTAGACGCATCTATAGGAGAGGCTCTTTCTTAGTGTTAAGGAAAGAGCTTAGAACAAAGCTCTTTGCTCTACCTAAATTGCTGTTAAGCAAGCCTTTAGTAATGTCTACATCTTATAGACATATATATCCTTTAGAAAGGGGCTTTAGTTAGGTTTTCAACCTGTTCGTGTATACTTTCTAGTAGTAGCGCTTCTTACAAACTGCCATACCTATATCTAAGCACATCTACTTCTAGGTCATGGTTTATAGTGCCTCTACTAATGATAGAGGCTTATTTATTATTATAACTAATCTATAGGTAAGTTTAGACTACTCTCCTCCTCTCTTGTCTTTTATGTGGACTTAGCTTTGTAATAAGCTGAGGATCTTATTAACCTCCTTTTGTAGGTTATAGAGGCTTTCCTCTATAGCTATGATCCTTAAGGGGCCACTCCCCTTAAGTATGATTATAAGACGGTTAGCGATTAATACTAATTTAGTTAACATAGATAGAGGAGGTAATGGAGGGTAGTCTCTTGTCTGTCGTTTACACTTTTAGGAAGGCGCTAAAGATATCAAGGCAATAGTAATGTAGGCGTTTAGGCAGTAGAGTTTAACGATGAAGCTCTCCTATCTAAGAACTATCTAGTCTAGCATTAACCTGACGAGCGACTCAAAAAGGGAGTTAGGCAATTCATCCTACCACACTTTAAGTGCCTGTAATGGTGGGTGCACCAGATGTGAGAATCTAGCCACCCAAGGAAGGGATGATTTTACTAAGACAACACACTGTCTTAGGAAAAGGAGCCAAAGGGTCGTAGCTTAGACTATTCCACAACGCAGCAATCAGGTGTATGATGTAGTGGAGTGGTTTAGACAAGTTGTAACAAATGTTGAGTCTGAGAACTCAGGGATAAGTCAGAGGTTAGCACCTCACTGACTTTTCAGAAACAAGGAGTAACAAGATCAATGCTTGGAAGCTTGGAAAAGACGTGGAAGTATGTGATAGTTGATTTACTGTATTGTCTGCTTGCCCTTTCTTAAGGAAAGGGCAATCTTATTTATGCTAAAGGAGAGTAGTTCTCTCATTATCTATGACTTTCTATGACTAACTAGGCTTGGTAAATGTATTAGAAATCAAGTGCGACCCACAACTAGCTTGCTAATTATGTAGCGAATGTAAGAGAATCCCATAGAACCATCTCCTAGGTTCCTAGCCTATAGGAAGTAAAAGGAGGTCCAAGGTCAGAGTACCCCTATAGACAAATTATGTCATAACTTGACCAATCTTGTGGGTAACTAAGGAGCGATGACGTGTAATGAATCATAGACGGTTGTAGAAGCTTTTGGAGCTATCGTTCATGTTCCTAGGCCTCTAGTTGATAGAGATATGTCATGTGTAGTATTAGCCCAGTAACTAAGGAGTGATGTCATGTAATGAATCATAGAGGGTTGTAGAGATATGCTATGTGGTCATATCGGCCCAGTAACTAAGGAGCAATGACGTGTAATGAATCATAGAGGGTTGTAGCAATCATTGAGTAGTATTGCTCTTGTTGTTGGTGTGACAAGCCAAAATATGTATAGTGACTTGTAGGTTTGAGGAGGAGATCTTTAAGTTTGCTCTTGAGTTTGATAGCAAACTGAGTGCAACGAATGTCAGTATGACAGTGCCTCCTTGAGTTCTGTACATATCTCATCTGTATTCATACAGCTTGTCATAAGATGCAGGTACTTCTCTGCCATAAGCTGTTTTAATGCTTTCTATGCATGTTTAATCGGGTTGAGATTAGGTGAGTATGGTGGCTAATTAGTTGTTAAATGTCATAATTCTCAAACCATTCAACAACTTTTCCTATAGTATGGATTCTTTCATTATCTTGCATGAAAATAAGTCCTTCCTTGTAGTAAACCTGTAAACGTGCATCAAGAACTTCAAGATATGAGTTTACAGAGTATCCATGCTTCATAGACTCAAAGTCTCAGTCCATAATATATAGAGGACACTGCTTTTTATCACCCCAAAATGCAGCCTATACCATGATTCTAATATCTTTACTAGATCTGTAAGTTTCAACGAGTTCTGGCTTCCACTTGTCTTGTGGTAAGCCAAAACACCACACTTGCTTTTCCCACTCCCTCGCTTAATAGAGCACTCATCACTCCACATGTATTTCCGCCATCTTTCTACATCCTAATGTGCTCAACATTTACACCATAGAAGCCGATTTGCTGCATGTACCTTTGTAAGTTCTGGTCGCTTTTTTGCTCGCTAATGTGCAAGTCCATTCTCTTTTGCAATTGACTTTATCTTTCCATTGCTCAGTTTTAGACCTATGTCTTTGTGGCGTTGCTAGAACATGAGTTTTGGGTGTAGTCACAAATTGCGAAGCCTCTACTAGAGGGTTTCAGCCAGAATTGCATGGCATGATTGCATGCCATAAGCACTACGATTGCCATAAGCAGTACGATCTGTGACCCCCCCCTGTAAAACCCCAGTAAAACCCCCATACTAGCTGGCGCCAGTGGCGCCAAACCCAATGCATTACGTACGTATGCTCTGTCGCAGCATAATTATGCTGTGTAAAGACATACATGAGCATGCCCACATTTAGTTTAGACTGTAGAAGTAGAGCCTTGGCAAAGGCTCTACTCTGACAACGTAGGGTATTGAGTATATTATCTATATACTCAATATGACTACAAATACTATAAACTGGGGCCAAATAACAGACCCCAACGACTTCCTCCCACCCTCTCCTACCACTATTCATGACCCTTTTGACAATACCGACAATGTCGATATCGTCAATAGCCCCCCCCTCTACCCACACTGCTGCTGCCAATCCTCCTCTTCAGGCTGCCCGCCCAAGCCACCGCCAGCCTGCCGAAACTCTCTGCGCTCGTCTCAATACTACCTACAATGAGAATTTTGCTTCTGCACCTCTGTATAAGAGATGCAGAGCTCTACTCCCGGGCCTCCCGGAAGACCTTCTGGAAGAAGGTCCAGAAAGACCTTTGTGAAGAGACCGGCCAAGATCATACGACCTTAGCCTGTCTTGTCGCAAATCTCCTCAAGCGACGACGAGTGTTACGATTACAGCTCACAGCTTGTTATGGTTATTACGGTTGTTATAGGTATAAGGGGATTACGGGTGCAGCCTTAGCCACCAAGGCTACAACTGCTAAGCGGACAACTGTATATTACAAGGAATAGCCTCACCTTCCTTCCTTCTTCTTCTTCTTCTCTCTTTAGATTCAATCTAGCTTACTTTACCTGGACTGGCACCATGACCTCCGTGACCATCGTAACATAAGATTGAATCTCACCTTTCTTTTGCTCTCTGAGCCTGAACCTTGATACTGAAATTTGAATTCCCTTCTTTGGAAACCCTACAACCATATCCTAAAGTCATTCCAGAACACCACAGAACACACCAGAACACCGCAGAACACCATAGACTTCATAGATCAGACCTTTCACAACGCTCCCTCGACAAGGAATATAGCTGTGAGGGAAGTGCGCTCCTCTCAAGTGGCTCCTACAGTCGACAAACTGCGCAATAGGGCCTTTGGCGATACGAGTCTGATCTAATGAATACGAAAACTGAAAGAATAGCAAAGCTGCTATGGCACACACGGCCAAAGAAAAAGCCAAGATGGGTGATCAAAACCCAGAAGACTATGAGTCTATAAATGAGAAAATAACCTTAGCAGAGGAGTCTGAGAAGAGAGATGAACTTCAAGATGACTTCCTCGAAGCCCGAGAAGATTTCAAGAGGATGGGCAAAACAGCTCAAGAAAGACACCAATCTATACTATCAAACGGCCACCAGATGAGGACTTGGAATGTCAACACCTATACTGAATTCCAAAAGCTGTCACGTAGCAGCCAAGAGTACGCCTGGTCAATGTTGAAAGCCATTATGAAGGACTACCTCATTGTCATGAAAAGATTACTGAACTGCAAGGAATTCAAAAATATCTTGAGAATACAGCTCCTATTCGCAATGCAGCACCTCGCCAGTCTGCTCGCATTCCGGATCCTCCTATTCTTACGGAAGGGATTGAACCAGCTTTTGAAGACTGGGTTGTGAAGATCCAACACAAGCTGGAAGCCAACATCAACCACTTCCCAAATGACAAGATGCAGATGAGTTATCTCCAAAGCAGACTAGGAGGACTCGCAGTTCGCCATGTGAACCCAAGGCTTCGCATTACCTCACCAAACATGCTTCAGTCAGCAGAAGAAATACTCCAACTCCTTGAGAAAGTGTTTAGTGACCCCGATAGGAGACACACCGCACAAACTGAGTACCGCAAGCTATACCAGGGCAAGAATACCTTTGCAACATTCTGGGCTGAATTTCAGAGACTCACAGCAGAGCTGGATTACTCAGAGGAGACCTTGCTTAACGATCTCTGATTCAAGATCAACCAAAGCCTACAGAAAGCCTTAGTTGCTGAAGTAGGAACTACTACCCTACATGAATTCGCGAAGAAATGCATGCTTGTGGACCAAAACCTACAGAGAATTCAAGAAAAGGAGAAGAGAATGAAGCCACAGCTGTTCGCCTACCAGAAGCAGAGTGGCCAAAGCCCTACTGCTAATACTGCTGTTAAAATAGTAGCACTACAGAAGAAGCTCTACCGCCCTCTGTCATACTGACATTCGTTGCACTCAGTTTGCTATCAAAGTCAAGAGCAAACTTGGAAATCTCCTCCTCAAACCTACAAGTCACTATACATATTTTGGCTTATCACACCAACAACAAGAGCAATACTACTCAACGATTGCTACAACCATCTATGATTCATTACACGTCATTGCTCCTTAGTTACTGGGCCGATATTACCACATAGCATATCTCTACAACCCTCTATGATTCATTACATGACATCACTCATACTACCACATGACATATCTCTACCAACTAGAGGCCTAGGAGCATGAACGATAGCTCTAAAAGCTCCTACGAACCTCTATGATTCATTACATGTCATCGCTCTTTAGTTACCCACAAGATTGGTTAAGTTATGACATAATTTGTCTATGACATAATTTGTCTATGACATAATTTGTCTATAGGGGTACTCTGACCTTGGACCTCCTTTTACTTCCTATAGGCTACGAACCTAAGAGATGGTTCTATGGGATTCTCTTACGTCGACTACAGTTACCAAGCCTGGTAAGTCATGGAAAGTCTTGGAAAATGAGAGAACTACACTCCTTTAGCATAAATAGGATTGCCCTTTCCTTAAGAAAGGGCAAGCAGACAATACAGTAAATCGACTATCACATACTTCCACGTCTTTTCCAAGCTTCCAAGCATTCATCTTGTTACTCCTTGTTTCTGAAAAGTCAGTGAGGTGTTAACCTCTGACTTACCCCTGAGTTCCCAGACTCAACATTTGTTGCAACTTGTCTGAACCACTTCACTACATCACACACCTGATTGCTGCGTTGTGGAATAGTCTAAGCTACAACCCTTTGGCTCTGTTTCCTAAGACAGTGTGTTGTCTTAGTAAAATCATCCCTTCCTTGGGTGGCTAGATTCTCACATCTGGTGCACCCACCATTACACCCTCCCCACCAAGATCCTGAGAAAGAATCGCTTATGAAGCTTGGCAAATGCTTCCATTGCCATGGAAGTGGTCATCGCGCTCGCGACTGCCCACAGAAGCAGAAAGTTAGAGTCAATGAGATCTCTACTACAGAAGAGCATGCTCAATATGAGTCGGGAAACGAATAGCCTCTAGAGAAGACGTCACTAGAGGTTCTACAGCAAGAATTGCCTCCTCTGCCTCATCATTGTCCCATTTTTTCCTAGCTACCTGCAGAATAGGAAGAAATCAAATTGTCATGCAAGCCTTAATGGATAGCGGTGCAACAGGTGGAAGCTTTGTGAATGCTGTTGACGCAAAACGAATTTGTGAAATTGAAAACATCTCTCCTATCAAACTTATAAAACCAAAGAACATTGAAGGATTTAATGGAGCTGCTGCACCTATAGTCACACATGCTATATACCATCGACTAAAAATTGGAGAGTACGTTGAAAGTCTATGCCCTCTATCATTACTACTCTTGGGAAACACTCTATCATTCTTGGGAAAGCTTGGATGAAGCAGCATGGAGTAATGCTTGACATGGTAAACGACCAAGTCATCTTCACAAAAGGTCATTGCCAGCACACTACACCAACGAATACTCAAGAGACTACAGTCCCCAAGTTGATAGCAAAATTCAAGAACTGGTCTGTCATACTGACATTCGTTGCACTCAGTTTGCTATCAAACTCAAGAGCAAACTTAGAAATCTCCTCCTCAAACCTACAAGTCACTATACATATTTTGGCTTGTCACACCAACAACAAGAGCAATACTACTCAATGATTGCTACAACCCTCTATGATTCATTACACGTCATTGCTCCTTAGTTACTGGGCCGATATGACCACATAGCATATCTCTACAACCCTCTATGGTCGAATGAGTTATTAAATGGCAAGTCAGACATTCCTTGCTTAGACAGGGTCTTTATGCACTTCGTAACATTCAAGCATATAGTGGGGCCATTGTTGCTAGTAGTATGCTTTAAGGGCAGAGGAGTTGATTTAATGGTAGGGAATACGCTAAGAAGTTATCCATCGTTAGGAGTATTGATCGAGATGTGCCTACTTGTAAATAGAAGGCCTTTAACCATTCTGCTATAATGAACTAATTCATTTAAGCCTTTTTATTCCATCTCTAAACCCCTCCCATTACTATGACTAACATTTCGAAGAGCTTGTGGTGTCTTTACCTTTCTAATAAACCATAGTGGAAATCGATCTGTGCTAGTTGAATTAACACAAACAACTACTAATGTTCTTACCTTCTCTCTTTTCTGACCTATAGCTGCCTCTGCTGTCATAAAGCCCCTTAATGGTGTCATCTTCTAGTATAGTCCTGTCTTGTCTATGTTATATATATCCTCCTCTAAGTATTCCCCTACTACTGTTTGAATTGCTTGCATCTCTTCCTCTGCTATAGCTAGAACTAATCTAGCTTCACCGTGTCGAACTTAATTAAGAATCTTATGACGTTGTCGAAACCTTGTGACCTACCCTAAGCTGAACTCTAGGACTGTTTCCCCTTCGTGTTGTGGTAATTGTGCCTAGATCTGCTTTGCCTTCTCTTGCAAAACCTCACCTGTTGTAACCCCTCCTCGTCGTTCAATAGGCTTCTGCTTGTCGAAAAGGATAGCTTCTAGCTGTGGCCAAGCAGCGTCACGTCGTCGTCGTCGAGCTTCTTGATCGTCTGCTTGTAGGGCGCCGTCGAGGTAAGCAAATCGAGCGCTAAGAGATTCGGAGACAGTAGATTGGCCGACTAGAGTCTGGTATTGGTCTTGGAACCATGCGATGCAAGCTTTCTGCGAAGGTCGAGGGCGTTGTTCGCGGTGCTAGCGCTAGAGAGTACATCGTTAGTCGAGAGCCATCGAATTGAGCTTCTTTAGAGGCATCCTGTAAAGTGAAGAAGAGGTTAGTATAAGTCGATAATCTGAAGAAAAGGCACGATATCGTGTATATCGGGGTTTGTATGTAAAAAGGATGGATCTCGCAAAATATATCGAGATGTCATAAATATCGGGTAAACGCGCATCGACTGTATGAATACGTGTATAATTTTTATTCATGAATATGAATATAGCCTAGTATTCAAGTTTATATTCGAATTGCTAACCCTGAAAGTTGACGATGACGTTGACACTGTGGCTGTAAATTTATTTGATTTGATTTTTTAAAAAGTTTAAAATTTCTACCATTAAAATATTTTAACCACCGGACTTCATCCCCTGAAGTCAACCGAATTGTGAGCGAAGGTGCAACTAAGCGTTTACACTTTGAGTTGAAGAGCAGCCACCGTATGTTTACAAAAACACCTATCTGTATCGCCTCCAGTTCTCAATCTTAGCATCTCTATTTGTCCACCATACCCAACGCCTCATGAGATTCCGAATTATAACCCAGCATTCACCAAACAACACCGCGAACTCCCCACCGCGCAATAAATGTCGACGCCGTATAGTATACACCTTCTCCAAGCCAGCATCTCTCATTCATCCCCCCCCTCAGCATCGACATCGACATCCCCAACCACAAAATCCTCTTCATCGCTAATCGCCATCTTCCCCTTCCCCTTCCCCTGCCCCCCTCCATTCCGCCGCCTAGTCATCCCAGGCGTCCCATACAAAATCCCCTCATCCTCCTCGCTACTCTCCTCCTTCCCCTCCTCCAGCCCCTCCCCAAGGCTCACCTCGACTCCAAGCCGACTCTTCTCCTTCAGCCGTGGCGGTAACCCAGGCCCGCTACCCGCATTCCCGAAATCGCTCTTCTTAGTCCCCTTCGGCCAGCGCCCAGGCCCGCGTCCTGTACCACCCGTCGGACGCTGCGAGCACGACGCTTTGCGAGTTGACCCCGTTGAGAGCGCGCGCGAGCCTGTGGCGCGGCGTGCGGTGCTTGGGCGGGCGCTGCGGGGCGTGGCTGAGGGGTGGGAGAGGGAGAGTCGAGGGGCTTTGATGCGTGAGGCGTTGATTGGGGGGTAGATTTCGAAACGGGATGGGGGGATGGGAGAGAAGTCGTCAGCAGTGTTGATGGCGAGGGGATAGTCGGGGTGGGGCCTGCCGTTGGTTAGAGGTTGGAGTGACGGCCGGCTTGATGAAGGAGAGGCAGGCACGAAAGTTGTGTCTGTGGCTGGGCTAGGACCTTTGATAGGGGTTTCAGCCAAGGATGGGTCCAGGACCATTTCGTCACCTTGTTCTGATGAGGCGAAAGAGGCGCCATTTGTTAAGCCGTTGGTTTGTTCGCTTTCGATATCCCCATTGGTTAAAGCAGGTTGCGTGGCGTCAGCCAGCTTCTCGTCATCCTCATCCTCGCGCGGCGCAATAGCGCTCATAGGCGGGGCATGTTCTATCATATTCTGGTTGTTGCGGCCCATGATATAGGGTGTCCAGACGAGTCCGTGCGGGTTAAGTCTGACGTAGTTCTTGTCCTCCCATTTCTTGATGTACTCTTCGTAGAAGTCGTAGTCGAGTCTCAGAGCATATGTGCCAGTAACTGGGTCTCTAACGAGAGCCCGAAGCCCTTCGAGGGCAGAGACAATGTCATCAGCCGTCATACCGGTTTGTTGGGATAGTTCGATCACGCTTATCGACCTCTTCTCCTCTCTTGTATCCAGCAATCTGTAGCATAACACAAGTCGCCAATAGTTCCTATAGGACACCAGGCCCATATCCGAAAGTGGCTTTTCAGGAGATCCAGATTTTCTCTCCACAAGGGTAAGCAAATAAGAGAAATCGATAAGAAGATTGCCGTAACCTTTGCGTTGGTGGATAGGCAAGGTGAGAATGCACGAGACATTATTTTGACTGCTCGGCCTCTTTTCCTTGGAAAAATATCCCACAAAATGGCAGCCAAACTCGTCGTATTCTGTCATAACATAGAATAGGAACGGTTCCACATCGTAGTAGAGAGTCTTTGAGCCCAAGAAAAGTTTCGCGAGGAGGCATAGGTTCTGGCAGTACACCGGATTCTTTCGCCCATCGACTTCAAAAACTGAGATGGATACATCCCTGTAAATTTCGTCTCCTGGCGGATGCTTTGCTGAACACTTCATCTTGTGGCGCCAGGCGACATATTCCGAATTCATGTATTTCAAACAGAATTCGCAAATATGGAGCACACGGTTGCGACTGTACTCCTCTGGGTAGGGCGCCGCATACCACGTGTCGATCTCATAGCCGCCGAAGTTGATACACTCAATTTGGGACGCTGGACCGGACACCTTGCGTGGTTTCTTAACGTTTTCTGCCTCTCCATGTTCTAAGGCGGTCTTGTGCGCCCACTCTTCTTCTGCCTTTTGACGAGCATTGTCAAACATCCGACGGTCATCGGCCTGGGGCAGCGTTTTTGTTGTATCTGACTGCGCTTCTGTGAGTATGCCACCGTACGGTTTCGATTTCAGCTCATCCATGTCTTTATCGTGGAAAGAATAAAATGGCTGAGAATAGATACGCGGTATGTATGCCGGAGGCGGAGCTGACGTTGACGCCCTACGTGCGGCTGGCGTTGATCTCGGTCGCTTCTTCACTGGTTTAGGGGGGTTAGCAAGGATGCGTGCCAAGTCGGTCGCATTCAATCGAATCCGAATAATAAGGCTTGTCTGTGAATGCTTTTCAATCGTTACCGGTGGCTTTGAAACCTTTAGGGGCCGAAGTGAACGAGATGGCCGAGAAGTAGCGGGTTCGGCGGCCTTATTTCCATTGTTGAACCCCTCGGCCGGTTCTACTTTGTGGCTATCAATATTCTCCGCTGCTTTGGCGTCCGTCATTATTGCATTCGAAGATCCGTCCGAGGTTCGTTTGCGACGTTTGCCGATGGACGATATAACGCCCTCTTCTGCCTCCGCAGATGAGGTTTTGCGCTTGCGTAGTAATCTCGAGCCATCCATTGGGTCATCGTCAACAATTAAGTTGTTGAAAACGGAATGCGAGTCGGGTTTAATGGCCCCTCTCTGGGAAGGGAGTAAGTCTCGTGCCAGCTTCGGTGCTGACGACCGTTGGAGGGTGATTACCGATGGAGTTCCCTGGTTTACGGTTTCCGGTTCCAGGGCATTGGACACACATCCTGGGCATCGCCATTTCGCAGCATCTAGAATGGTTAGTTAAAGTTCATAAACCATTTCAATGAGCCGTACCTTCGTCTGCTTCGAGTGCTTCCGCATCTCGTGCGCATTGTCGATGTGCTGTGAACACGCTTGTCAGTATCGTCTAGATCCAGGGGTATACCGTGGATAGCCGTACCATTATCGCCACAAACAGCACAAGCAAGGCACTCCTCAAACTCTGGGCTGGGATCATGCTCCTCGTCTTGGTGACAAAAACTGCACGTATTAATATCACAGTATATTACGAGATTCCGCAAGGCAAACTTACATGCAACGGTTAGGATCGATAGGTTCAGCCTCGTCGTCTTGCGCCACAGCAGCCTCCCATTCAGCCTCGGCCTCGACTTCGGACTCATCACTCGAGTCATGCGACGCATCATCCACCGCATCTTCGCTTTCTTCGGCATCGTCTTGTCCAAATTCTGCGTCGTCTTCATCATCATCCGGCTCCCTCGGCTGGATCTTGACAGCACCGACTCCCTCTCCATCCTCGTCATCTTCATTTTCTTCCTCGTCGTCCATGGCTCCATCGCCCCCCATGCTAATTCTAATGGTATCTCCATGGTCCTGCTCGTAGTCGTCTTCCCCCTCCGCATCTCTATCTGACAGGTCATCTTCCTGCCTATGGTCTTCATCTTCCTCCTCATTATTTTCATCTCCGTGTTCATCATATGCGCTCCCATTCGTATGGTTATTGTGAACTCCATTCAGTAGCTGGTTATTCGCGGCAAACGCCTCAGCATTCGCGCCCATGTCCACGTCTTGGTCGTAGTCCTCCTCATACTCTGCATCGTCCTCCGACGTCGGCATGCTCTGCTGCACCTGCTCCTCCAATAGCATCGCGGCCGCCATGGTCTCAGCCAGGAGTAGCGGGGTGCATGAGTGGTGTAGGGGTTGCGATTCGTATCGTTATGGGACGTGAATTCGAAGTGAGCTCGTCTGTTCGCAAAGCAGCAGCGCGATTCCGTGTCACCTCAACATAAGTAGCCGTATGAAGAGTACGATGGGCCTTGTCTTCAGTTATTGGATTGGGCAGCACAGCTTCCGCCGCGCTCAGTTTTCGCCTTTGCGCTCGTCGCGCTCGTTGTAGTCGCGCCCCTAGATTGGAGGTGGGAAGATCGAGGCTCAAAATCACCAGTCGCAGCCCTGACTGTCCACCACAACACTTTTCAGCGAATCTGCGTGACTCTGTAGAGAGGTTAGACCGGTGCGACGCGTAAATCTAAATTACTACGCGAATTTCCCCGTTGTAGAGTTGTGCTGTCGCGGCGTGGGCGAGGCTCTGGCTGGGCTGTCGTGGTGGTGTTGCCGCGTGTCTTACGTAAGCGATGCAATCAACGACGTCCACTTCAAGCTGCCGAGGAACAGGTACAATCAGGACTTTACACCACCCGATACGAGCGCAAGGTATGTTGGACTGCTTCTACCTTCGAGATATGGAATATAAGAGTGTGTAGACTGACAATTGAGTGAACAGCTACACACCGAAGCCGCAATGGGTGTCCCTTTCGAAACCCTCATCCCGTTCGCCATCATGCTGACCGTACGTCAACTTTCCCAACGCCTACACCCTCAATCTCTCGGCGGCTTGGATACTAACAATACGGTATAGATGTTCGGCATTACTGGTGCTGGATTGTCGAAGGTCAGAGCGATGCAGAACGGTGGAAAGCGTGGAAGACATTCCGTCGATCAATGGGATAGCGTACGTCTTTCCCCAAACCCCCTCCATTGACGACGGCAAAACTAACAGTCTTTTAGCAAAGTACGAACCTCTCAGATCCTGAATTCTATATATTAGCCGCAGTGGATGGCAGAAACCGAAAAGGGATATTGGCTGACCTCTCACAGTGATGGACCGCGACAGGCGGTTAACAGGCTTTCTTCGCGGCCAAACCGGCAGTGCCATTGCGCCGCTGGGCTTCGAGTTGAACAACCCATGGAGGGTAGGTCTGATCCTGTGGGTGTTGAACTCAGAGATCAATGCTAACAGTGTCTGCAGCTGGAGAAGAAGTTCCGTTAAATTACCCACAAGACGACAATACCTCTGGACACAAAAAAATGTATATATCAAAACCAATAAAGATTTAAAACAAAACCTAGCATGTACCAAGTTCTTCGCCATGAATGTGGGAAAGAATTGGGCTTTGGACCAGTGGCGGGTCGTGCCACCTCTAGGGCTTTGTTCTATTAAATTCCTCAAAGACTCAATAGCTTCGTGTGATCTTTTGCCCTTTCATTCGTAGTGCCCATGAACCTTCAAAATCATAATGCTCTTATACGTAGGGTTTAATTTATTCCAAATCTGTCAATATAAACCTAGGTATACGGATTCCTCTGGTCCCGCCCTTGGGACCAAATGTACCAAGAAGGACATTGCACAAGTGTGCACAAGTGTACAACAGCTGGTGTTTACATTAACTATGATTAAAATAGAGGCGCTCAATCACCGGGGGCTGCAATTAAGAAGCCAGTTGCTTAGAAATAGAGCCAACGAAATGATTATATTGCTAGTATTAATCCTCAGCAACGGCACTCTCTCTTCGGGTGGCACCAGTAGGTTTTTGCTGCAAGGTAAGATATACAAAGGCACAGATACCCACTCTATAAGCGCCGGCCAGAAGGCTTTGGAGTGGGTATCTGTGCCTTTGTATATCTAGGTTTAGTTGTCTATTTGTGGCTTGTCATACATAGTATCACATGTAAAGCCCATCTTGCGACTTGCTCCGATTCCCCCGAGACTCACCACAAGCCAAAGAAATAGAAGTTAATAGAATTTCACAGGTGAGAGCTGATATTGGCTACATCTGACAATTTTTATGGTAGATATTCGCGATATCATCACGGATTGCACAAATTAAACCTGAACACGTATACTGTAGACATTTAGGCACAAGACAAATTCTTGTGCGTACAATGGGCATCTCTATTCTCCTCGCTACATTGAGATAAGAGAAATACACTCAAAGGACCTATAGCCACCTTTCCTTCTTGTTAAAAGAATAGAGTCATGTTCGTACTGCAGTAGACTGTGCCTTTAACCCCATCCCGCAAACCAGCACTCTACATGGCCGTTTAAAAATCAAAACCGGGACCGCTCCAATCCACCGGCGTCTGCCTCTCCCCCCCTCGCTGGGTATCAACTCCTCTACTCCATGCTTTCGCATTGCAATGATTGATTTCTACGTCGATGATACAAATTCATCACCGCGTCGCCAACGTAGAGCCCTCGCCTCCAAAGACCAACATCCCATGGTTACCCCTGACAATCCTCTCACTCTCCACAAAGTATGCCTTCGAATTACCCACTCCCAGATCCCTCAGTTTTCCACTCCCAATATCAAACAGTACACCGTGAACAAGCAACCCGCGCTTGTTCACCGCATCTTCAACAACAACATTGCTCAACAGCGTCTCCACGCCCGCCGCGACATTCAGCTCCGCTAACCTAGCAGCCCTCGCGCCCTGATCAGTAATCGCCTCTAGTTCATTCTTGTTCTCGCGCCTCAGCTTCTTCAGCGGTGTGAGCCATGTATCCAGCACTCCACCAACGCGACTATCTCCCAGCGCCGCGCCAGCACCGCCACAGCTCGTGTGTCCGCACAGCACAATATGCTGGACCTTCAGGTGGTCGACCGCATACTCGATGACTGCGCTGGAATTGATATCAGTCGGACTGACGATGTTGGCGATGTTGCGGTGGACGAAGACGTCACCCGGCTGCAGACCAAGAACCGTGGTCTCAGGGATGCGCGAATCGGAGCAGCCGAGCCAGAGGATCGTGGGCGTCTGCCCGGTCGCGAGCGTTGGGAAGAAGGCCGGGTTCTGATGCGTTTTGTAGGAGGCCCAGGAGGCGTTGGAGGAGAGCGCGTGGGAGAAGGGGTCGGCTGCGTGGGGGTCAGTGGAGGTCTTTAGAGGGTGCGAGAGGCGCTCGGTCGTGACCAGGCTGCGAGGAATGTGGCAGGTCTGCGTGCATACCTGTGGGAAGCATTGCGGCTGTGTTGTGAGTGTTGGAAGGTGGTTCGACTCAGAGGGGTCGGAGGATGATTGACGTTGAGAGGCGTTGAGAATGCCTACGTGTGGCTTGTCCCGGCACAAACCCGAGGTTGTGAATTAGGGTTCTCGCTCGCAACGACTCAGAATTTGTCAAACAATAAATATCCTTCGAACAATAGCGCGATAGGAAATTCGGTGGTAATGAGTAGCGTCGGGTATTAGGATGTTAATTTGGTGAGTATGGATCGAGTGGGGGCGTTTCCCATGTCAGCGGCATTCGTTCGGGGCTCCGCGGGTCGAGTGGTGGAGTGATAAGCAAAAAGCTTTATCTGAATTAATCGATTAAGGTTTTTAGGGTTTGTTCGTTGAGAAAAGCGCCGACAGCGACCGAAAACGTCAAACGGATGAGGAAAATGAGTTTACGAAGTATAGTTACGAGGGAGATGGGATAGGTTTGTAAAGTATATGATAATATTGCATGAAGAACCTGTCTCGAGGAGGAACGGGCTGACAAATGCACAGTTTACGCGGTGACTATTCGATGTTGCAACTCCGTCTGGGACCCCAGTTTCGCCTACCACCCACCAACAGAGCTCGTCTCAACATATTCGCCCACTACGAAAATCACACCATCGCCGCCTCGAATATTTGCCTTGGCACGATAATTTCTTTTTCGTGAGAATATTGGCGAAGGACACAAATATATACTCGTAAACAAGAAATTTCTGCGCTGGGTGAACAAATCAAATCGCAGAGTGACAAACATGGTAGACATTGTCGGAATCAATGGCTTTTCGTGGAAGAGGTTCATGAAAAAAAGCATTTGCTCCGTAAAATTGGTATCATCGAGCTATCATTCATGGATACAGAGCTAGCTAGAGAGATATGACAATCCCACGGTCTGTTACTGAAACCATACCAGGAACGCCTAAGGGCACCAGCCGCAATCAAGACTTTTGGGTTATTACACTTAGATCTTGATGGCAGACTCGAGCGCCTTGCGCTTCTTCTCCTGGCGAGCGTTGGCCTTGGCACCCATGATGCCACCACCCCACTGCCTCTTGGCATCCTCGTACTTGTCGGTGTAACCATCCTTGATGGCCTGGACGAGCTTGGAGAGCTCAGTCTTGTCCTCGGAGCGGACCTCGGTGATGGCGAGGACAGCAGCGGTCTTCTTGTGGACGACCGTACCGAGACGGGCCTTGCCCTTGACGATTGCGTATGGGATACCCATCTTGCGGCAGAGAGCTGGGAGGAAGATGACCAACTCAATTGGGTCAACATCGTTGGGGATGAGGACGAGAGCAGCCTTCTTGTTCTCAATCAGGCCGACGACGTGGTTGAGACCGTACTTGACGGCGTATGGCTTCTTGGAGACATCCTCCTTCTTCTTGCCCTCGGCAATGGCGCTAGCCTCCTTGACGAGACGCTCCTTCTTCTCGGCCTTGGACTCAGGGCGGTACTTGTTAAGGAGCTTGAAAGCCTGGGCGGCGGTGTTTCGGTCAAGGACGTTCTGGAACTGGGCAATCGCAGGTGGGACCTTCAGGCGGAGGTTGAGGATCTTCTTTTGGCGCTGGAGGCGGACGTACTCTGGCCACCTCACCATGCGGGAAAGGTTGCGCTTGGGCTGGATAGCCTGACCGATGCCATGGTTGCGAGTGCGCTTCTCAATGAGAGGGTTCTGAGAGTATTAGCAGGCCTTTCCATGAGCTGCTGGAGGGGAGTAGATGATCAACTTACCTTCGCGGCCTTCTTGGAAGCAGCACCAGCCTTTCCCTGGGGGAAGGGGGCGGCGGCAACTTTCTTGGTGCTCTTGGGAGGCTAGTCATTGAGAAAGATCAGCTAATGTTCCATACATTGCAGCTGTTCTAAACTCTAAGAGACAAAACTAGATCTCGGTGCCTTTCGACACACGAGAAATTGTAATGCTCAAGCCATTATCAAGTGTCCTCGGACAAAATGATAGGAGTCGCAATAGGGGCATTAAGTATAATTATGTGTTTATCTTACCATGTCGATTGATTTTGCCGGGTCGAAGGGCTGTGGTGATTGTCGTGAAATTGGCGGCGATGAAGAACAGAAAATCAGAAGAGAAGATTCTCGGATCTGTGTGTCGCTAGGGCATGAAGTCTTGGCGTTTTGCATTTACGCTAACCGCGATTAGATTAAAGCGATAAGGTAGTTTGCGCAACTAGCAAACATAAACTTTTTGATTATGACTTGTAACCTTCATGACCCCGCCATCGAACAGTAAAATCAATCTCTTGAGAGATCTGGTAGTCCATATATGCTAGATTTTCAAAAGATGCCGCCCTCAATATGTGCCATTTGTGAGACCAACAGGGCACTTATAATTCGGCCAAAGAACCACCAAAAATTATGTAAAGTCTGTTTTATCCAAATTTTCGAAGACGAAATCCACCACACCATCACAACCACGAACCTCTTCACCCCAGGAGATAGAATCGCTATAGGCGCATCTGGAGGCAAAGACTCTACAGTACTCGCCTCTGTCCTAAAAACCCTCAACGAAAGACACAACTATGGCCTTGACCTCGTCCTCCTCTCCATCGACGAAGGAATCAAAGGCTACCGCGATGACTCGCTCGAGACCGTCAAGCGCAATGCCGAGCAATACGAGATGCCACTGAAGATAGTCGGCTACGACGAACTCTATGGCTGGACTATGGACCAGGTTGTAGCGACCATCGGCAAGAAGGGGAACTGCACATACTGCGGTGTCTTCCGGCGCCAGGCGCTCGACCGCGGGGCAAACATGTTAGGCATAAACCACGTCGTGACTGGCCATAATGCCGACGATGTCGCCGAGACCATCCTAATGAACCTCCTCCGAGGCGACCTACCGCGGCTGGCCCGCAGCACGAGCATTATAACTGGAGACGCCACATCTTCCGTCCGCCGCAGCAAACCGCTCAAGTACGCATATGAGAAGGAAATCGTGCTCTACGCACATCACAAGAAACTGGACTACTTCAGCACGGAGTGCATATACAGCCCCGAGGCCTTCCGCGGCTCAGCACGAACTCTCATCAAAGCTCTCGAACGCGTACGACCCTCTGCCATCCTCGATGTCGTTCGTAGTGGCGAGGATATGGCGAAGCTCGTTCCCGCCGAGGTGACAGGGGGTCCTAAGTGCGCTGGCCGCAAAGCGGAGGTTCTTGCCGCGGACCGCGAGGAGGAAGAGGGTGCGGGTGGCTGCGGCAGCGGGAACGGGCGTAGTAGCGGCTCTGAGATGGCTGATATGGAGAAGCAGCTGAGGGAGAATGAGGGTGCAGGTGCGAGAGAGGTGGAAATCACAAGTGCGCAGGTGTCGAGGCGGCGGGATACGAATAGTAGCATGGCGAGCTCGCGGCCGGGGAATCTGAGGAAGGAGGTTATGGGGAGGAAGTTGCCCAGACAGACTCTGGGAACGTGTCAGAGGTGTGGGTATATGTCTAGTCAGGCGATATGCAAGGCATGCACGCTGCTGGAGGGGTTGAATAAAAATAGGCCGCAGGTGGAAATCGAGGTTGATGCGGAGGATGAGGATGATAGCTCGACGCTGAGGAGGAAAATGGAGGGGATAGCGTTGACGGCAGGATAGATAATAGATATCTTTCCCGGCTACAGCATCTTGACGATTAATCTGAAAATTATACCCAATGCCTCAACAGCAGGGCTTCATGATTCTAAATAGGTCAATTAGCAAAGTGATATCATAACGACATATCCTCCCAAAGTGCTCAATTTCCACACATCCAATATATGTCAGTGCCGCCAAAATTCCCCTAGAAATTCGGAATCGTCGTTCCAACTCCCTTCTCCCTAGCCAAAGTAATAAGGCCCCCACCAACAACGAGATCCATCAACCCCATCCCGACGCACTTATAAACCACATTCCCTTCCCTTAGCCATGTAGCCATCGCATCATCCTTGCTCTTAACCTTCCTATTATCCATGCTCAAGCTTCGGATTTTATTCCCAATACTACCCGGGCCAAGCGACTTCCGCGAGGAGCTCTTCGACGACCTCGCGCTATCCATGCTCTTCCGCCCCGTTGACCCTGTGCTGACGGTACTTAGATCGCTGCCCTCGTGCATCACGGCATGCATGCTCCCCGCGCCCGAAGAAGAAATGTCAGACAACTCCCGACGGAGTCCATCGAGGTCGATCTGCTTCCCGTCTGCGTCAACTTCGTGGTCATCTGAGCTATCGCCGGCGAGTTGGCCCTCAAGCATGACTAGCTCGCCAACTTCGACAAGTTGGTTAGGGGATAGGCCTGATTGGATGATTTCTCCTGCTTCTTTGAGACAGCCAGTCAGTGTATCTACTACAACTACTCCGCCTTCCGAGGCGTGGTTGTGGTAGTGACGATGCTCATGGGGCTTGACAGCTTGCTGGAAGAGTTCGACTGGGATCTCGATCATGTGAGGTTTGTAACTGCCAATCGCAATAATGAGTCTACCTCTTCGGCGACCTTCGGTTGATGTCAGGATCGAGTGATCGAATAGTGGTGTGGTAGAAGGAACGGTAGTGATAATCACATCTGCCGCGCGAAGCTGCTCCTTCAATAGCCGCGCATACTCGCCATATCCCGGAGTCAGGATTGAGAATTTTACATTCCCCCAGCCCTCACGCTCTTTGATGGCTGGGTCAACCGAGTAAAGGGTTTTCAGCAAGTCTCGCACCCTGTCAGAGAAAGTCCGGCTAATAATATTAACAGTTTTCAGGGAGCTGCCGCGAAGGATGAGGGCGAGGCGGATGTGCCAAAAGGCTTGGCGACCCGCTCCGAAAACGGTGACGGATTTGAAGCTTTTGCGCCGGCAGAAGAGAAGGGAGGAACAGAGCGCCGTTCGGAAAGCGGTTACTTCTTCGGCATTTAGGAAGCCTGTGGGGGTGCCGTTGCTAGACATAATTGTGAGGGAACCATGGGGGGTCATGTCCGCCGTAGCTTCAGCGGGGCCTTTTGCTCCAGGTGTTGCGAGAGTGACCACTGCGGGGTAACTTGTCAGCTATTTGCTCCTGTGCTATGAATAGTTTCACCAACCTTTCATTCCAATCCCCGACGAGCTTGTTGAAGGCATGAGGAGAGTCGTATTTCCGCTGGGGGCCACCATGGCCGTTCGCTCGGGCTGGTGCATAGCACATGCCGCCTCGCCTTGGGTTCCCGTCGAGTATTCATGTAGAGCTTTCCGTAAAGACTTTTGCAGCGCGTGGGCATCATCAATGGTAAGGCTCTCGAGGACTTGGCAGACATCTGCGTCTGTGAGAACCGTAAGAGGCATTGCGAGCAAAGGAGACAGGCTAGACAGTTGTGATAAGGAGACGTGGAAGAGTTACAGAGCACCGAGGGTTACGCCGAGACAACGATGAATCGCATATAATTCTCGTACTCGTATATGCTAACATTGTGTCAGATTTCCACGAGGTACCAGAGTGTAATAAAAGCTTACCTGCTCAAAGGAATGTTCAGTAATCTTCATATACGATCAAATTGACGGGATAGGAGAGGAGAGATACATTCGACGACTCTGCCTGCCGTAAGTGGTCATGTGTTTAAACCCGTAAACATATTACGGACGAAATCCAAACCTGGTAAACGCCCGTAACCACCCGTAGCAACCAAGTAGAGTTAAAAGGCAAGTAGTAGAATAGTAGTATAGATAGTATTTCTAGTTAATATCACACAATACCTCTGGATATACAACGTTATGTGTAGTGTTATCGTCACCTTCCGGAAGTAGAACGTGTAAGCCAGCTACGGATGACGTCCACGACATTACAACGTAGAATTGCCTGTGACTAAATGTAGGTGCCTGTAAATCAACTCTAACAAACTTAAATGACTAGCCTTGAGACTTATTAATAGTCATTGCAAAACATAACCAGACTAGAAACTGTTTATAGGTAAGGATGTATCGTAAGTCCCCCTCGTTCATCTAGAGCTTTACCTATAAGATTGTCTCGTAACTGCCTGTAAAATTGTTCTCTAAGTAAGCGGACCGCAAGACAGTGTAATGTTATGCTTAAAACAATCATACGTGACCTGTTACATAATCCTTCCTATAGAACTATATTCCGTAAGAGCATTACAGGTACCCTAACCTTAGCTGTAGAAAGGATAATGGTAGCTAGGTGGGTGAGTGTAAGGACAGTTCGAACCAAGGCTGACCTTCAAGTCTGCAGAAGTATCTGAAGTATAATGTGAAGACTTCGATACTCGAAGCAGTAGGACAAGGTATAGTAGTTCAGGCTCCAAAGCATATACTTTATACCATAGAGGTCAAGTGGTGAGACTAACAGGTTGGCTAAGTGGTTCGACTGAAGTAAGGGATGCAAAGTAAGTCGAAGCAGGATGATTTGCAAGAAGGCCAAGTAGTATATAATTTGCTAGCTAAAGATCAGTAAGAGACATGAGCAATAAGTGCTTATATAACAATCCCTAGTGCCAAATAAGCGAAGGCACTAATTAACGAAACCCTAGCTAAGCGAGCCCTAGTGAAGCGAGCCAATAACAATAGAGCCAATAACAATAGAGCCAATAACAAGAGAGCCAATAACAAGAGAGCCTAAGCCAATAGTCAACATTTGGGCTGATCTAGGTCAGCAAGTGAAGCGAAGTGAGCGAAGTGAGTGAAGCAGGTGAAGTGAATGACATAGTGAAATAAGTACTAGAGACTAAAGTGAATCGAAGGGTCATGACACAAATATCGAAGGAGTTGTTATGGCTAAGTGCTAGTACTATGGCTAGCACTTACGGCTGCAACCTCACGTGATGGATAACATTGGATATCATGGATATTATGTTATCCATGTTATCCACGGATATCCCTTCGGCACGACGCCACTATATAAGTAGATAGTATTTCCTTAGATAGGAGCTTCATGCTCAACTCAATATAGTATTCTTTACAATACTGTAACGTGTTACTTGGAAAGCCTTTGTGTCTAATCCCCTGCCTCCTCTGTCAAGTCAACCTTATGCAAGAAACCTCTGTGTCTTCTATCATTTAGAAGTCAGCGTTACAGGAGTGTCATGACAGTGAGCAATTCTAAAGCTCCTTAACTAGGACATGATGAATTCTATCATTAACGTCTACAGTATCAATAGATAGTAAGGTTTGTACTAGACCTAGATAATAAGACAGTATAAGAGCGTTAAGGTGTAATACAGTCTCATTATAGACCGTAAGGATATCCTGGTCATAAAGAGATCTTCAGTATGATTATGGGGCTGTAATACATTATCTAGGTAGATTGTAGCAATAAGGCCATCTAATTCCTTTAACTATGTAATATATGGTGGTATTAGTATTATGCCATTAAGTTGCAGATTGTATGATATTCCCCTAATCCATGTAACAAATTCCTCCTTAAGCACCCTACCTCAACACACATATTAACCTGTAAATGTAGCTGCTAAAGCCGTGGCCATACAAATGAGCACTATAAACAGGCATAGACAATCTACGCTTAAGAATCCTAAGGCATTACAGGTAGGATCTATGCAAAATCACCACTAAGTAATATAGGTATGCCACTAAAGGGAACATTGTGTAAGGATCGTAAGCCTAAGGGTCTCACGGGAGTCCAGGGAACCAGGTCAGGAGGCAGGAAGGTATCGTATTCTGTAAGCACAATAGGTCTACATAGATACATCGACTATTGACTGAAGGCCTTCTTCCGAGGCCTCCAACCCCTTTTATCTATGCACCTTGTGCCCTATTTTACCGAGCCCTATGGGCCGCTTATGAAAGGGACCTCACGTGGTGGCACGTGATGGCCTTCCTTACACATTGTCTATAATGGACTGCAAATCACATAGAAGCTAGTCTACTGCCTTAAAGCACTATTTATGTTACATAGGAACCTTGTCCTATATAATAAGGCTAGCTTCTTGTAGTTGCATGCTAAGCCTTAAGTTGCAGGTTATAGAACAATAGGTATTACTATCAAGTTTAATAGGAATCTTAAACTAGGTATGAGACGTACACCTATTAGGTAGTAATAAGGTGGCAATTCTAGTTGAAGCAACACAGAGTACTAACCTCCCCTATGCATAGAAGTAATGTCATAGAGCCTATATAAAAAGGTCTTTCTAGTTCCCCTAGGGCCCTATAGGTATGTTACGATGGTCATAGAGGTCATTATGCCAGTCTAGGTAAAGTAAGCTAGATTGAATCTAAAGAGAGAAGAAGAGGAAGAAAAGTATGAAGGTGAGGCTAAACCTTATAATATACAGCTTCAACTTCCCATTCAAGTTCATCCTCTATGATAATTAGAGGCGAAGGTTCATGGTGTTGGCCTTGTAGTGCATCATCTAAATCAAGTCTTAACAAGTTGCTATGAAAAACAGGGTGTATCTTCATACTTACTAGTAGTTCTAGCCAATATGCCACTTGTCTAATTCGTTCTAGAATCTTAAATGGACCAACTTGCTTATGATCTAGCTTTTTAGATAGCCTCTAGGTTTTGATATTTCGAGTAGATAGCCATACTCTGTCTCTAATTTGATATCTTATATCTTAGTAAAGGTTTTCTGTTCCAGTTCACTATAATCTCCATCTAGGATTAAGAGAGTGCAATTTGATCTTGTAGAAATTCCCAAATATCTTTCATGCTTTGAGCTATGTCCTTATGTTCTTGTGACGTAGTTTTGAACTTACTATCCTCTATATCAAAGCTCATTCTTGGCTCAAAACCCTTATTTGCAAAAAATGGACTAACTTTTGTTAAGTCTAATGGAAGAGCATTTGCTGCAAATTCGGCTAGGCAGAGATACTCAACCCAATTGTCTATAAGTAGTTGATATAGTGTAATGGTGGGTGCACCAGATGTGAGAATCTAGCCACCCAAGGAAGGGATGATTTTACTAAGACAACACACTGTCTTAGGAAACAGAGCCAAAGGGTTGTAGCTTAGACTATTCCACAACGCAGCAATCAGGTGTGTGATGTAGTGAAGTGGTTCAGACAAGTTGCAACAAATGTTGAGTCTGGGAACTCAGGGGTAAGTCAGAGGTTAACACCTCACTGACTTTTCAGAAACAAGGAGTAACAAGATGAATGCTTGGAAGCTTGTAAAAGACGTGGAAGTATGTGATAGTTGATTTACTGTATTGCCTGCTTGCCCTTTCTTAAGGAAAGGGCAATCCTATTTATGCCAAAGGAGTGTAGTTCTCTCATTTTCCATGACTTTCCATGACTAACCAGGCTTGGTAAATGTATTAGAAATCAAGTGCGACCCACAACTAGCTTGCTAATCATGTAGTGAACGTAAGAGAATCCCATAGAACCATCTCTTGGGTTCCTAGCCTATAGGAAGTGAAAAGGAGGTCCAAGGTCAGAGTACCTATAGACAAATTATGTCATAACTTAACCAATCTTGTGGGTAACTAAGGAGCGATGACGTGTAATGAATCATAGAGGGTTGTAGAAGCTTCTAGAGCTATCGTTCATGTTCCTAGGCCTCTAGTTGGTAGAGATATGCCATGTGGTAGTATTGGCCCACCCCCTTAAGGAGGAGATTTTCTTAATAACTTGTTCAATGAGTGTCCAAATGATATGCCGTGATGTATGTAGCATAAACAGATGTAGTAGAAGAGTTTGCAGCAATTGTTGAGTAGTATTGCTTCTGTTGTTGGTGTGATAAGCCAAGATATGTATGGTGACTTGTAGGTTTGAGGAGGAGATTTCTAAGTTTGCTCTTGAGTTTGATAGCAAACTGAGTGCAACGAATGTCAGTATGACATATAGGCTCTTAGATATCGCTCGAGATCTCTATTAAACCTCTCTGTCTAGCCATCTGTTTCTAGATGACAGGCTGTTGATAGTTTTGCTATAATTCTCTATACCGTACATAACACTTTCCATACTACTGTAATGAAGTAAGGACCTCTATCTGATATAATCGAATTTGGGAGGCTGTGGTGTTTCCATACATGTCGGAGCAGTAACTACACTATAGCTTCTGCTATAATGGCTTCTTGTCCTGTGAAGCAAGGAATAAAGTGCAGTTCTTTAGTTAGTTGACAGGCCACTACTAGAATGGCGTTGCTTCCTTCGCATAACAGCAATCTAGTAATAAAGTCTAGAAAAATATCCTGCTATAGTTGGCTTCTAATTGGGATTGGTTGTAGGAGTCCATTGTATGCGTCCTAGGTTGGGTTTGATCTCTTGTAGATATAGCAATTCCTTCCATATTAAGTTATAGTCTTGTCTATCCGAGGCGAGTAGTACTGTCTCTTAATGATTCGAATCATCTTCCTAATTCTAGGGTATCCTATTACTAGCTGGTCGTGAGCCTCATGAAGGAGTTTAACTCGGATGTCTTCTAGGATCTAAACTTGATTTTGGTAGAGTAGGAGTCCATTTCTCTCTTCACAATGTGCTAAGGCTATGCTTAGACTATCTCGCTCGTTGTTCTATAGTCTTTGGATTGTATCCTTGTATAGTTCATCTTAAAGCTACGCAGCTCAGATCATGTCGTAGATGCTCTGATCTTATAGTAGGATTGGTGCAAGTTGAGCATCTTGTGCCTGCTCTCGACTTTTGAGTTCTAGCTGTAGTTTTTCCATTAGTAGCATTGTTTGAAGCTGCTGCTTCTGTCGATCATCCTCTTCGTTTCCTTCTAGTCGATCCCCTAGCCTTCGGGTAAGAGCATCTGATTTCCAATTCTACTTACCAGGTCGATACACGATTTGGAAATTGTACCAAGAGAGGAATTCCGCCCATCGAGCTTGTCGCCTAGTGAGCTTCTTAGTGCTTATAAAATACTTACCACACCATACCCATGTCTAGACGAGAGAATAGACTCGCCCGGCCCCTATTTCGAGAGCAACGAGCGCATCTTGCTCAGGCTGCAACCAGACGAATCCTATCGGCGCCCTACCCAAAGAACGTATCAAATGGAAAACAAAAAAAGCTCGCGCGCCCCCTATTTCGAGAGCCTCGAAGTCCCAACCACGGTCGCTAGGGACCGCAGCTAAATAAACTCCCATCTCAAACGCCATGCCGAAGAAGCTCATGGCCCATCCCTACAACGAAGGGAGACGCGGCAAGCGCCAGGCAACCATAGCAGGACTACTCGTCTCGGATGCGCGCGATGATCTTGCCGTTCGATAGACGCGCGCCTTCATCCGATGCCCGAGAGCCGAGGTAGAGACCTATCCTCTCTTCGCGGCAAGCTCGGGGAAGAGTGAGCGGAGAGTTGCTGGTGGAGCCTATATAGCTCAGTCTCTTCTTCGTCTAGCTCCCGACTCTCAAACACTGGTGGGATGACCACCTCTTGGCTGTCGTCGCAAACGATGGTGCCCATCATGGTATCATTGTACAAGCCCTTGTTGACCTGGTTTTCCGAAATGATGCGATCGACAACGGCGTTGCTCTTTAACCTATATACCTTTACCTCCTTATCCTGCCCTTGCCGGTAGAACCGGCCTCTCATCTGCTTCTCGACGTTCACATTCCACCACCACAATTCAATCTGAATCATGATGGAACATTCGGGGATGTCGAGGCCGGTTCCGCCGGTCCCGGGCGTTATGAGCAAGAGACATGGTTTTCATATTTCACCCCATGCGCGCACAATTCTCGAGATGGATCAATGGAATTCAAGAAAATGTGAAGGAGGATGTGGTAGTGCAAAGGATGTAAAGTGCGAGATGGTAGCCGTTAGAAGGATTCGAGCCAGCGTCTAGCGGGGGTTACTCTATTAATGAGGAGGCAAGGGCTGGGATGGGAGAACAGACGCTCGTCGATGGATAGTGAAAAGTGTGGGTCACGTGTTCTCATTTTTCGCCGTTCCTATATTCGTATAAATACAGTTCAGTACTGCACAGTGGAACGGAATTATACAAATACGACGTAGTTTTGACGGATTTTGAGCAGTTCAGACGGACTACGCGCAACTCCCGAGCCAACCATAACAGCTATGCGGACTTTCACAACCGCTTAGCACGATGTGCCGCCATAGTAACTATCCCAGGGTAATCTTTCCCTTCGTCTTCGCCTCGATATCCGCAATAAGCTCATGAGCCGACGTAACATATCCGCAATCCTCGCGAGAATCCATTCCAATCACCATCCCAACCCATCCCCCCTGAAGATCGAACACCATCGATCCTGAGTCCCCTGGCTGCGCAAATTCACGCCCTGATTTATGGCTGAAGGCCTCGAATTCTTCGGACTCCATTCCATTCCGCCATTGAACTGTGCGCTTCATCTCCCCAACCCTACCAGCCGTGGCTCCACTCGTTCGACCCTTCTTCCCTACCCACGATTTAGGGATGAGCTCGTGTATGTTCGACATCCTGTCTCCTGGCGCCACCTTATAATCCTTAAAATCTGGGACTTTAAACTGGAGATCAAACGCCGACCGTGGTGGCAGCATATTCTCCATAGCATCACCAGGCCCAGGGGAAATCAAAGCGATAAACGCCCAGTCCATCCGAGTCTGATCTTGGTTAAGACGCATACCAGATGAATATGCCACATGGCCAATGCTGCTCGTCGGCGTAAACCTCTGCGTTATAGATGCAAGCGTCGATGCTGACTCGTTACTCTTATCTTTTCCGCTTGCAATATACTCTTTGAGTTGCTGTGTGGTGTAGTCTATATCTTGCCGTGACGGCCAGTTGATGTTGATTCGGCGGTTAGTCTTGCGCCCATCAAGGCCAATTCCAAACTTGTCGTTATTCCGTCTCCCTTGTGGATCTCCAGAAGAGATGACGTGATGGCATGTCAATATGCCCTTCTGCCTCTCTGCCTTGTCGTGGGCCTTGAAGTAAACGACAGGACCTATGCTCCCCGATCCCGTGGTACTCAATCTTGGCCCAATTGAGGCGCCATTCTCCGGGGATGCAGGAATTTCGTCGTGGTACATATCGGATCCCTTAAGCATATGTTCAGAGGGCGTGATGGCGGGGATATTAAATCCAGGCAGAATCTCGAGTGAGATGTTAAACTGGCGTGCAGACTGAACCGACTCGATTGCTTCCTGAAGCCGCTCCTCGATTAATCCCCATAGGGATACTGACTTAGGCTCGATGAATAGCATGATCGTAGCGTTGCCAGGATCATCGTGGACATCATAGCGCCTCCGAGAATGGTAGGCAATGCTGGTCCATAGGTTGGGGCAACTTCTCTCAACTTCCGCTTTAATGGCTGGCGCGATCTCTTTGAGTATCTTGCAGACTTCGTCATCTCGAATTGGCATAGATATGTCAGAATACATGAGATCAGGATTGCGGATTTCCACGCGAAACTTTATGTCCACGACTACCTCTTCAACCATGCCGAGGATATGGTTAGCGGCTGCCTCCCATCGTGCCGTGTCTATATCAAGCGTTGAGAGGATGATCGTATCTTTTGCCGTTTGAGGCAAACCTCGTTGCCACATGTGATAAACTTCTATCGTCTGGCATGAAATCCCAAACGTCTCTGCCGCCTCTATGATGTCGCCAAACAGCATCTCTGTGATATCTCGGACCTTCTCCGAGCACCTCTTCGAATCGCAGGGCTCCGGGGTTGGGAGTTTCAGAGTAGGCGCAACTCGAAAGGCATCCTTGCTTGCAGCAAATTTCTCGACGGAGCATGCACCAGCTTGAGAAGTGTTAGATATATAGTCAAGGCGAGATATAACAGACTTACTGATGGGGTCGAAGTCTTCGAACGAACTGCTCGACGCGTATTTTCTTTTTCTGCAAATGACTCCCATTCTAGGCAAGCTTAGGATCGTCCAAATCGATGGGGGAATTATGTTGTGTCGAATATGAGTATGTAATATCAGAGTCGTAACAAGTGAGGTGCAAGTGAGGTGCAAGAGCTAGAACTGAGAAGGTAAGACTACACGTGATATTTATAGAGCATGAGTCAAATAATTGTAGGGACAGTTGGTAGTAGTAGTTGTAGACTAGTAGTAGTGTGGTAGTGGTGTGGTAGTGGCGTGGTAGTGGTGTGGTAGTGGTGGTGACTAATGCAGAAGAAAGAAGAAGCAGTTTAGGCTAGAACTTGGTTGATATACCCGTACGGTTTGCCGGGTAGTTGCCCAGCTTCATAAGGGCTGGACTTGGTTGATTTTACGTTTACTTTACGCGTCATTCCTATGAATATAATTTAAACATCACTTAAGAGGATAAGTTAGCCTTAAGAAGAAATCATTTAATAATTAAATATATATTATTTATGTCTATGGATATAACGTACATGTATAGCGAAAGCGCCAAACAAGCGAAAGCGCCAAAATTATCTACCCTCACGACAAACATTGCGATAAATCTACCACAACATTAGAAATCAATTGAAACTACTCGGAGTCCTCTTCCTCAGAGGTGTCTATTACAATCTGACACGTGCGCGCATTGTGCCCAGTCTCACCACACTTGCCACAGCGACGGGCACGGGTTTCTTCCCTTGGCTTCCGACCACGGCTTGCCCTTATTTCCTGCTCTACCTGCTGCACAACATCCCTCTCATCCTGTAGCTCTTGCGCCCCTTGTTGACTAAGTGATCCTCCTTGCTGTAGTCGTGTCTTCCTAGCTCTCCGGCGCTTGCTTAGTACTTCATTTGCCTGTCGTAGGTTTTGGTTCTCTCCCTTTAGCAGTGCTAATTGATGCATTATTTGCGATGCACCCTTTGTAAACTGGTCAACAGCTGCATAGATTGAGGTTGGAGAGCTATTTTGATGGCGTGAAATCCGAGTTTTAATAAATGTAGACTGTGACATAGCTTCAATTGGGTTGTTTGGTGTCTGAGAAACCCAAGGTTGAGCAGTACCTGGGCGGGAGCTTGGAGGCGTTGGTGTCCTTAACTTAAGATCAAGTGTAGATATCACTCTCTCAGGGTCAAATGGAAGAAGCCCTGCCCCTCGGAACCCGCCTCAAATGTTACTTTCCGTCATTGTAGTGTTAAATGCAGCGTGGAAGGCAGGAAAGAAGTCATCCTTTGTAATATGAGAAATATGAGCCTGCATCATATCTTCAATTTGCCGACCATAGGCCTGCTTTAACGGGCCGAAACAGCCAACATCAAGTGGCTGGAGTAGATGAGAAGAGTGAGCAGGCATACAAAGCGTAATAATGTTGTGTTCCTTGCAGTACTCCTCAAACTCATCTGAGTGGTGGCTCTCATGACCATCAAGGACTAACAAGCGATAACCACCAACACTCCGGGCCTTTGTATGCTTCTCAAAGTGCTGAATCCAATCCATGCCTCTCTCGTTTGTAGTCCAGCCATTTTCAGTAACAGAAATCACCCAATCGCTTGAAAATCCACTATTCTCATACCAAGATGTAAGGTGGTTTTTGCCTGCAACAATGATAAATGGTGGTACTGCCCAACCTTGAGAACTAACGCCTTGGATTACTGTAACCCATTCCCGATTACCAGGCTGTACCTTCTTTGCTTTTGCCCGCCCGTCTGAGCTTGTTACAACCATAGCAGTTGAGATAACGCCCATCATAAACCCAGTCTCATCAAAGTTGTAGATATCTGCTTCATCGATACCATATTTCGCAATTGTGTTACGCACAAGCTCAAACCAGCCATTAATAACTTCTGGATCTTCGCACTTAGCCCTCTGGTAGTCGTATTTGCGCTGAAAGCGTGTCTGGAGCTCTACACGCCGCTTAACAAAGTTTGAAGCCCAACGCGACCCAACGCGTGACGCGTCGCGTGTTGCAAGTAGTCGACTTGCCATATCTTCAACAACAGACAGCCGAGGAGGAAACCCTTTGGCAGCTAGGTCGAGTATATACTGAACAAGGACGGACTCCTCTAGGTTAGTTAATTTCCGTGAGTTGGCTTGGATATCGCGTCGTGAAGGTACACCTTCTAGACGACGACCTAGCTTGCGGTGGTCCACAGAATAGATCCTAGCAGCAACTCGAAGGCGTAACTTTGGGTCGCTTTGCATAGCCTGGATAGCTAGCACTAATTGGCTTTCATCGTTTTTATGGGGCATGTTTTGTTGTTGAGGAATTTAACATTTAGTTGGGGGGTTTGGTCACCGCATCATTTTGGCGCTTTCGCTTGTTTGGCGCTTTCGCTATACATGTATGTTAATCCTAAAGAGTAAACCCATTAATAAGGCCAGAAATAAATTAACCGCCCATTACAAAAAATAGTCTTTAAAAGCAATTTAGTTACATCACAATGAATAAAACCAAAATTTAAAATCAAATATATGAAAGCGAGGGGCAGGGTTAGAAAATCAATTATAATCATGATTATGTAGTCGTAATCATAATCATGATTATTTATAAAGCATATAACGTCCTCCACAAGCGAGTGTCGCATACAAGTGAGTGTCGCACGCGACGAACACAACACGCTCCTTATGTGTACTGCAAGATGCCTCAACAAGTTGATATTCCATCAACTAATCTTGAAGGTAGAATATATATTGCTATCGAAGCTATTAGATTACGCCAATTTAATAGCATTAGGGCAGCTGCAAAGGCCTCAAATGTCTGTCCTAAGCTACTTGAGAGGCGCCTAAAGGGAATACGCCCACGACGCGACATTACACCAAAAACTCAAAAACTCACTTGCTTGGAAGAATCAGTTGTTATTCAACATATCCTCGACCTAGATTCACGGGGGTTTTCGCCTAGGCTTCATGCTGTTCAAGATATGGCCAATCAATTACTCGCATCTCGAGGTGTGGGCAAGGTTGGAGTTAATTGGGCTTCCAACTTTGTTAAACGCCATGTTGAGCTTAAAACAAAGTTTAATCGCAAATACGACTATAAGAGAGCTCTATGTGAAGATGCAGAGCTCATAAAAGCATGGTTTACACTTGTACAAAACACTACTGCAAAGTATGGAATTACCGATGCAGACATCTACAACTTTGATGAGACAGGTTTTCAAATGGGCATTATTACAACAGCAATGGTTGTTACAAACTCTGAACGGCAGAATCGACCTAAAGCAATTCAACCTGGAAACAGAGAGTGGGCAACAGTAATTCAAGGGATTAACGCGCAAGGATGGTCAATCCCACCGTTCATTATTATGAGTGGGAAGAACCATCTCTCAACATGGTATGATGAAGATATACCACAAGATTGGATCCTCGCATTAAGTGAGAATGGATGGACGACAAATGAACTTGGATTTCAATGGATCCAACATTTCATAAGCATACAAAGCATCGTACAGTTGGTGCACATCGCCTGTTAATTCTAGATGGCCATGAGAGTCACTATTCTCTACCGTTTGAGCAATACTGTAAGGAGAATGGTATAATATTGCTTTATATGCCTCCGCACTCATCTCATCTACTTCAACCGCTTGATGTTAGTTGCTTTGGACCACTTAAGAAGGCATATGGACAGCAAGTTGAGAGCTTAATCTGCACTCATATAAACCATGTTACGAAAGTTGAGTTTCTTCCTGCCTTTAAGCAGGCTTTCACAGACGCAATCACAAAGCAGAACATCTGCAGTAGTTTTCGAGCTACAGGGCTAGTTCCATTCTGTCCTGATGTTGTGTTGTCACAGCTTGACATTCAACTACGGCCTTTAACACCACCAACCTTTGAGGATGCTTCATGGGAACCTAAAACACCACACAATCTAATAGAGCTAGCAAGTCAAACTACGCATCTTAAAGATCACATTATATGCCATCAAAATAGCTCACCAACTCCTATTAACAATGCGCTAGACCAGTTGCTAAGAGGTGCTCAAACAATGGTGTATTCTGCTGTTCTAATGAAGGCGGAAGTTCAGGCCTTACAACAAGCAAATGAAGTTGCAAGTCAGCGCAAAAAGCGAAAAAAAGTGTATACAACAAGGAGGGTGCCTTACAATTCAAGAAGGGCAGGATATACTTGCTCACCTAGCTGTGGAAGAGCAGATATCTCAAGAACTACGACAGGGTGGCGGGGTTGAAAGTGTCATACTGACATTCGTTGCACTCAGTTTGCTATCAAACTCAAGAGCAAACTTAGAAATCTCCTCCTCAAACCTACAAGTCACCATACATATCTTGGCTTATCACACCAACAACAGAAGCAATACTACTCAACGATTGCTGCAAACTCTTCTACTACATCTGTTTATGCTACATACATCACGGCATATCATTTGGACACTCATTGAACAAGTTATTAAGAAAATCTCCTCCTTAAGGGGGTGGGCCAATACTACCACATGGCATATCTCTACCAACTAGAGGCCTAGGAACATGAACGATAGCTCTAGAAGCTTCTACAACCCTCTATGATTCATTACACGTCATCGCTCCTTAGTTACCCACAAGATTGGTTAAGTTATGACATAATTTGTCTATAGGTACTCTGACCTTGGACCTCCTTTTCACTTCCTATAGGCTAGGAACCCAAGAGATGGTTCTATGGGATTCTCTTACGTTCACTACATGATTAGCAAGCTAGTTGTGGGTCGCACTTGATTTCTAATACATTTACCAAGCCTGGTTAGTCATGGAAAGTCATGGAAAATGAGAGAACTACACTCCTTTGGCATAAATAGGATTGCCCTTTCCTTAAGAAAGGGCAAGCAGGCAATACAGTAAATCGACTAGCACATACTTCTACGTCTTTTCCAAGCTTCCAAGCATTGATCTTGTTATTCTCTGTTTTTTGAAAAGTCAGTGAGGTGCTAACCTCTGACTTACCCCTGAGTTCTCAGACTCAACATTTGTTGCAACTTGTCTAAACCACTTCACCACATCATACACCTGATTGCTGCGTTGTGGAATAGTCTAAGCTACAACCCTTTGGCTCTGTTTCCTAAGACAGTGTGTTGTCTTAGTAAATTCATCCCTTCCTTGGGTGGCTAGATTCTCATATCTGGTGCACCCACCATTACACCTTGCCTGCTTCAAGCTTCAACTATTTCTATAGCAGCACTTCGATACTACAATGGAGGACGACCAAGCTCCTACAACTACTGCTGAACAGCAGATGCAACAACTGTTTGCCTTTATACAAACTATAGCAAACAAACTTGAGAATTTGGAAAACACCTTTCAAGCCAACACTTCAGCAACACAATCTTCAACTCAGACACATCATACAGAGCTTCCCACAGCTCCTCTGGCTATTTCGAGTACCCCAGGTGCACTTCCTAAAGTGCAAACACCAGATTTATACCATGGAGACAGGAGGAAGTTGAAGGGATTTCTTATGCAACTGGACATCTACTTCACCCTCAGGCCTCATCAGTTCACCTCAGACATTCAGAAGATCTATTTCGCTGCCAGCTACCTCCGTGGATCTGCATTCAACTTCTTTGAGCCATATCTTAGAAGACTTAGTGGCAACAACCAAAATACCACTACACCTTTGATTACCTCTTATGACCAGTTTCAAGAGGAACTTACCAGGACCTTTGGAGACATCAACGAAACTGCTACAGCAGAAAGAGAGCTACAGAAGCTATGTCAAAAGACCTCTGCTGCTCAGTATACAACAGAATTTAGGAGAATCACTTCTCACTTGACTTGGAATGAAGAAGCCTTAGTCTTCACTTACTACCAAGGGCTCAAGAGCTCTATTAAGGATGAACTCAGCAAAGAAGAACGCCCTACAACACTTCAAACGCTTATAGAGAAAGCTGTCAGACTTGATGATAGGCTTTTTGAAAGAAGAAAGGAGAAGAACCAAGACTGGCATCCAACAAGAAATTTCAACAATTACACCTCTACACCAACTGCTAAGGACTCAGCACCTGAACCTATGGACTTAGACGCCTCTATAAAGAGATCTACAGCAAATCCAGCACCTCAGCCTACAGGATACCCTCAAAAACTGAAAAGGGGTAAACTTACCCCTCAAGAAAGAAAACACAGAATGGACAACAACCTTTGTTTATACTGTGGCAAAGGGGGACACAGAATTCAGGAGTGCTATTCAGCACGGGGGAGTGCTGATTCAAAACATATAGCAGCCTCAGACACAGTCACAACTGCTATTCCTGAAAAACTTGAAAAATCCCTAGCAGGCACAACTTCAACTGAGACTATAACTTCTCCCCTAGACAACAAAGATGTGTCGATGGTGCTTTCTCAGAGTCTCACACACCTGTTAATCCCTATTCAACTCCATTTCAAACAACAGGTGTTGTCTACAAGGGCTATGATAGACTCAGGGGCAACAGGCAACTTTATATCTCAAGACCTCATCTTGACACACCAGTTACCTACAATTCCCAAACGCACTCCAGAGTTGCTCCGAGTCATTGATGGAACTCCTATCAGTTCAGGTTCCATTACCTGCAACACCCCAGTACTCAAACTTGAGATTCCCCTAGGAAAATCAACATTTTCAGACACCATCTCTTTAGATGTTATACCAATGAAGTACCCAGTCATCCTAGGTCTTCCATGGCTTCAAAGGCATGATCCAACTATCAATTGGAAGCATTTATCGCTTGGGTTTAGCTCAAATCCTGAGCTCAATACTGGAAAAACCCTTCAAGCCTCAGTTACCCCTATTCAGGTCCAAGACTCAAACTTGTCCCAGATCAAGGATTTTGACCAAACTATGGACGATATATCATCTCTGATATGGGTTAAACCTTTCCAACCTGTCCTGGAGATAGCAGCTACTTCAGATTTGGAGAAATCATCTCAGGAGGTCATTTTGCCTTTAGCATACCAAGACTACCAACATCTTTTTGACAAGGCAAAGGCATCAATTCTGCCAAAGCACCAGCCTTATGACCATGAGATGCCACTCGCAGAAGGCTCAATGCCTCCCTACAGCCCTATCTACTCTCTATCTGAATTAGAGCTGAAAACTCTCAGAGAATACCTAGATGAGAACCTTAGTTCTGGCTTTATCAGACCTTCTTCCTCACCAGCAGGAGCTCCCATTCTCTTTGTCAAGAAGAAAGATGGCTCCTTGCGTCTCTGTGTTGATTATAGGGGCCTTAATGCAGTCACTGTTAAAAACAGATATGCTTTACCCCTTATCCCTGAGCTCATAGATAGGCTCTCTTCAGCAAGGATCTTTACCAAGTTAGATCTCAGGGGAGCTTATAACCTGATACGCATCAAGGAAGGTGATGAGTGGAAGACAGCATTCAGAACACGCTATGGTCATTTTGAATACCAGGTAATGCCTTTTGGGCTTGCCAATGCACCTGCTTCTTTCCAAGCTCTCATGAATGATATTCTAAGACCTTACTTGGATATCTTTGTTGTTGTCTACTTAGACGACATTCTTATATACTCTTTAGACACTCAAGAGCATGTTCTACATGTTAGACAAGTCTTAGAGAAGCTATCTCAAGCACAACTCTTTTGCAAACTTGAGAAATGTCTTTTCCATATGTCTCAAGTTGATTTCTTAGGACATAGAATTTCAACAGAAGGCATTCAGATGGACCCTGAAAAGACAAAAGCAGTACAAACGTGGCCTATTCCTTCCAGCATTAAAGAGGTTCAGTCTTTCCTTGGGTTTGCCAACTATTACAGGAGGTTTATACCAAGATATACATCCTTGGCTTTACCCCTTACTCAATTACTTCACAAGGACACTTTGTATCACTGGGATAAGACACAGCAAGATGCTTTCGATGCTCTTAAAGGAGAATTTAAAGAAGGGAAAATGTTACTACACTTTAACCCCTTGAAACCTGCCACTCTTGAGACAGATGCCTCAGATTTTGCCATTTCTGGAATCTTATACCAAGCTCCAAAAGACAAACAAGAAGAGCTACAGCCTGTGGCATTTTACTCAAGAAAGCTATCAGCAGCTGAACAAAACTATCCCATTACAGACAAGGAACTGCTTGCCATAGTATGTTCTCTAAAGCATTGGAGATGCTACCTTGAAGGGGCAAACTATCCTATCACTATTTACAGTGACCATTCAAATCTCTTGACCTTTACAACCACTAAACAGCTCAATCGACGACAAGCAAGGTGGTCTGAACAACTAGGAGGTTTTGACTTTGTTATAAAACATGTCTCAGGGGCCAAGAATCAAAGAGCAGATCTCCTCTCAAGAAGACATGACTACCAAGATTCTGCTAAAATAAGCAATACAAAGGCCCTGCTAGACTCTACAAAGCTTATAGCAGCATCTTTAAGCAACCCTCACATTACAGAGGACTTAGGGGTAAACTTATCCCCTCAAGACCAAGTTGCCCCCATTACCTCTTCTCAGGAACCAGAGACCTTTAAAGACTATACACCCTCAGCAACACTTCTTAAAGCATTCAAAGATGCTTACAACCATGATCCCTTTGCGAAAAGAACTTTGGAATACCTCCAGAAGAAAGGTTCCTCTCTTGAGAAAGTTGGACTACAGAATTTCTCAAAAAATCAGCATGGACTTCTCTTATTCAAGAACTATATCTATGTCCCAAGGGATAAACGATTACAGCTACACCTCCTACAGCAGTTCCATGATGCTCCAGCTGCAGGGCACTTTGGCTTTGCAAAAACTTATGAACTTCTAACAAGAAAGTTCTACTGGCCTAGTCTAAGGACTACTCTTCAAGACTATATATCTTCTTGCACTACTTGCAACTTGAACAAGCCTACACGGCAAAAGCCCTATGGCCTCTTGCAGCCTCTACCTATACCAGAACGCCCATGGGACTCCATATCCATTGACTTTATAGTCAAGTTGCCTCCTTCTATCCCAAAAGGGGGTGCTACCCCTTATGACTCTATCCTTGTGGTGGTAGAAAGGCTCACAAAAATGGCACACTTTGAGCCTTGCAATGAGCAGCTCCAGCTGGTCCAATATCTTCATCCCCAACCTTGTCCCCTTCATCTTCAATCTCCTCTTCGACCTCTTCATCTTCGACCTCTTCATCTTCGACCTCTTCATCTTCGACCTCTTCATCTTCGACCTCTTCGACTTCATCTTCAGCGCCCTCATCTTCAACTCCTTCAACTTCACCTTCGATTTCTTCATCCTCACTCTCTTCGACTCGATATAAGGACCCTGCTACCCTCTTTAGTTCCTTTGTCTCCTTTGCCTTCACTTCATTCCCCTTTGCCTCCTTCACCTCCTTTGCCTCCTTCGAAATAGTGAAAGAACAGGAATGAGCTTGTTTGATACACCAAGCACACTTCAATGATGTATGGCCAGACCAAGTGATGCAATCACTCATCTTTGGCCTCGCTTTACATCGGTCACACTTCGGATCTGGGGCTTCACCATATTTGGTAATCTTCTCAAAGTTTTCCAACCTCAGCTCCTTCGGCGTCTTCGAAACGGCCTTGAAAAAAAAAAAAAAAAAAAAAAAAAAAAAAAAAACTCAGAACCCTTCGGAACGCATCGGAAAAATTCAGAATCTCATGGAAACTTAAAGAAGAACTAAGTCAACTTCGAACACCCTCAGAAATTCATAGAAAATACAAGTTCTAGCAACTCAACTTCGAACTTCAATAACCCCTACTTCGATACTTCGCTCATCTCAGACTCAAGATTACATAGACCTCACTTACTTCGGTCCTTGCGAGGGGCTCTTGTCATGACACTCCTTCGATATTTGTGTCACGACCCTTCGATTCGCTTTAGTCTCTAGTACTTATTTCACTATGTCATTCACTTCACCTGCTTCACTCACTTCGCTCACTTCGCTTCACTTGCTGACCTAGATCAGCCCAAATGTTGACTACTGGCTTAGGCTCTCTTGTTATTGGCTTGCTGCACTAGGGCTCGCTTAGCTAGGGTTCGGTTAATTAGTGCCTTTGCTTATTTGGCACTAGGGATTTTTACTGTTATATAAGCACTTATTGCTCATGTCTCTTATTGATCTTTAGCTAGCAAATTATATACTACTTGGCCTTCTTGCAATTCCTCCTGCTTCGACTTACTTTGCATTCCCTTACTTCGAGTCGAACCACTTGGCCAACCTGTTAGTCTCACCACTTGACCCCTGTGGTATAAAGTATATGCTTTGGAGCCTGAACTACCATACCTTGTCCTACTGCTTTGAGTATCGAAGTCTTCACATTATACTTTGGATACTTCTGCAGACTTGAAGGTCAGCCTCGGTTCGAACTGTCCTTACAGTTAAGGAAGCGTGGGAGCAAGTTGGAGAAGCTGAGCTTAATGCTCTCCTTAATAGTATGCCTACATGTATGGCAGCAGTAATTGCTGCAAATGGTATGCACACAGAGTACTAGGCTTATAGTATAGTTTTACATAGGGGTTTAGGTATCTACTCTACTCATTATTCTACAGAATTGATTGCTCTCACACTCAAGTGTTCGTGACGCGTGAGAATCGGTACTTTGGCCAGAATTGCCAAGCCAGCCTACGCAGGGGGCCCTAGCCCGACCCACTCACAAAACTTATGAACAACACCTCGCTACACCGCCTCAAACAATCATAAACTCGCTACCTTGCGGGGTGATGCGATTTCGGATTTACAATCAATAGGTCCGTCGGAAATAAGAGATTAGCTTTGCAAAATTGAAGGTAGATCCGTAGATTTCATATACTACTTGGACTTCTCATACTTGGGTTTCTCATACTACCTGGGCTTCTCATACTTCTTAGGCTTCTTGGACGACCTCGACTTCTCATTCGTATACTCCTACCAAACATGGCAGACAAAGCATCGGACAAAGAGATGAAGATGGAGTATACACGGCTGGGCAAGTCTGGCCTAAATATCTCGAAGCTTATTCTGGGAGGCATGAGTTACGGTTCATCAGAATGGTGGGAATGGGTCCTAAACGAAGAAGCCGCCCTTCCTCTCCTCAAACATGCATACGACGCTGGAATAACCACCTGGGATACAGCTGATATGTATTCCAACGGTGAATCCGAGAGGATCCTCGGCAAGGCCCTCAAAAAATACAACATCCCTCGCAACCGCGTCGTGCTCCTGACAAAGTGCTACTTCGGCGTCGCAGACCTTGAAGAGGGACAGCAACGCATATACGCAACCCCTGGGAGGGATACTGACCCCAAGTGGGTTAACAGGGTTGGCCTGAGCCGGAAGCACATCTTCGACGCTGTTGATGCCAGCGTCGAGAGGCTGGGCACCTACATCGACGTCCTTCAGATCCACCGACTGGACCATGAGACGCCACGGGAAGAGATCATGAAGGCGCTGAACGACATTGTCGAGAGTGGCAAGGTACGCTACATCGGCGCCAGCAGCGTGAGTCACCCCTATACCTCTGAGTCAGACCGGACCCGCTAATTCCGAGCAGATGGCTGCGTGGGAGTTCCAGACGCTGCAGAATATTGCCGAGAAGAACGGCTGGCACAAGTTCATCAGCATGCAGAACTACTATAACCTCATCTACCGCGAGGAGGAGCGCGAGATGATCCCCTACTGCAAGGACACCGGCGTGGGACTGATCCCCTGGTCCCCCATGGCGCGCGGTGCGCTCGCTCGGCCTTACGATTCGCGATCCACGGTGCGTGAGGGCTCGGATCAGGTACTCAGCGGTATAGTCCGCAAGGAATCGGAGATTGACAAGGCTGTCGTTGGTCGGGTTCAGGAGGTGGCCGACAAACTGAAGGTGAGCATGGCGAGGGTGGCGATTGCGTGGGCGCTGCAGAAGGGGACAAATCCGATTGTGGGCCTCAGCAGCAAGGAGAGGATTGATGAGGCCGTTGAGGCGGTGAAGTGGCAGAGTGGTGGGGGGTTGACGAAGGAGGACTGCAAGTATCTTGAGGATGGGTATGCACCCAAGCATGTGTCGTTTATATAGGGCCTTGTCTCATATACCCTCACAGAAAAGGAATGAGGGGTAACAAAAGTAAAATTTGCATTATCCAACAAATATATTCTTAACACTAGCTATGATCTGCGAGAATTGAACCAACACAGTGATTCTTAAAATCAGAGGTGAGCGCTAGCTAATGTCAACCCAAAGCGCTTGGCATGGGCGTTAGTGGCTTCTTGCTGGCTTTTTATCCCCGCAAAATCCCTGTCACTTGAGAAACAACGACCCCTGCTTGATCAACCCCAGCGACAAATATATCGCGACACGCTACAAGCTACAATGAGGGCGTTAGTACAGTAAAGCACCGTTATAACGATGTATTTGCTGCCAGCAGAATATATCGTTATAATGATAATATCGCTATATTGATTCTTATGTAATCCAACTATCTAACGTACTCTGCACCCGTGACTCTTGATCTAATGCCTCAAGAGCGAATTCTAAACGCTCGAGGCCTCGTAAATAGTCCGATTAAAGGGCCTCTTGTTCTTCAGTAAACTCAATCAGAACCTGGAGTGCTTGACGAGCGCTCTTCACAGAATGTAAAGAGCGCTCTTGCAACTCTTCTTCATCATCATCTTGAGTTTGCTGAAGACCTAGATGCTCATCAATAACCTCTTGTAGAATCTCGTCCTCGCTTGGTGTCCCATCTTGTATATCCCTTTCTCATCGCTTGGGTTTAGAAAATTAGAAATTGCCATAACATCATGAATATTGCCAGCTCGTATAACTTGTTCATAGAGTTCGTTGATACCTGGAGGAGTAATTGTGTAATGGTGGGTGCACCAGATGTGAGAATCTAGCCACCCAAGGAAGGGATGATTTTACTAAGACAACACACTGTCTTAGGAAACAGAGCCAAAGGGTTGTAGCTTAGACTATTCCACAACGCAGCAATCAGGTGTGTGATGTAGTGAAGTGGTTCAGACAAGTTGCAACAAATGTTGAGTCTGGGAACTCAGGGGTAAGTCAGAGGTTAACACCTCACTGACTTTTCAGAAACAAGGAGTAACAAGATGAATGCTTGGAAGCTTGTAAAAGACGTGGAAGTATGTGATAGTCGATTTACTGTATTGCCTGCTTGCCCTTTCTTAAGGAAAGGGCAATCCTATTTATGCCAAAGGAGTGTAGTTCTCTCATTTTCCATGATTTTCCACTAACCAGGCTTGGTAAATGTATTAGAAATCAAGTGCGACCCACAACTAGTTTGCTAATCATGTAGTGAACGTAAGAGAATCCCATAGAACCATCTCTTGGGTTCCTAGCCTATAGGAAGTGAAAAGGAGGTCCAAGGTCAGAGTACCTATAGATAAATTATGTCATAACTTAACCAATCTTGTGGGTAACTAAGGAGCGATGACGTGTAATGAATCATAGAGGGTTGTAGAAGCTTCTAGAGCTATCGTTCATGTTCCTAGGCCTCTAGTTGGTAGAGATATGCCATGTGGTAGTATTGGCCCACCCCCTTAAGGAGGAGATTTTCTTAATAACTTGTTCAATGAGTGTCCAAATGATATGCCGTGATGTATGTAGCATAAACAGATGTAGTAGAAGAGTTTGCAGCAATCGTTGAGTAGTATTGCTTCTGTTGTTGGTGTGATAAGCCAAGATATGTATGGTGACTTGTAGGTTTGAGGAGGAGATTTCTAAGTTTGCTCTTGAGTTTGATAGCAAACTGAGTGCAACGAATGTCAGTATGACAAATTGGAATCGGAAGAGCAATCGGAATGCTGACAAGTGTAGATTTTCGAAAACAGTTATAGATTGTTGTATTTGTGACAAAATGATTCCAGCTCCGTAGAATCCATCGGACCGCAAAGTGTAGATTCATCGATTCGAGTGGGTTTCGATCTGAGGTAAAAGCATCAAGCATAAAAGAGAGCCACTGTCGTCGATAATGGAATTTGAATGATTGAATGATGCCTTGATCAAGGGGCTGAAATCGACTATTACTGTTAGCAGGAAGCCAACAAATATGTATGTTTATTGGAGGAGGACAAAGCTCAAGAGCAGTGTTATGAGCTGAGAAGTTATCCATCGTAAGAAGAACTTGTCGAGTCGTTCCAATATGTCGATAGAAAGCATGAAGCCATTCGCTCATAATTGTTGTATTCATCCAAGCCTTCTGGCTCACACGCCAGTGCCCTCCCATTGATGGTATATCGATATTTCGAAGTGCACGCGGCTGTTTATATTGTCCAATCATAGGCGATCAGTTCCAGAAGCATTAACACAAAAGACGAGGCTCATTCGAGTTTTCTCCTTCTTTAATCCTGGAAGCGTTTGTGTTGCAAGCCCTCGAGACGGCATCATCTTCCAGTATAGGCCTGTCTCGTCCATATTATAAACATCCTCCTCTTGAAATTCACCAGCGATAGTTCGTAGAGCCTTCATTTCCTCCTCTGCTGTTTCTTGATAAGAGCCTCCTTCGCTGTGTTTTGTATGGACCTTGATATGATATTGTGCTTTAAATCGATGGAGCCAGCCAGTTGAGAAGTCTGGGCATTGTAGATTATCATCGTTCGGTAGTTGTTGCCAAATCTCTCGAGCCTTTTCTTGTAGTATATCACCACTTGTAAAGCCTCCACGCGATTGAATTCGTTGCTGCCATATAATAAGGAGTCGCTCTACTTCTGGCCACTGCCCAACTCGTAGTCGTGATCCCGTAGGTTGTATAGCTTTGTCTAGATCTTCAAAATGTGAGCTTAAAGACTCAGAAACTGTCGACTGACTGAGTTTATGGCCATAGTTCTGAGAGAACCATTCGATACATTGCTTTTGAGAAGGCTTCGGGTGAATTGCGTAGAGCCCAGCATTGCTCAATAGTTATTGAAAATCGTTTCATCATTTCAAGGTCTGAATAGGAACACCATAGCACGGATAAAGCGATATTCAGGAAGGGAGCTGCGATATTGTGATAATCGGTAATTGTATGGTGGTGTTGTCGGGACCAGGAAAAATATCGCAATAATGAAGTTATCGCTTAATCGAGAATCGTTATAATGGTGCTTTACTGTAGCTTGTTCGGCCTGCAGGTATGCCATGCTTTCTTCTATAATACCAAGATCTATAGCGCTAACCCTTGTCATCACAATATCTTTTTAAGCTAACGCCTACAGGACGCGGCGCAGGAAGTGCACATTAGTCCCTGGCTCGACGACCTGCCTCTGCACCGAGCATGGCATCACGTGTATTCGAGGTAGCGGAGTGCCTTCCCCTTCATCTCAAGGTTACAGTGCACCATCCTCACCACCTGCTGTGCGGCAGCCGCCACCGGTCGGGTTACCGCTGCTTAGGGCTCGGCACAGATGCAAATCCGTGAGGTTTTTTTCAATCCGTATCCGTATTCGTGGGTTTTGAAGGCCCTTATATTCAATCCGTGATAATATTCATAGAAGATTAAAACTATTCATATTCATATTCGTCGTATTCATGAATGCTTGGCAATGTGTTAGCGGTATGCACGTGCCATAATTGAGGCCGTAAAATCATGTAAAGGAGGGGTAAGTTATATTTGTTTTGTGTTATAATCATGACAAAACCCCCATAACTTCTCTTTTTTATTCTTCGCTCTATTTAGGATATATTCATATTATCTAAATATGAATCCGTCTAATTCTCCCCTAGCACGGCGCACACGTCATCGAGAAATTGATTTTCATACATTAAATGATGGAAGTGACGAAGAATATGACTCTGATGTTGTATCACGAGTTAAACGACCACGAAACGCCCAAAAACAAGCCCAAATCTCTCAAGATTTATCACTTTTAAGAGAAGAAGATGATAATATCTCACCACATGATTCAGCTTCGCAAGTTCAAGCCTCACACCCTCTACATACAGAAGAGAAAAATACCATTACTGTCATACTGACATTCGTTGCACTCAGTTTGCTATCAAACTCAAGAGCAAACTTAGAAATCTCCTCCTCAAACCTACAAGTCACCATACATATCTTGGCTTATCACACCAACAACAGAAGCAATACTACTCAACGATTGCTGCAAACTCTTCTACTACATCTGTTTATGCTACATACATCACGGCATATCATTTGGACACTCATTGAACAAGTTATTAAGAAAATCTCCTCCTTAAGGGGGTGGGCCAATACTACCACATGGCATATCTCTACCAACTAGAGGCCTAGGAACATGAACGATAGCTCTAGAAGCTTCTACAACCCTCTATGATTCATTACACGTCATCGCTCCTTAGTTACCCACAAGATTGGTTAAGTTATGACATAATTTATCTATAGGTACTCTGACCTTGGACCTCCTTTTCACTTCCTATAGGCTAGGAACCCAAGAGATGGTTCTATGGAATTCTCTTACATTCGCTACATGATTAGCAAGCTAGTTGTGGGTCGCACTTGATTTCTAATACATTTACCAAGCCTGGTTAGTCATGGAAAGTCATGGATAATGAGAGAACTACACTCCTTTGGCATAAATAGGATTGCCCTTTCCTTAAGAAAGGGCAAGCAGGCAATACAGTAAATCGACTATCACATACTCCCACGTCTTTTACAAGCTTCCAAGCATTAATCTTGTTATTCTTTGTTTCTAAAAAGTCAGTGAGGTGCTAACCTCTGACTTACCCCTGAGTTCTCAGACTCAACATTTGTTACAACTTGTCTAAACCACTTCACTACATCATACACCTGATTGCTGCGTTGTGGAATAGTCTAAGCTACAACCCTTTGGCTCTGTTTCCTAAGACAGTGTGTTGTCTTAGTAAAATCATCCCTTCCTTGGGTGGCTAGATTCTCACATCTGGTGCACCCACCATTACAATTACTACAAATACTCCCTACTCAAGTGCTCTTGAGTATACCCCCTTAATTCAATGAGTGAATAAGGAGCCAATAGGGCAAAGTAGCTGGGTGTATGCTTATTTTGATATGGTAGAACTTGCAGAGCCATGGCTACATAAGTCAAGTAAGAAGATGATACCAATTGAGCGTGTTTGGACCTGCAAGACCCTTCATTGCTCTGGGGTTTACAGCGACTCAAAGCGACAAGGAACAACATCTAATATGATTACACACCTTAAATCGCATCATATCTACAAGGACGGACAAGGCCTTACAGCATCATTGTAAGGATGCCTCCGTACCTAGATACTCGAAGAACCTGTCTCAGAACTGTTACGGTCACTACAAACATGGAATCCGACTCGGTGGGGTTTCGAACCAGTAGAGGATCATATAGCGAGTTACACTATAGTGGGGGACAGTAAGTGTATAGGGTTCAGGGCCGATGTAGACCTGTTGCGGGGGAAGGTTCAGGGCTAGGGTTGGGATAACCGAGTCGGGCCCGTTTCAGGAGTTAAGGAAACAGACTCAACGGGGTTCCCCCTTCATCTTTTTTGTATCCTTCGTAGTAGACCTATAGGATAGCATCCGTTTAGCCTCCGACTCGCACTCTCATATGCTATTACTGTGAGCTGGGTGCCCTGTGTCCTTACAATCATCAAGTGAGCAAGCAAGTATCACATCATTCCTATCATCAGCAATGACGATGCCCCCTCCAACATCTATGTAACGCTGACTTCTAAATGATAGAAGACACAGAGGTTTCTTGTGTAAGGTTGACTTGACAGAGGAGGCAGGGGATTAGACACAAAGGCTTTCCAAGTAACACGTTACAGTATTGTAAAGAATACTATATTGAGTTGAGCATGAAGCTCCTATCTAAGGAAATACTATCTACTTATATAGTGGCGTCGTGCCTCATGGGTAATCTGGATAGTTGGCGGATAGCTAGATATTCAGGATAGTTCGTGGATAGCTCAACTATCCAATATCCACTAGTTTCTGCAACTATCCATTAGCCCCGTCACATGGCAGCCTACCCCGCTTCTCACTGTGACTCACACGTCACGTTACTAGGCCCTGGCGCTGTAACCATGACATCATGTTACTGTAGCCGTAACAATCTATGCAACGGAATAGCCAAGAACAATTTGAATACAATCTTGCACATTGGATTGTACAGACTCAACAACCTTTTACTGCCATTGAAGAACCGTCTTTCCATCAAATTTTCCGCAGCATCCCTAATTTTGCGCTCAAGTTCAAGTCTGCAAAACAATGAATCACGCATCACTCAATACTTTTAAGAGTCATGCACTACATTACAGAATCAGCTAGATGTCGAGTGCTCTACTATTACCTTTTCACTTGATGCATGGACAAGTACCAATCATCGTGGAATGCTAGGTGTAATTGGCCATTGGCTGTCAAAAGACTTTCAATATCATGAGTCAGTCCTTGAGTTTGCAGAGATCCCTGGACGACATAGTGGAGAGAATATGGCTGAAATGATATTCTCATTATGTCAGGAGTTGAATCTTAATTCAAAGCTACTTGCGATCACTGCAGATAATGTGGATAACAATGGCACACTATGTTCTCATTTATATGAGCTACTATCTCATAATGACATTACGCAATATATTGAGGAGCCAAACCTCTCTATCCGCTTCGAAGGAGATGTTAGCTATGTACGCTTTCTTGCACATGTTCTCAATTTAATTGTGAAAGACATCTTACAAAGTTTAAAGTCAGGGGATATGAAGACTGCAGTTGATACTTGCAATGCTATGGCAAATGGAACCCCTTTCCCATCAGGCCTCGCTGCACTTGCACGACTTAGACTTATTATAGTCTGGATGAATCGTAGTGCAGTTCGTCGGCAAAATTGGAAGACTGTGTGTACAGTTAACAACCTTCCAACAAATATGATTGAGTATGATGTTGATACACGATGGAACTCAACTTTCCGGATGATTGATGACGCCCTTAAGTTATCAAAGCAATTCACACTCTTTGCAATTATAATTCAACTGCTATTCCCCTATTTGAAAAAGCTGATTGGGAGCAGCTTGAGAAAATCCGCAAGGTTCTTATTAAGTTTAATGAGTTCTCAAAGCATATATCACAGGCGTCACCACAAATAAGCATGTCAGTCTACCTCTATTTTGAGTGTAAGAGCTTTTTAGAGGATGCAATTGACCAAAAAGGGGACTTTGCAAGCTTAGATGATGATATCTCAAAGGCTGTGCAGGTTGGGCTAAGAAAGTACGAAAAGTATTACGCATATATGGATCATGGGTCAAATATTCATTACATTGCAATGATGCTTGATCCACAACTCAAATTTGAGATGCTGAAAGAGGAATTTGAAGACGAAGATGCGACAAATGTTGTCAAGGAGCAAATACGGACCTACCTTCATGATCGTTATTCAACTCCTCCTCTGAGCGATGAGCTGGTACTCCCACCATTACTCAATCTGAAGACAATGACATCTCAACCCGAGCTAGATCCATATAAGCGTATGCTTGAGTGCTTTGGCAAAAAGAAGACCATAGTGAAGGTGTCTGATATTGATATATATCTTGATTCACCACCAGTGGCTGTTAGTGATGCAAAGTCAACTGATTGGCTCCTAAAGTGGTGGGATTCTCATAAGGGAGAATATCTGCTAATGGCACATGTTGCACGCGATTTCCTTGCAATTCCCATTACAGAGGTTAGTTGTGAGCGCCTTTTCAACCAAAATACAGACTTATTAGGTTTACGTCGGCATAGTCTAAGTAGTGAAACTATGAGGACTCTAACACTACTTCGTGCGATGTGGGAGAGGGATTTGAGTAAAGGGGGGCATTAGAGGCTAGGGCTGCATTCTATGACCTCAATGAATTCAGTTTCTAACTACAGTCTATCTAATTCGTTCAATCCGCGGATTGAATGGATTGGCATCCGTATCCATTAGTAAAAATCATAATTTGTATTCATATTCATACTCATACTTTTTGGAATCTAACAATTTGTATTCATATTCACGGATGCACGGATTTGACGGATAAATTGGTCATCCGTGCCGAACCCTACCGCTGCTTCCTTGCTTAGAGCTGGTAGAGCTGTATTTTGACTTTATCCATGACAAGTTTCATTCCATATTTCATAGGCCTCCGGCAAGGGTAGTCCAGCCAGTTATCCTATTTGCTATATTTGCTCTATCTGCAAGGTTTCTTTTATCGTCTACTCCGTCGAGTGTCTGGAAAACCGCACTCGTGCCAAGGGCTCCGGACTGAACTTTCTGTTCCTCAACGTTGCAATGGTCGTCAACACTTATGGAATCAGCGTTGGGATTGCAGCGATTGGCTGGAAGCTGTACTTGGTGTGTATCGGCAGGATCTGCGTCGAGATGGTGGTGATTTATTTCTTCTTTGTGGAGACGGCTGGAAAAACGTTGGAGGACTAAGAAGACTACGGTGCTGATTGATGACTGGGGTAATGTCGTGGATATCCAAGATCCAGTGCATTTGGTTTAGCTTGCTATTAGATCTACAATGCATTAGGACAACTCTTGTCCGATTAAACATTAAGTGTAGTTTAATTGAGAATACGAATACACATGTCTTAGAGATAGATAGTGGCCAAGTCTAGCTCGATTATCAGTACGCTGGTTCTATGTCTCATCCCAAACCTCTACGCGTTCTTTTCTAATTCCAAATTCTCATATCTGTATTTACGACGACCAATAAGTGAATCCTCATTTGAGACTAAAGCACATACTATTTTAGTCGTCTCCTCGAACGCTAAGCGTATCAAACATGTTCAAATGCGTCCAGCTTCTCTCAGCCCGCTCTCGTAGCTCTTCCATCTCATCAACATCTTCATTGCAATCACCATCCCCATCGATTTCTCCTAGAATTTCCTGTAACCTCCAAGCGATCCTTTCCGCTCCAGCCCGAGCTCCCTCAAGGTTCGCAGCTCCTGGCCCGAGTTGAAGACCGGCAAGGCGTCCGGTCACGAAAAGGGGGACGTCTTTACTCCATTGCATGTCGTAAGTCAGGCAAGGAAGCCCTCCAACAGTCTCAATTGGGTGACTCTGTAAGAGAGGCTGTAACAGTGGCATAGCTTTGATGTCTGCCTTTGCGCCTGTTGCGTAGTAGATGTAGTCTATCGGAGGTAGGTCTGGGATCGGAGGCTCTGTCTTGATTGTCCACAACTTTGATATCGAGTCCCAGGACTTGCCCACTATTTGTGTTTTTGTATAGCGCAAGACCCTTCCTTTTGTTTGGTGACTTTCAAGAATAGCCTTGTACGCCGGGGTGATCGAACCTCCATTGCGAGCAGATAAGATCATCTCAAATCGCTCCTCGTCCGTGTCTGCTGACCAGAAGGCCGCTTGGTTGATGTTTTTGTATTTTGCAACCCAATCAAGGCTGAGATCAAAGTGCTTGATCTTGAAATTATCACGCATGATGTGCCACACTTTCGAAACGCCTTTCTTGATGCACAGATCTACGATTTGAGCGGAAGTTAAACCGCCACCGATAACGATAACATTCGTTGTGCGCTTTGAATCCACCTTTCTCTTGACGTGTGGTGCAAGACACTCTTGCTTTAGAAGCTGAGATGTGTGACAAGCACCTTCTGCCTCGTTAGAAGTGAATGGCACAGGGGCGGGCATCCCAGGCCCGATGGCGAGAACGACTGTGCGTGCGAGTTGCGTGCCTGTCGAAGTCTTGATGGTGAAGCAGTTATCTGGACACTCGTCTGTTCCATGCTCATCGTATTCAATAGAATGCACGTCGGTTTGTGTGACGAGATTATTCAGACTGTATCGGTCAATACAATCCTGACAGTAGTCGTTAAACAGAGATGTAGATGGTGTGTAGTAGTCTTGCATGTCTCGTTCATCGATTGATTTACCACTGTCATAAATCAGTATAAGCTATATAGCGGGGTTTTTAACCTACGTGTGTGCATTTACAGATGGTCCTCTCTTCAGCTTCTTCTTCATTAGATGCTTTGATATTTCTTTTCCCACCACACCTTTCAGCTCAACCATCTCCTTCTCTCTACCCTTGGCGTATGCGTATGCTTTTAGCCCATCTCGATCTCTTGGGTCAACATGGAAGAACAACGGACTTCTCAAGGTCTTGATGTTGTAAGCACGAAACAAGCATGTCCACTTTGCCATCCAGTCTGACCCCGAGGAGTCGTAGACTGCCATTAAATAGTTTGGCTGTTTGCAGATTGGCCCGCATGGCTTCTTTAACTTGTCTTCGATCAATATTTTATTCGTTGCACGTCCTTTGGTAGGCACGATCTTTACACGATGCTTGTGTCGCTTGATCCAGTGGTATCTCTGGTGCTCGGCGTCTGTGAAGAGTGCTGAGGGTGTTGTCTCTCGCATCCGTGCTGCTACTGCGAGAGCACATGGGCCAGCACCAATGATGGCAATATCGAGAACCTCGGGAGTTTCTAGAGTTGTATTCATGATTACTTTTTGTTCAGCAAGACTTTGAAGGATCAATTAAAGCTGTTCGTGAGTTTTTACAATTTAAATCAAATCCGAAGGCGGGGTGGTCAATTCCATGGCGTTCATGTAACCTTGATGGTTGAGCCCCTCGACCGACACCTTGATTGGCAGACGGGTCAAATTATTACTGTAGCTGGGAGGAAGGCACAGCGCCGCCTACAACTACAGCCAGACACTGGAGCTTGGCAACAACAATACGAACAAGTCAATGACACAGCTTTTGGGCATATGCATTTTATGCATATTTATTAGGTGTCCAAGTCAAATAAAGTATTTCAAAACCAATGATGAATATTACGGGGCTACGGCCTTTACTTATGCCGTGGCCCCGGAAGCTATTCTACGTAACGAAATGTTGTTGCCTGATTCTGCCTGATTCTTGGGGCCAGAATCACAGCGACTGACGGGAACCGGGAAACCATCGCGCTTCGCGTCTCCCTAATCGCGAAACCGCGCAAGGCACTAAGATAACAGAAGGCGGCTACTGGTTTGTGAGCCTTGCTGCCCCTCCTTCCAATCTTCCCCACCACATACATTCAGTAACCTTACTCGCCATGCTTCCATGACGTAGTAGAGCCAAACGGCTGTGTTCGAATATGCCACCAAAAAAAGATAAGTTCCCTCCTCAAAAGGTCAATCTTCGCCAGTTCTTCAAACCAGTACCCCCGAAGCCAGAGACAAAAGACGCCACGTCCAGTGTCTCTGATAAGCCTCCTACCACCATGACCAAGAAGGAGAATGAACAGCCTACGCCCCAATCCGAGCCTGCCGACGCGCAGCCCTTCTCTAGTGAACCCCGGATGACCAGCCAGCTCACCATTGCTGCAAGGAGTGATATATCAGAGCTTTCGCAGCCCCAAGCCACCTCTCACCCTCCCACAACCGCCACCGACAGGAAGAATGAACTTCCTCCACCCCAGCCCAAGCCTGCGGAAGCGCAACCCTTCTCTAGCCAACCCCAGATGACCAGCCAGCTCACCATCGAGGACTCAGACGAAGACAGCGACCTCTCTGATTTAGACAGTGATCCATCGCAGGCTTCGCCGCCCCATGTCATCTCTTACGAGTCGGCTTCGATAAGCACGCCCACGGGGGATGTACCAGCTGCCGCTCGCACGGCTAGAACCAGGACAGCACCGCACCTCAAACCAACGCCCAAGCTAAAGACAAAGGACTCCGGAAGCAGCCTCTCTGATACTTATTCCACAACTACCACCAGCAACAATGATCACTCCCCGCCCAAACCCGGGCCTGCCGATGCACAATCTGTCTCTACCAAAACCGAAATGGCCACTGGCCAGGAAGACTTCTGGGACTCGTTCACTAAAGATGACAACTCCTCTGGTTCGGACTCTGATCTGCCAGATCTTTTCACACCACCCACCACCTCACAAAAGCCCAGAAGGAGTACACGCAAATTACGAGATGCCGGTTCCACGACTAAATCGAGGGCACAGTCGTACGCCTCTCCGTTAACGTTCCAGCCAAAACATAAATACAAATTCAGTATCACGTCGCTGGTCAGCCAGTCACAGAGGCACGAGGCTACAGAGGCCAGCGCGCAGAGAGCGAAAACTATATTAGATGAGCCAGGGAACGGGGAGGAGGCAGGGCAACAAGATGACAAAGAGGCACTGCTGGAATCGGTGATTGCGGATAAGGATACCGACAGCGCGAACAAGATCCTGCAAGCCGTTGCGCGCACCGAGGCTACATCAACGGAGAAGAGATGGTACTTCTTTGACCCTGACAGCAAGGTGCCAACCCACAAGCCAACAAATACTCCGGCCAATATTTCAAAAATATATCAGAAATGGAACCAAGGGGGGGTGATAGACAGAGACTCGACGGCTGTTTCTGGAGCTATGAGTAATGCGGCCCGTACCCAGGAAGAGCTGTCTGAAAAGGAATTCTTGTGGATTTTAGAGATGTCGTGCACACAGCCAGCTACAAATCTTGAAGAGTCATACTTTGACGCTCTGCTTGCCGCCCCCGGAGCGATAGACAAATACCTTCGCCCGAAAGCTGTCAAAAAAATATTTGATCTGTTAGGCGCTCTTCGCCAAGCAACCGATCGGAAGGCCAACGTCGAAGCCGTCGGTGTTTATAAAAAGGCGTACAGGGGGCGCAACTTGGATACCCTACAGCGGTATATAAAATTCCTTGGCGATGCAGCGAAGTCTGCAACGCCGGTTACATGTGCTTATACGACGTCTCTGCTAGCAAGGCTTTGCGCGGATAACCTCGTGAAGGAAAATAACATGATTTTATCTATCGTGCGTTACGCTATGGGAGAGCTCTGTGATGCCATTGAAAAACATGGTGCCTGGGAGATTTCAGTATGTGCTTGATTTGTCCCCTACACTCATCTACTAACTGAACTTGATAGTGCCACCAAATATGCTCTAATATATATAAAACAGTGGCACAGGAGCCAATTTGCCTACACATTCTTGAGTGTATACCGGGCTCTACTCCTCACCTCATCGACCTACGAGCGCGACTCTCTCTCTCTGTGTTCTGCCGGGACTGTGACCTAACCCAAAAGCCCGCTAAAGAAACTGTCGAGCTGCGAAAGCTCATGCAGGTGCTGAGCGGCCCCAGGTTTCAGATAAACAGAGAGACAGACTATGTGCAGCTCGCAGCGTTGATATCCCTCCTCGACATTGCCATCGACGACGGGTCCGGGGCCGATCTCGACGTGAGCGATCCGCAAGCTGAAGAGGAATATAATTCCTGCCTCGATGAGTTGGCGTACCTGCTCAAGGTCATATGGAGTAGCATCAACGACCGCGGGACTTTGTCCCCATCACGTATCCACACAAAGCGGACAGTAGAAAAGTTGCGGAACCGACTGTTAGAGATGGTTCGGACGCGTCTGAAGCCCAGGCAGAGTATATTTGACCTGTCAGGACAAGGAGCGGAGAGGGAGGGCGCGCTGAAGCAGTCGGCCTTTATGACAAAACACTTTAGAAAACCAATAACTAATGAATAATGGCGGCGATATGAAATCCTTGGGTCAGAGGCCGGAGTTCAAATAGATCAATGATAATGTCACAGAGTATAAATTTAGAGCTCAAAATTTCTCTCGGCTTCAACACGCTCCATGGTCGCTCTGCAGTGTAAATATATCATACAATTCCAGGCTCTCCAATCTACGTCATGCTCCCTCCAAAAAGCAGCATCCACATCCCACACACACACTGTCCATCTATAAGACCCCTACATCACCCTCGGCAAGCAGTAGCCGTCGAAATCACAAGACCGCTTAGTCGTAGAACTTCCGGTTCTCGTTTGCCCCGAACAGCGTTGTTCGGATGGCGGGTAAGGCGTTATCTTGGAGCAGCCGCAGGCGCTCATCCAGGGTATTGTTGATATCGATCTTACCACCACTTCCCACAATCGAGACACCGCCCGCCCTGGTCCCCATTAGTAAGGCTGCGTTCGCACAAGCAAGTAACAGGGGCGTTAAAAACTCACAAATCGTCCTCGAGCAAGTTATCCTCATCCACGGTCGCCGAGATCTCCTTGTTCGTATTCTTCGTATACTCCTTACTAGCCGCCTCCACCGCCTTCTTCGCAACCGCCATATCCGCCTTCCTCGTCCGCACCTGCACCTTACTCTCATTCAACGCATACAAGCCCTCCAGCACCAGGTTCTTAAGAATCGTCTCATAGCGAGCCTTATCCTTAGTCACCTCGGGCAGCTTCTTCGCCGCCGCCTCAAAGATCCCATCGAGCAGCTCCTGGCGCGCGCTCAGCACGCGCAGCCGCGTCTTGTTGGATACCGTCGATGCGGTGATCTGCTGCGACATCGCGGCCGCTTTGGACTTCTTCTCGTACTGCGTGTCGATTGCGCTCTGCTCCTCGCGGACGAGCTTGGCTTTCTCCATGGCGAACTCCTGGTCCGCTTTCATCTCGATCTCGTGGGCCTTCTCGTCGGCTTCTTGCTTGATGAAAGCGGTCATCTTCCTCAGCTCTTGACCCACCTAGGGATAGGGTTAGATGTGCTCTGTGGTGCGGTGTTGGAGGGGAGGGGGAGAAGAAGGCGTACCTGGTCGTCAGACAATGCTTGTGAGTGCGACATCTCGGGCAATGGGAAGGGGTCCTGGCACGTCGGGAGTGTGGTGTTGTAAAAAGTGCTGGTGCCGTGGGCCAAGATGCGTGTGGTAGGTACGAGATGTGGTTGAGGTGCTCAAGCTGGATCCTGGACAGATTAAGCTCCCGTTCCGATAAGCACCAAGCGCCAACCGATATACGTCTCAAGCTGACACCCCAGGCCGCCAAAGTCAGGTGACAATGGATCGATGGGAGTGAATGATCTCGTCAAGTGGGAGAATTGTCACGGGAGGGGATTTTGTTCTCATTGACTACTTAAAGAGAAGAGTGTAACCTGCCCATTTTGGGAGTTCAAACAATTATTCCTCGGTATCCGTCGCTGGCGCATTGCCCGTGGGAATTCCAAAGTAGATCTCGCGGCCGCACCCATACAAAACGACGTGAGTCTCAGAACGAACGAACCATCCGAGTGACACCGTCTTGGTCCGGACCTGGCCACCACGTTCCTTAGAAACCGCATCATTCCCACCACCCATTCCCACCACTCCCTCACCAACACCTCAAGGACGAGTTGGAAGACCGCGAGATCGCCAGGAATCATACCCATAGCCACGCAAATGAATACGAACCTCTACCGCTGAGTGATGGTGGGCCAGCTCGGCGATCTGTCGCCAAAAGGCAGTATAGCTGTAAGGCTTCATCTTCCTCCTCCCCCCATCCGAGGGACCACACCCTCTTCCCCCCGTCCCCCAGATAACAAACACAATACTAACCCTTCCGTCCCTCCAGATCGGCATACTCGTCGGCCTCATCTCCACCAGCGTCCAAAGCCTCGGCCTAACCCTGCAACGCAAATCCCACATCCTCGAAGACGAAAAGCCCCCCCCCCTCCCTCGCCGCCCCCCCCACCACCGCCGCCGCTGGCAGCTCGGCATGGGCATGTTCATCATCTCCAACCTCCTCGGCAGCACAATCCAGATAACCACCCTACCCCTCCCCGTCCTCTCCACCCTCCAAGCCTCAGGCCTCGTCTTCAACTCCATCTACGCGACCCTCATCCTCGGCGAGCCGTTCACGCGCTGGTCGCTCGGCGGGACGCTGCTCGTGTGCGCGGGCGCAGTGCTCATCGCTATCTTTGGCGCTATACCGGAGCCGGCGCATAATCTGGACCAGCTCCTCGTGCTGCTCAACCGCGCGCCCTTCATCCTGTGGATGCTGGGACAGGCGGCGTTGGTGGTCACCATTACAGCCGTCGCCGCCTCGCTGGCGCGCTACTCCTCCCCCCGCGTGCGTCTCCTGCGTGGGCTGGCGTTTGGTTGCATATCCGGGATCCTGTCCGCGCACTCCCTCCTCTTCGCGAAGATCTCCGTCGAGTTGCTGGTGAGGACTATAATCGACCATAAGAACCAATTCGACCGGTACCAAAGCTCTCTCATCCTCGCTACGCTGGTCGCCTTGGCCTTGGTACAGCTGTACTACCTCCATCTTGGCCTCAAGCTGGTCTCAACCTCTGTGCTTTACCCGCTCGTCTTCTGCATCTATAATATCATCGCTATCCTGGATGGGCTGATCTACTTCCACCAGACTTCGCTCCTCACACCCCTCGCGGCGTCTTTAATTGCATTGGGGACGCTGATCCTACTCTCCGGCGTCCTGGCACTCTCGTGGCGCCTCTCGGACGAACAATCGCCCCCGCCTCCTCCTTCCGCCCTAACACCAGGCTTGGGGCTGATAGATGATGAGGACACCGATTCCCCCCTCCCCACCCTGGGGACACCTGACGAGGAAACCGCCCTACTTCCTAACCACACCCACAACCACACACAACACACCCCCTCCTCCTCACTCTTCCCCCAATCCCCAGCAGCAACAGCAAAGCTCGACTCAGTCCTCTCCCAAACCCGCACCGCCCGCACCGCCGAAACAGCAGCGATATGGGAAGAACTACAGGACCGCGATACTCCCCGTCATAGCCACGATTACGGGACTGTAGAGGGCGGCACGGATGAACACGCCCGCCAGCGGAGGAGGAGACGCTCAACAGGCTTCCGAGGTTTCATACCCCGCGACGCGCGGCGCTCGACTGCTGGACGGGGGGTGTTGGGACGGTTATTTGGACGCTGGGGTGGATAGCGGCGGGGGTCTCGCGCTGTTGTGGGGGAGGAGGAGGGGGACGGGGGGACGTGGTGATGTGTTTAGGGGGGTATATATACAGATTTTGGTGTTTGGGTATCCAGCGGGAGGGTGTAATGGGCGGGATTGGGTTTGTTGGGAGTTTTGGGTGTTTTTTTTTTGTGTTTGTATGTTGTGGGTGGTTGGATGTATGTCGACTGCCTTGGGAGAGAGGGAGGGGGGAGAGTTGGAAAGAATGGTGGACGCATGGTGGATGGATGGAAGAGGTGTACCTACGACTGGGATTGTAGTGGTTTTGTATATAAACCCATTGATTGCGGTGAGGTAGGTGTAAAAATGTTATCTTCCCCATCTTTCTTTCGTCTTGACCCGGGTGTGAGTTGTGCGTGAGTAGGTTGGGGAGTCATACGTGCTGAGGCGTTGGGTTGTTTTGATATACTGAGAGGCCGTTTGTACAAGAACGCCACGATACGATTCTCACATACACCACAGCACTAATCCCCCCAAAATCAATCTCCCTCCACATCACTCATCACCCCTTTTTCCACTCACCCACCAAGCACATCCATAAAACTAAGAAAAGGCACACATCTTTTTATCATAGAATTTGTTTCATTTCGGGTATATCACTAAAACATCGTCCCCTTCCCTCCCTTTCCCCCTTCCCCCCCCATTCCCCCCTTCCGCCCCCTCCTACCCCCCAAACCACCACACCACCACACCACCCCACCACACCACCAACTCCCCCCCGACGCAAAAAAAACCCAGCTTCGACAAAAAACCAGACAGAACCAACAAAACAACAACAAAGCGTACCTAACAACAACAGAAAAGCTAAAAAGATCAATCCCCCCCCACCATACGACAAAAATCCAAAAAGATCCGCTTCCCGTCTAACAACAAAAACTCCGCAGTCTAATAAAAAAGCAAGGTAAGTAAGCGCGGTGTGTTCGTCGTGATAAAAAAGTTGAAAAGTTGAAGATGTGGCGTGGCGTTTTGGAAAGACAAAACATCTCCATCAGCGATCAACGCACTCCCCTCGCCTGGCTTCTCTCGCCTTCCCATGATGATGCGCTAACTTCATGTGTAGCCCGGATACCAGATCCCCCTCCTTTCATTCGTCGGTGTGTATTAAGCACATAAAATAAGCCATGTGCATCCTTCGTCATCCGCTCGATCCCAACGTATGAAGCCCTCCAACACCCCTCCTTCCCAAATATCGTCCCCTCGAAGAAAAGGAACAAAACGCTGGAACGTGTATTGGCGTGGAGCGGGATGCACGTCCCGCGAGGTCCAGCGCGTGGCTTATCTTCAAACAGCACCGATCACAGCGACATAGTAAGCCACTCCCACTCCTGACTCCTCGCACTCGTCACCTGCGCCCCCGGCGCCCCCGGCCCCATCCCCACCCCACCCGGTCTCTGCCCTCCAAACGCACCCCCGCCACTAATCCCCACCCCCATCCCGGCAACACTACTCCCCAACATCCCCAAACTACTCTGTCCCATCCCCCCCCAACTCCCTGGAGCGGCGCTCTCGTCATCCCCCCAGCCTTCTCAGAGGGGCCGAGGGACGACATACCAACCCCAGCCATGGCATTCCGATCATCGACATCCATCCCCCCTCCATCGCCAGCAGAAACACTCTTACTATGCCTCCTCTGCCTCTTCAGCGGCACCGAAACAGCCACCACCCTCGGCACCGCCCCAGCCCCAGCACCCAACCCCGGCGTAGCCTTCGGCGGCGCCGCCGCAATAGGCACAACCCCCTTCACCACCCCCGACGAACTAGTCGTCGACCCCTGATAGCTCGTCGGCGTGCTCCCCGCCGTGCTATTGCTCCCCTGCGCGCCATCCGCCGCAGACTGCGGACTCTCCAAGTCGAGCGGGGCATTGGGACTCGTGCCCGCGGACGCGAGATGGGCTATAGCTGCGGACGAGTTCTTGCGCGTGTTAGTCCCGTTGGTGTTCGCGCCGCTGCTGGGGCCGGAGGGACCCCCGCCGAGTTTCTTGGCGTTGCGGGTGGAGGAGGCGGAGCTGATGAGGGGGACGGCGGTGGTGGTCGCGCCGGAGCCGCGGTTGCGTTTCTTGATGACGTCTGTCTTTAGCGAAAGCGGGCGCACGACGCCGTGGAGCTTGAGGAAGAGACCACAGGCGTTGCAGAGGGGGTGGCCCTCTGGGTTGCGGCGCCAGAGAGGCGTGGTCTGCGTAAAGCAGTTTGTGCATGTGGTCGGGACGCCGGGGTCGGCAGGGCCGCCGGCGGCGGAGAGGTTGGTGCTTGACCCCTTTGGAGCGGGGCTGCTGGGTCGGCTGGGTGCGACGGAGCTGAAGCCGCTCATGTTGCCTGTCATGTCTGGCGGGCTGTTTGGGGTGGATTGTGCGGTTTGGCCGTCGAAGATTGTTTGTTGGGCGGCGGGGACGTTGGGGGTTGAGGCGGTGCGAGGGATTTTCTGCCGACGGTCGCCGTTGCGGCGGTGGTCGGAGATGGAGGCGCTGGAGGCGTGGGTGTGCGATCTGCCGAGGGAGCCGCCGGTGCCGTCCCAGTCGAGAGGGGAGATCTCGGTGGTGGTGCCGCCTATCGTAACTTGTTTCCGAGGAGGGCCACCCGGATACCTCGCAGCTTGCGTGTTGAACTGCCCTGGCAGTGTCGCATCCCATGCGAGTCCCATGTTAGCGTCCTCCATTGGAGAAAGCGCGTAGTCGTTCGCGTTCATCAGAGTGCGATCAGCAAACGCTGTGCCCTCAGTCTCCTCTCCGTCAGAATCAACATCGAGATTATACGAGCTGTCCTGAGTGCCCATATTAACACCCGGCGATTGTATATTATCATGCTGGAAAACCTGAGAAGGATCGATATGCTGCTGCATACCGAATGCCCCTGAGCCGGTGTACGAAGAAGAGTAAATGGCATTGCCGTTCTGGTTGTACATGTACTGCGGTCCGAGCGAGTTAGAGAGGTTAGACGGGTTACGCCTGAAGTTCTGCGGCCTTTGCTGCTGGCGCATATCCATGCCCTGGTTAAAGTACATCTGCCTATCCCCATCATTTCCAATCTGCGGGGTCGATCCGGCTGATGGATAGTTAGAAGCCGGCGGAGAATAGAAGTCGTTGGAATTGAGCGATGACGGGGCCATCGAGGCATTGTTGTACATGTTTTGGAAAGCCCCATACGGCACCAACGGCGACTGAGACGGCGAGAAGCCGTAGTTCTGCTGGTACTGGCCAGCAGAGTTCAGAATCTGCTCCTGATCGAGGTTGTACGTGTCGGGGTTAAAAGGAACACTGTGGTGGTGGTGGTCATGCTGGTTCAGTATCCCGTACTGGTCGTTAAGTGAGTATTCATTGAGATCCGCATCCATCTCAGAGTGGTTCGGTATGGTGATTCCAATCGGCGGTACATGAGGTGAGAAATCGGCGGGTCTCTTGCGAGGCTGAGTGGATGTTAGAACTGTAAAGCAGAGGGCGTAGATGATAGCAACTGGGCTAGTAATATCAAAAATACGTACCCGACGCTCATCAATGCTCGTCTTCCTGACATGGCGCTGCACATAACTGAACTCGTCCTGGTGCTGCGTCACAGGAACCGACTGCGGAGCAAACGCCGCCGCAGGCTCCTTGCGCATCTTGATCGGTATGGCCGAGGCGACGGCGATGGGTTGCCTGTTATCCATCAAGTCCGGCGACGACATATCCGTGGGCGACGCCATGTTGGAGAAGATGAACTCCTCGATACTCATATTATCCGGGCTCTCATCGCCCTGGTGCATCGAATTGCGCAGCTGCGCAATGCCACTCGGCGCACTAGCATTAAGCTGTTCCTCCTCCTCACTACACACACGTCAGTCTCGACATCTATACCGCAATTGGGACTTCCCTCCCCCAGAAAAACCTACCGGGCAGCTGCAGCCTCCTCCTCCTGCCTCCGCTTCCTCAAACTCATAGCCATCATGCGCCACGTCAAGTTCTCCATGCGCTCCTGGTTCGGCAGCTGCTTCTTCGTCTTGCTATACAACCTCCATATCTGCGTCGCGAGCGGATCCCTGCGCTGCATCTCATCCGGGCTATCCAGATCCGCCGCGCCACTGTCCTTCCACGTCGGGAAAATCGTCTCGCGCAGCATCTCCTTGCGTGCTGTCCCAGGTGGCGGCGTCGTCGTCGCCGCTGCGAAATCACGCCGCCCGCTACTGCTATCGTCTACGCCGTCGCCGCGCGGCTCAGGCTCATCATACGAGTCGTCATACGTATCGCGGTACTGCTGATGCGGCGGGATCTGCTGGAGGTGCTGGCCACCCGGCGGCCTACGCGGAAAGCGGTAATCGTGCTGGGTGGTTGCGTGAGCGTTGGACGACGCCGTGGTCGTGGTGGCGGCGGACGGGTGAGCGGCGCCGCTGAAGTCGTATAGATCGTGCTGCTGGTCTGCGAATCCCCCACGCTCGCCATATTGCGTCGAGGCCATGGCGGAGGCCCGTGGGCGAGACGGAGCGCCCGCAGAGGCGATGGGGGTTGGTGATGCTCTCGGGGTCGGGGAGACGGGGGCTGCGCGCCCAATGTTGCGAGGCCTTGGTTTTCGATGACGGGGAAGGCTGGAGAGGGTTGGATGTGTGTGTGTGTGTTGTGTGTGTGTTGTGTGTGTGTTGTATACTTTTTTTTGGGGGGAGAGGGGGAGGCGATAAGGATATGGGGTGGGTTGTGGGAGGATTGTTGGAGAGAGGTTGATGGGATGCTTCTGCTTTCTTTTTGCGATTGGGTGACCCCCAAATTTGAGAGAGGGTGATGGGGGATGGGATGGGATGGGGGGTGGGATGGATGGGATGGGATGGGATGGGATGGGATGGGATGGGATGGGATGGGATGGGATGGGATGGGATGGATGGGATGGGATGGGGGACGGGGTTGATGGGAAGGATTTCCGAGTGCGGGCGGCGGGGACGGTTCAATAAATTTAGCAGGGCGGTGGTCGGTACGTGGGAGTTGGTAGAGCGGTTGGTAGTGTAGAAAGTAGTTTGGGTAGTAGGTAGTGTTGTCGTAATGGAGTATTTTGGTAATTGCGAAAGTCTAGACGCCGGATATTTGGATGGGATTGATTGATATGATTGATTGATTGGAGCATTGGACGATTTAAAACACAGAAGACAGTGAGTAACACGATAAAAGAAGTTGAGTAAAGTTGAAGTTGAAGAGAGGGGGAGGGAGGGGAGGGGGAGGAAGGGTTGAGTGGAAGTTTGTTAAGAGTAGTAGTAGTAGTAGGAAGTTAGTAGTAGTAAGTTAGTAGTAGTAGTAAGTTAGTAGTAGTAGTAAGTTAGTAGTAGTAGTAAGTTAGTAGTAGTAGTAGTAAGTTAGTAAGTAGGAGTTAGTAGTAGGCAGAATAGAGTTAGCAGTAGGCAGAGTAGGGTTAGTAGGCAGAGTAAGTTAGAGTTAGTAGTAGGCAGAGTAGGGTTAGTAGTAGGCAGAGTAGGGTTAGTAGTAGGCAGAGTAGTAGGCAGAGTAGAGTTAGTAATGGGGAATGGGTTGAGGCGGTGGGTGGTACTTGGGAGAGTACTTCTCTTCAACGGGAGGACGAGGGAGGGAGGTGAGGACAGGATGGGAGCAAGTACATGCATAGAGTACAGCAGAGAGATGCAATGGCAAGCCGGCCGCGCCGCTTTCTACAATACAGCTCTATCAATCAGCACACGCCTCCCTCCCTCCCTCCGGAGTATGTGTTCAGTATGCACGTAGAACTAAAGGGTGGGGGTGCACCGGCTTGGCCTGCAGCATACCTCTGGGGTCTGTCTGATCCGAGCTCCCCATCCCATCGCAGGGTACCTACCCTAGGTAAGTTAATGTTGGAGAAAAAGAAGTGGGAGGGGAGCGCGGAGGACCCTTGGCCGCCGCTTCTCGTGTGCGTAATTGGATAGCTTAGCCACACTTTCGCCTCGGCTCCGATATAGCACCCGCGCTATTGGACCGCCGGCTCGACGCCCGCCCAGCCGGCGGTGGGTGAGGATTTAAGGTGAAGCCCATGCAAGTGCGTGTGGCCCACCCCATGGAGCCAGCGGCACGATCATGGTACGTGCATCGCCTTGACGACCATGCGACCCACGCCGCCAACGCCGCAGCGGCTAGTATGATTGGATTGCGCCCTCTCCCACCCTCGCAACTCGCCGTGGGGGTCGCACATGCGTGCGGGGTGCCGTGAAACACTATTTGGATAAGATAGACACCCCCAAAGTACGAAGGCAGTACTTCGGACTGTACCAGCAGAGACACGGCGGTTATGATAGAGGCAGAAATGACGGCAGTAAACCGAGATTCCTGCCCCTATCCGGTTGGTTAAAAGGGGGTTTCTTGGCCTGCAGCTGGCTGTCTGTTTCCTACGGCCGAAGAGAGACGTGCAAACTCTCTGATACAAAACCGCTGTTGTCGCCGGATAATTTGATCGAAACTGTTGACCTGCCTCGAATTCCCAGTTCTAGAACGATACTCCATCGCCCCAAGTTCTACCCACAGCGCTATAAATAAGCGCGAAGCTTCGGGATGCGCGCCACAAAAAACAACAGGCTCGTTCGTTATCATGAAACGCCACGTTGCCGATGGGGCAAAGGGAGCCGTCGTGGGTCGGTAGGTACGGAGCTCAGGAGAGGGCTTGGATTATCGAGTATGTAGTGCGAATAGTTCAACATTAGCAGCAACAACACTTGGACAGGTTTGCTAAGTGCTGCTAGTTGGTGCACTAGCAGCACTTAGCAAACCTCTCCAAGTGGCTCCTGTGCTCCCCGAGTCTCTCCGAATCAGCGATTCGGCCTGTAAAAAGCGTCTCTTCACCAGAAACCCACCACAGCTGCAACTTCCGCATGCTAACGAATTCGCGATGGAACAGATGGAACGATATCGGCAGGCACTTGTGGACGGACCGATGAAAATCCGTAAGATAAGGTGTAACCAGGCGATAGCTGACATCGATTTTTTACCGGCGGATTGAGCAACGTGGGGATGCGTATCGACGTCGAACCGAGATCCACTCACGGCCCAATGATAAGCATTTGATAATGCGGCTGGGCTTTGTTTTCCGCGACCACGGTGTTCGTGGCTTCCATAGCAATTGTTTCGAGTAAGGTGTCCCCAGCGCTACCAGGGCTAGGGCGACCGAAGCTTTTGTGTGCGGGGAAGGTCCGAAGGTGCTGCATGCAACCCTGAAGATTCAGAGTGTCGTGTGAGCCTGATCCTGGGAGGGGTCCAACGATTCTTATCCCATATTATTAACAGCAGTTGTTCATGCAATGCTGATAATGTGCGAAGGGTGTCGGCGATGTGCGGTTTGGTCGACGGCCATGTCTAGCTGAGAATAAGCACATCACATATTAGTTGGATTTGAGCGTGAGACGTGGGATAGAATGACGACTAAAGAGTTGCACGACCTCATCCCCATCCCTTGAAACACCTACATCCACCAGGCCTATGGGCATCAGGGTTATGGACGGCGAAGACAACATTGAAGTTGCAAGCCGGTAGCCCTTGAGGTGGTAGGTGGTAGGTGGTAGGTGGCAGGCACTTGCTATACCAACCAACTGGCTGAGTGAGCGACGAGCTTGGGAAATAGGTCTCACATCAGAGGTTCGATTTCCCCTTCCATCCTGCCATATGTTCCCTGCTAACCATTGAAAGTTCACTGCGCGTATGACCATATCCCTCTCTCGAAACGATATTCGAGACGGTTCTCCGGCTTCATGAAGGTATATCGAGGTGTGAAGGGGGGAAGGTCTTCGAAGTGACCAATATAAAAACACTACAAGTGCAGCGCCCGATTGACCTTGAGGAATTGGCGCATGAGAAGAACCGCAAGGGCAAAAGTGCAGCACTGGACAAATATAAATACAAGAACAAAGTGGACACGGCATCTCTGCCAGTGACCGCGTTGACCATGGCCGCTCTGCTGTATTTTCGACTCGGCCATAGTTTTGTCAGTTGCGAGCTTCTCCTCAGTAGAGCCCAAAAAAAACTTTTCACCCAACGTGCATATCTACAGGTTTATATAGAACAGGCGCAGATTCACATTCTTATCTGTCTTCCAGGATAGGAAGGGACATTCCAGCCACTGGTGATGAAAGCTGTGGCCACGGTTTGATAGAGAAATTTTCCTATCTCTACAATCACCTCACCACAGCGCCTTATCTCTCCTCCCTCTGCCCCCTGGGATCTCGTGGATTTGCGGTGACACATCCCAATGTAGATGCCACGCAGGTCGCTCACGCCATAATCCCTCACGTTCTGGTCTCGCACTGCAGTACAGCCTCATGGTTATGACCTCATCCCTCATCGTTCTCATGAAGCATAAATTCTGCAGCTCTTCACGAGGAAGGAGCTATCAACTATCAACTGACTGGACCGCTCTTTCCCCATCCACCCCAAAAAAAAATGGCTTTCCCTCCACACACAAAACACCCCAAACCCTTTGCACAGCCGTCTCCATAATTCACGTGACACCCACCAACCAACTCCACAGCGTAACCCTAAACGGCCAAGCGGCGCACAAAAAGTCACGTACATCGTTTCCCAGTCCATGCCCATAAAGGGACCGGCGCTTCCTCCATTCGAACGAAACTTGTCCTCTTTCATCGCTCACATATACCCCAAACGATAATAACGATAACGAAGAGAGACACAATTCGCACACACACCGTACCAACCGCATATACCAGCTACCCGATATCCCGGGCCCTCAATAATTATACACGCCACCATTCCCGATTGTCGCAAGCAGAGAAGGCAGAGCAGGCAGACAAGACAAGGCAAAGCCCACAAGAAAAGAGCGGTCCAAGTGTTGCCCCTATACAGAGTCCCGAGGCTTTACCCAGTTGAGCGGGGTTTAGTTACCGTACGTACGGCATTTCTTGTGTGTATATTTCTGGTCGGGAGTCTCGATTACATTACTTTCTCAGCCTCGCATTGCATTGCTTCGATCTGTCGTTGTTCGTCGGCTCACCACTTCCGGCTCTGTTTGATGTTTTTTGAAGAGGGGAGTGAGTAGCTGAAACAGCGTCGCGAACGCTTTGGTCCCCTGTCCTGTCCCTGTTCTAAGGGCGGTGCGATCGTCGCTGCACTCAAAGTGATGCAGTCGGTAGAAAGTCCAGCTACCACGACGCTCGCGATTGAGGCAAGCAAGACACAGAACTGTTCAGTTTTAATCCTGCCGGATGCGCTGTCGTGGCGATATGCTCAACTCGTTCTGGGTCCAGACGTCATGAATTCGGCCTGGCTGGCTGGGCTGGATACCCATCCTATCTGCTTCCGGTCGCAGGACAAGTACGACGGCCAAGTACGGTACGGTGAGGCTACTCAACCTGCGAGCGCAGTGGGGGGTGCAGTGGGGGTGCAGCGGGCTAGTACGCGTTGGTACTCGCTGGACCCTTGGATGGCTCTCCAGCGTGCCGTAGCTAAGTGCGTTCGTCGAGGTTCGTCGAGGGGCGGCGGGGGCGGCGGCGTTGGCAAGGCAAAACCAGCGAAACCAGCGAGGGAGGCTGGGTGTTGGGCTATCACATGGGAAGTGCGCTGGGGGTGTGTGTGGGTGGCCGTATTGACGGGCTGGGGGTGTGGTCCTGGCCGTATTGACGGGCTGAGGATGGGTGGACCACACCGCCAGCCCGTCAATACGGCCACCCCCCGCCCCCGAATCCTCTACAAACCATCCCTCATACACTCTTCCGCGCCCCGAAAGCAGCTTGCCACCTTCCCCTTCCAATATCTGCGTCGTTAATTCTGCGTCGTTAATTGAACGCCATTAAATTTGTTATTACTCCAGTGCTGCAAACCGCAACGGATCAATCATTTCATCCCAGACAGGAGATCTGACACGCCCGCAAATTGCAGCAAGACATTAGCCGCCGAGTACTGTCCCAGCCACAACACACCCAACGACCAGAGAGAGGATATTGTATTGACGATCAAGTGGTGTTCTCTGATTCAGAGCCTCAATATTCTGTATGTACTCTACTTCTTTGTACTTGCAGTTGCATTTGCAGATACTCTACTCTATTCTACTCTATTCTACTCTATTCCTCTACCCTTACCTACCCTGTCGCTGTCAGCATTTTCATTGTTTGCGGTCGCCGGCAGTCATGGTTACCTCGGACCAGCCTGTACTGTACCAGCATTCATTCCACTACCACTACGGCACAGCACTGCACTGTACTCTGCACTATACGCTCCACTGAACGGCACTGCAAATGCACAGCACTGTACTGTCCTCTGCACTGTGCACTGCACTGTGCACTGCACTGTGCACTGCACTTTACTGTACTCTCCACTGTACGCTGCACTGTGCACAGCACTTCACTGTCCTCTACACTGTCCTCTCCACTATACGCTACACTGTCCTCTACACTGTCCTCTCCACTATACCCACTGTACCGCATTGCAAATGCAACTGCTGCAACTCCAAGACTGTCTCTGTCTGTACCTTCCTTCCACTACGGCAGGTACAACACGCTACAACGCGCTACAGCACACATCCGTGCGTTTCTGCCCTACCATTCTGTACTGTTGCCGTACCCCCCCACCCCGCCGTACCGCAGTGACTCTCGCTTCCTGTTTAACCCCAACACTTGGACGCTGGCTGATATCCATCCCTTCCCACACCAGACTCGATCAAGCATTGCCGGCACCCAGGTTTCTGCCAACCAAACCCGTCACTCTCCACATTGTCTACACATCCCCCAGAAGCAGTTAAGGCTCATCGGCAGCTATCTCGATTCAGAACAAAACATTTCACGTCACACCCAAAAAGAAAAGCTTCTATTAGAATGGCCGACATTACCGATCAACAACCCGACCAGGCGTCGCCATCCGTACTCGAGGACGCGCATGCCGTGGGCAATGGTACCGCGACCGCGCCCGATAACCGTGGTGTGAAGCGCCAGCGCCCATCCACGGCCGACGACGATGACGATGATGATGATAAGCCCGGTCGCGAGAGGAGGAAGATTGAGATCAAGTTCATCGCCGACAAGTCACGTCGTCACATCACCTTTTCCAAGCGCAAGGCCGGAATCATGAAGAAGGTGCGCAATCCCCCCCGCCCGATATCGACGCGTCAATCGCGAAAACTCTCGATCGCGAACATGCTAACAAAGATTATCCAGGCATACGAGTTGTCTGTTCTGACCGGCACCCAAGTCCTGCTGCTCGTTGTCTCCGAGACTGGCCTTGTGTATACGTTCACCACCCCGAAGCTTCAGCCTCTTGTCACCAAGGCCGAGGGCAAGAACCTCATTCAGGTATGCGATCTCACATGCCACCACAAAATTGACCAGTCACTAATGTCCATTTTAGGCCTGCCTCAACGCTCCAGAGCCAGCCGGCAACAACGAGAACGGCGTCGAGGATCAAAACCCCGTCGAGTCGCCCGAAGAACCAGCACCACAACACCTCCCCGCCCAGCAAAGCAGGCCCGGCATGCAGACGGCGCCCATGCACCCCAATTACCTCCCCGTCGACGCGCAACAAATAGCCTACCAGAACTACCTGGCGCAACAGCAGCAGCAGCAGCGCGGGGGCTACCCGGGCATGCCCCCACAAGCCGGCATGCCGCAGCAGCACTCGCACCAGGCATGAGTTGTTATTACCCACACCCACGTATAATCAACCTGCATTCGCCGCGGACACAAAAGCCGACTATTTCCACAACTGATACCCGAGTTTATAAAATGCGAGACGCCGTCTGCACTGCACTCCTCCTATCCGCGCCGCCGGCGTCAATTGGACTTATTTCTCAAAAAAAAAGAACCCACACCGTTTGTTTTTTTGCTGCAGTTGGTGTTACTGGTGCTTGATTTTTTTGGTGTCCCGCCTCATGGGATTGATTACTGGGGGGGTCCGAATGCCCTCTTGTTTGCTACTGCTCGTCTCGTCTTCGTGTCTCGTCTTCGTGTCTCGTCTGTGTCTCTCTCTCTGTCGTCGTCGTCGTTTTCAAGTTAACTTACTTTCTTTGATTGTCCTACATTTGTCCCTGCGTACGGATTATATTTCCTACGCGCTTGTCTTGGATGGGTGCCACTTGTCAGGGTGGGCGACGGATTGTAGCGCGGATTTTATAAATCTTTCTGCTGGGGCTTGGGGCAGGGGCGGGATGGTATTGGAAGGTGGGGCGCGGGGGATTGGGAAAGGGGGGGGTGGGATTGATTGATTGATTGAGGCGACTTTGCTTATTTGTTTGGCTTGAGGGGGAGGGGATTGGGGGGGGGGTACTTCTACGATAGGGGAGAGGGATGGATGATAGATAGAAGAAGAATCGTGAATAATGGCTTTAGCTGGGCGGGCGGGCGAGGGAAGGGGGGAGGGGGGCAGGGGGTGTTGTGCTACTACTATCTCAAGTTTCACTTCGTCGTCTTTTTTGCCACCACGTTACGTTGTATGTGTTTGTGTGTTTGTGTGTTTGTGGTTTTTTTGTAAGGCGTATTAGCATTTTACCATCCATACATCCATCGGACGTACGTGCGTGTGTTTTTTTTTGTTGTTTTCTTCCTCGATGAATGTTCATCCGGTCAACATGGATGTTGATTGTCGAAATGGGGCTTTGGGGCATCGCTTTGCCGCTGCCGGCGCTGGGGGTTTGGAGTGTAGTGTAGTATAGGGCTTTAGGGGGCGGAATGGAGGTGTGTGTGTTGTTTTCGATGCTGGGTTTTTCTATACGTGACTTAATGGACTATTTTGTGTCGTGTGTAGATAGATTGGGTGGGTGGGTGGGTGGAAAGTCGCAAGGGCTGAATAATCAAAAAATTAAAGCTAACGTAACGTTTGGGGTAGTCGGACATATGGGGTAGTCGGACAAAAAGTTTATTCTACTCTAGTTGACCGAGTCCTACGTGCCACACACTCCTCCAATTCCAATTCTGGGTCGCTTGAATCGTTCTCTACCTCTTCCTCTTCAACTTCCTCGTCTACTTCTTCAATTGGCCGTTTGCGTGGCCTTCCACGTGGTCTTTTCTCGGTTGACTTCAACTCTGCCTCCCGGACAATTTTCAACACTTCCTCGGTACTGAATACAAATTCGCCTTGCAACTTAATTCTCTTGCCCGTAGTTCTTTTCTTTCGTGTCTCAAGTATCTCTTTGTACTCTTTCACCTCCTTCCGAAGGATGCTGAGTTCAGCATTCTGACTTTCAACCAGCCTAGTCATTCTCTTGGCGGTGAAGCAGGAGAGTCACAAGTTGCCATACTTGAATTAAATACTAAATTTGCATGCCTTAGTTCAGTTCCATCTGGAGGAGAACTTCGGAATATTGAGAGATCCAGAGTAGTGATATTGGTTGAGTTTTGAGGAGTGCGAGGTGGTTCGGTTGGTGGAAGTGGAAGGTTAGCCAGAACTCTTTCTGGGAGAAAGGGTATTAAACCCGCTGCCCTCCACCCACTTCTAATGTTTTGAGGTATAAGACCCTTCTCTCGAATACACCGGAAGATTTCAACCCAGTGGGAGCGCTGGATTCGCTTTATTCCTGCTCGAGTATACCGATCTACTTCCTGAGCATGAAATCGCTTAAGAGGTCCATACACCCCAACATCAAGTGGTTGGAGTAGATGAGAGCAATGAGGCGGTAGAATAAGAAGGTCGATGTCATTCTCAATGCACAGTGCAATCATATCGCCAGTAATGTGACTAGAATGGCCATCCATAATCAACATTCGCGGGTGATTTCCAGACTTTTTGCGCGACTCAGGCTCAAATACCTTCCGCAACCACTCAAATCCATGACTGTTTGAAGTCCAGCCACTATTACTTGTTCAGAAGTGCCAGTTTGTAGGGGTGTCCTTTGGAATCCAACTTGAATTGGTATTCTTAGCCTTGAATATAATCATAGGTGGTAAAGCACCACCGTCTGCATCAATGCATTCAAGTACAGTTATCCAGTCCTGCTTCCCAGCTGTGACCTTCCAATTGGATTTCAAGGTAGAATCAACAATTATTCGCGTGGATTGAGTCTCTCCAACTGGAAAACCTGTCTCATCCATATTATAGATGTTGCATGGCTTGTACTTTTGCTCTTCAATTCGTGCTTTAAACGCGTCAAACCAAGCTGAAATCTTTATAGGAGTGGCTTCTTTATGTTGTGCAGACTCTAGTTGTCTTGAGTAGACCCCTTTAAAGTTTGGATGTCGTTTTAAGAATCTATAGATCCATTCATGGCCTATGGGGGTAGGATTGGTCTGAAGAGTGGTTTGAGAAGACGCGATTTGGACGCGTCATACGCGAATTTCTTCAGCCATTTCCTTGATCAACATAGGAGTTGCAGGAAAACCCGTGGCAGTGAGACGTGTAATCCATCGTGCTAGTGTATTTTCTTCTGCATTTGAGAGAGCTTGTTCAATTTCGTGAGCTACAGCACGCGTTTTCTTCCCAGACATCCTATCAGCAAAAGTTGACTTAGTAACTTCGAAGTGGTCTGCAGCAAGTCTAATTGATTTGAATTCCTTCAATTGGAGCGCAATGACAGCCTTTTGGATGTTGTCTTCAATCTGAGCACGACTGTATGGTATGAAGGTTCTGAGTTGGTAGTCGGGCATTTTTGTCTGACTACCCTGTATGTCCGACTACCCCATATGTTACGTTACTGTCTTTACCTTAAATGATGTCTTTTTATGGATGTACATCTCTCTCTGTGGAACTTGCAAGTTTTGATTCATAGAAGCGCTTAATTCTGGAACTGCGAGGTTGTTTGTACAAGAAAGGGGCGGTTGTAACACCCACCCAACTACACTAGAACACCGGGGCTGACTGAGAGGAGACCATGCCCATGCAGTCAGTGTAGTATTTCAGCCTCATTACGAGCCTTGAAAGTGTGGTAACTTGGGGAAAATCGCAATAGAATTACATGATGTCCAACTCTAGCTGTTCTATGCTATGATCCACATTCTCAGATCCAATTTTCTGAAGCGTCCAGGACTTGATACACTCGAGCGCTTGTACTGTGTCTGGCAATAGCTGCGCTCAGTCCTCATTGATTGTATTTGAGGCTTTTGAAAACAGCCTCTTAGGCTCACCACTCATTGCGATTGCCTGATGAGACAAATTGGGATATGCCTCTTGTTGTGAGGCCTCTTTCTACCAATCAATTGGCCGCTGTTTACTCTTCTGGCTAAGCCGGGGAGTCAACCAAATACATCTCATACTCGTCACATTCTTCATCTAAGAGGGCTCTAAAAGACCCTCAAAAATGCTTGAACTACTGTAATAAATAAGTCTTCTAGAAGGCCAATAGCTTGATTAATCCAATTAGGCCATTGGTTCATAAAGTACACCCATTTGATCTGAGGATCAAGAACAATTAAAGCAATATAAGCTTCACTTACCTCTGTCATATTGTAGTACTTGTTGAGCTTATTCCATGCGTCATTAGCCATAGATTTAATTGCATCTGAATATTTGATTTCTGTTTTTGACTCTGTAATGTCTTCGAAAAGCTTAAGCAAAAAATCCACGGTCATAATCACCTTGCTAATAGAGCCAAACGAGCCTTCTACATCAAGTGTGGTTTGTTCTAGGATCTTAAGACTCCTAAATACTTCTTTAAGATGAGACTACTCATTAGTAGTCAAAGTATCATCCTAAAGCTCGTCCTTGTGCTCTAACCGAATTGCAGGCTGAATGCTAGGCCGTAGAGCGCAGCCAATCATATGAGACTATGAGTTCTAATGAGTTGAGTTTAAGCCTTTTGCCTTGGCTATACTCTCTAAATTCAGCAATTCGTTATGGCGACTGTTGTACAAAAACAACAATATTATGAAGCTTTCTAAGAGCCCTATTTGTGCGCTAATTAGCTAGTTTAAGTGGTGTTGGATTAGGTGAGACATCGTGCTTAGTATCACCAAAAAGGAAGGCTTGAACTGTGAGATTGATGATGTGACCCATATAATGAAGTCTATGGTGGTTGCTATCGTAATCAATTTGGTACTCATTCTTGAGATCTAGATATGTAATTAGATTTGATTTAATTGGGCTAATAATCTTAAATGAATGGACTTTGTGACAAATGCTTCATAAGAGTATCGTTATTTGAAGCAGTATCGCCAAGTTTGTTAATAATATCAAACTCAACAAGAGCATTTGTCACATATGTTTCCTAGTTCTCACTAGTATGTGGGCCTATAAGCTCACAGAAAACTAATACAGGGGCCTTTTGTTAATTGTATTAATCGAAATAATGAGCAATAATGCCAATATAAGCAACACCTTCCCTAGTCCAAATATCAATAAATAGATGGATTTTTTAAGTGACGATGGCAAGTTCGTCTTGAAGATCTATACATCAAGTTTCATATTGTAGAAAGGACTAGTTTTTGACAGTATTTCGAGTAGGAAAGCAGCTTTTAACATAGCAATTTAGATACCTTAAAAGAGCCTTGAATTAAGGTGATTTACACTTTTTGAAAGCAATAGAATCAACAGCAATCCACTCTATAAGAAGCTCTTCAAATACTGCTGATTCAAAGATTTAAAGCGTATCCATTGTTAAGTATCACTCATTTCCGTTTGTAGGGATTGATAGCAGCTCTAGCAAATGCAGCCTCAATGCTATCTTTGACAACCTCATGCTGTTGAACCTTTGTATTCCTCTTGTTATGCGCCTTTGTAAGGTGTGCTGCTATTGATCAAGTGCCTCCTAAGTGCTTGTAGCTCACTAATCAGTATAGGCATTGCTAATACAGCTCGCCGTTAACTAACAAGAGTGCATCTAGACCACCTTCTATATGCTGCCAAACTGTAATGGGTGCTGACCGTTACAGTGCGTATGGTATATATAGCGTGTTACGCGTATTCTGCTAAGCCGGAATACTATAGTCTTTTTGGCTTAGTAGGATGTAGCGCGAGCGTTACACAAACCTATGAAGTCCTTAACTGCTGCTTTGATAGAGTGCTTCTTGCTGTAGATTCAGTAGATGTGAGCATTTAAGAGACCCTACTAATCGATTGTGTATCCTCTGACATTTTTTGTGTGATTTGGGCTTGTTTTTGTTAAGATACTACAGTTCTCATAATAAGCAAAAGGGGATGGTTTGCTTAGATGCGGAAATATCTTCATTTTTCACAGGGGTAGCATAGACGAGAGCACAGACCAAACATGTAATCTATCACTCCCAGTTGCATTTGTAACAAAATTGAGAGATAGACAAGCCTTGTCCTTCTTTAAACCAGGTCGTAGTTGTGTAGCAAGTCCATGAGAAGGTGTCATCCTCCAATAGAGTGTAGCCTTGTCCATATTGTATATATCCTCATCGTTATATTCGCTAGCAATTGTACGTAGGCCTTTCATTTCGTCTTCTGCAGTCTCAGGAACAGAGCCAAGCTCTCTGTGTCGACGGTAATCCTGAATATGATGTCACGGTTTGAACTTTTGAAGCCAGCCGACACTAAACTCAGGGCAAGGATGTTGTGAATATTGAGGCAATTGATGCCAGATTTGTTGAGCCTTCTGCTGTAAGAGTTCTCCACTTGTTACGCCTCCCTGTTCTTCGATTCGGAGTTGCCAATTGAATAGAACTGCCTCAAGATCTGGCCAGTTTCTGGTTCGTATGTGCGCTGACTGTCCAGGACTCTCAGAGTTGTCAATAGACTCGAAATGAGCCGAGAGAGACTTGTCATACTGACATTCGTTGCACTCAGTTTGCTATCAAACTCAAGAGCAAACTTAGAAATCTCCTCCTCAAACCTACAAGTCACTATACATATTTTGGCTTGTCACACCAACAACAAGAGCAATACTACTCAACGATTGCTACAACCCTCTATGATTTATTACACGTCATTGTTCCTTAGTTACTGGGCCGATATGACCACATAGCATATCTCTACAACCCTCTATAATTCATTACATGACATCACTCCTTAGTTACTGGGCTAATACTACACATGACATATCTCTATCAACTAGAGGCCTAGGAACATGAACGATAGCTCCAAAAGCTTCTACAACCCTCTATGATTCATTACACGTCATCGCTCCTTAGTTACCCACAAGATTGGTTAAGTTATGACATAATTTGTCTATAGGGGTACTCTGACCTTGGACCTCCTTTCACTTCCTATAGGCTAGGAACCTAGGAGATGGTTCTATGGGATTCTCTTATGTCGACTACAGTTACCAAGCCTGGTTAGTCATGGAAAGTCTTGGAAAATGAGAGAACTACACTCCTTTAGCATAAATAGGATTGCCCTTTCCTTAAGAAAGGGCAAGCAGACGTTACAGTAAATCAACTATCACATACTTCCACGTCTTTTCCAAGCTTCCAAGCATTGATCTTGTTACTCCTTGTTTCTGAAAAGTCAGTGAGGTGCTAACTTCTGACTTATCCCTGAGTTCTCAGACTCAAAGAAGGCCTGGATGAATACAACTGTGATGTCTGAATGGCTTCAAGCCTTCTATAATCACATTGGAACAACTCGTTCAGTCCTTTTAACAATGGATAACTTCTCTGCACACCTTATAGCTGTCAAATTTACACCACCTCCTCCTAATATACGAATATGTTGGCTTCTAAAGAACTCGACAAGTCGATTTCAACCTTTAAGGAATTATACAAAGCTTCAAGTCTCATTATAGACGGCGGCTCTCATATATGCTCGAGTGTTATAACAATAACCAGGACCCTAGGGAATCAATGTATTTACACCTAGCTATTCGTTGGATTCTAAGAA